GGTTTTTAAGTTTGACCAATAGTTTTGTGGAAAAAAGATTGTTAAACATTTTGGTGAAAACAAAATTGCTGCTGGTATTTGCCAACCCTCGAGAAGCTGATACTGGATTTGCGACTGGTATGAAAGAGAACAATGCAGAGTTGAATCGACTCAATCACAAGTCAAACATTTGTCAAATCACAAGTTTAAGCCACAAATAATATAAAGGGATAAACAACGACAATGGAACACCTTTGTCACAATAACTTGTCACGCCTAAGATTGCATTATGATTGACCTATGATGATGATATGACTACAACCACGCTTTCTTCCCTATGTCTAACCTGTATTAAAATAACACAGGATGACTTGTGACTGACTGGTGACGAGTTAACAACATTAGATTGACAAAACAACACCAACCTGACAACGCTGTGTTGACAATAAAATGACAGTCAGTTGATCCTCCACAAGAGAAATTTCTTCATGAAACCTTCCTTATACAATTTGCAGTTCGTCGATGCCTTTAAGGCCGGGGACAGTGTCGCCACTAACTTTTTCAACAAGTTCGACTGGTATGTCATTCCTTCATTAAACGTTGACGGCTACCACCACACTCGACCAGAAGCGGTAAGCCCCCAAATGAGAAGGGATAACACACGGATAACAGGTTTGATCGAGTATTACTTCAAATGCAATTTAGGCTGCAACTGCGAACGTTTTCCTTCTGGGTAAATGCATTGCTTCAATAATGCATTAGGTCATTCACAAGAGAAAAAATCACCCCCCCCCCCGAAAAAAAAACCCAACAACAACAACAGTGAACAAAACAAAATGTTGACCGTCCCCTTTTTCTTGATTAATCTTTCCTTCAACAATAAATGGATGTTGCCCTTCCCCTTTAACCCGGTCCCCACAATTAATGTATAATGATAGAACCCTAACTCCCCCTCCACATGCCTAAAAAGAGTGAGTTTCCAAGTGAATAGTATCGCACTAGTTTCGTCCCAACTCATCCATTCATTGGTGTGAGGATACTGTTTTGTATTATTAACTCAGTAATTCTCCGAACCTCTCCAAAAGTTGACTCAAATGAATGCAGGCATTAACGACATTCACTTCTGATTCTTGCAGTCGAACACTGACCGTATGTGGCGTAAGAACCGTCAACCAACCTACACCTCATCCTGCACAGGAATCGATATGAACAGAAACTATGGATACAAATGGGGTAGGGTCAATATGCAGCCTTGAGGTCAACTCAACTTTGAGCTAAAATGAGTGGAAATACAATTCACAGATATTATATGGATGTATTTAACACACAAATGTACCTCATTTTCAGATGTTTATATAAAAAAAAGAAACGTCTCTCCAAGGGTTTTTTTTCAAAGAAACTATAAACATCTTTCGTTTACTTCGGAATTTGACGGGAATATCTTGGTTGAGAAAAAGGAGTGATTCTAGACCAACACTTATTGAGGAGCCTAACAAACTAGGGGACTTTTCAAAGAACTGATTTTCTTTTGGGACTAATGCTTAATTGTTACTGTAAAAATAAAAGGACATCAAATATGGCTTGTGAATGCACAGTGTCTATTGTGTACAGACTGCCAATATCAGAAACTGCTTTACATATGTAATACCATTGCTTAAACAAAAACTGATTTTCAATTTATTTCAGGTGGAGATGGTTCGTCTGGTTATCCCTGCTACGAGACTTATGCCGGGGAAAGCGCCTATGATGCCGTCGAACTCAACCAGGTCACCAACTGGCTCTTAGGTCTGAAAAATGGCGGGCAACAGTTTAAGATCCACATGGATGTGCACAGCTACAGCCAGTACTGGGTCTATCCGTACAGCTACACTTATTCCTCCTCTGCTAAAGTGCCTGATCTTGCAGACCTGGTGGGTAGATGGGTCTAGTCTCTAGCAAGACATTAAGCCAAGCATTTTTGTATCGGATATGTTTTTAGCTCAAGACACAGAACAACAAAAGTGATTGGGACACATAATTCAACGGCTAATACACACAAACAAAATTTTTCTCGCTTTTCAACGTGGCTTGCAATTACCGGGGGTGGAGGGCAAATTTTCCGACCAAGAATATTTGGGGACCAGAGATGTTTTTGAATGAAATTAACGAAATGTTATCCTCTTTTATATACAGCTACTGAATGTAAAACTACGCTAGTTAAGTTCAGTACGCCCACTATTAGTATCCCAACAAATTGGAATTTGGAAAAGATAAGTATTTATCGGGTTTCTTTGATTGCAAACAATGCAAGTGTGTACTATACTGTCCAATTCATGACCAAGTTGAACACTCTTTGTGCTACTACATGTATGTTTTACAGGAAAGAGTAGCCAAAGCTTCAGTCGCCAAACTGACAGCTGTGCACGGCAAATCATATCAGACCATGACCTCCGGAGACTGGTGTAAGTACTTCTTCAACCACACTCTAGAAATTGTTCGGTCGGGTCTTTACCCTCTCATTCTATCAAATGATGATGCATGACTGTTACCTTTGATAGATGTGTGCATGTAGACTAATTACCTGTTTCCTGCATTAGCAGTGGTGTAGCAAGCGGGCCTGGGGTGGTGGGGGTGGTGGACCTGTGGTGGTGAGTATTTATACCCTCCCAACATTTTGTAAAGACTGCCCCTTTGTATACAAGTGCCCTTTTTCATCCAGCGTTTACCCCCTCCCCCCCCCCCCCAATATTTGTAAGAGTGGCCTTTGTTCTTAACACAAGTGGCCTTTTTGTAAAAATCAAGTGCCTTTTTTTTGTTACCAGTGACCTTTTAAGAGTGCCTTTTTGGAATGATAGTGTCCATTGTCTGATAGTGTCCATTGTCGTCCAGTTTGAACAGCATCCCCATAGGAAGATGGTCCCCCCCTTGATTTTACGAAGGTCAATTTCAGCATGGGTGTGCAAGTGCCATTTTCACGCCGGCACCCGAACAGAAACAGAATCAGAATCATCTACAGCTATTTCCCGTACCGTCAAGCGAGTAAATCCTCAATAATGCAACCTCAGCCACCGCAGCTCGATGCCAACCCGGAGCATGCGCCCTTTTCAGGGCAGTCACTTACAAGTGTCATATGGGACGACATCTCCCTGTTGCAGTTGAATGTGGAAGGCCTAACAAAGGCCAAGATCACTGTCATCGAGCACCTAAAACAGACCCACAAAGTTAGTGTTATTCTCCTCCAAGAGACCCGCGTCAGCAATTCCTCCTTCCTGAAGGTCCCAGGTTACACGTCAGCGAACAAACAAGAACATGGCTTAAACAACTGGACGGAATAGCGTGCCTTTCTGCTGCCTCAAACAAAAGAAGAGAGAAGAAGACTAACTTTTTATCCCCCAAAATAAAAATGCCCATGCTACGCCACTGATTAGTTCGTATAAACCCACCTGACTGTGTTTTAACCAATCAGGACAAAGAATTGGCAAGCAGTGTATTATAAAGAGTGATACTTTCTGCTTTAGCAGCTCCTGGAAATAGGGTCGTTTTTCATTCCGTTCATTAAAGGTGATCAGGCTAGTTCTGATTTTCACTCGAGCTTGATTAAACAAAGGCTTATCATGATTCAGTCACTTATATACAACGCCTGAATAAATCTGTGTCATCTGATTGGTCGGTTATTGATCATGAATTTTCTCCTGGGACGTGTCATTGAATTATTTGTCCCACGCACGGCCTGGCCACAAGTTCCTTCCCATGTTAAATTGAAGTTCCATTCCATGGTTACACTTTTGGCGGCTCTGACCAATCAGATGACGAGGCTTTATTTAGCCACTCGTTTTGGCCTCTTGGAATGGACCATTCCATCCATCACCGAATGAAATTAGTCTAACCATTGCACTCACAAACATTCGTTATTTGTATAAAAATTCAAAGTATTTATTTAACAATATACATGTACAAGTAATGAATGTTTATGAGTGCAATGGTAAGAATGATATCATGAGGTGACCGATGAAATGTTCCACTCCACGAGGCGAATATGAGGCAATTATTATTTGTTTTATGGAACGCCTGAATAAATCCTCGTCATCTGATTGAAAACTAGTGTGACCAGGCAATGTTTTTTTTTTCCCCCACAGACCCAGCAGCTGGGGCTAGTGAAGACTTTGGTTATAAGATCCTAGGAGCCAAGTATTCCTACACCGTGGAGATGCGTGACACTGGATATTATGGCTTTGAGCTTCCCGAGAACCAGATTCAGCCTTGCGGTGAGGAGACCTATGCTGGGTTCCGGGAGATGTTCCGCCAGGTTCTGCTTGAGGTCTAAAGACTTGTCAGGGGATCAAAGGATGCAGAACTGTACCGACAGCTCATTACAAGTGAAACGTTTATGTAATACCACAATCTGCACTCCCTCAGACAAGTATAGTTATGATAATGAACTTGAAATCTCTAAAATAATGAAGTTAAATTACAAAATAGGCAGATAAGTAGAGCCTGAAAAACCAGGACTGTTTGTTCGAACAGTGAAATAGCTAGGATACTCCAGAAAGGACACAATTTGCTTAAACTGGCCATTTTGATGGTTTTTCTTGGAGGAAGCATTAGATTTCAGAAGAACATGACAAACAAACACATTTTCAAAGAATAAAGACACAACATTTCGCAGACAGAAAGTTGGACAAAACAGACAGGACAAATTATAGCTGAAATATTAACGCTTGATAGTTTGATTTTTGAAAATATTTGACAAATGCAGGCATTTATGAGCACGGTGAAAATATGAAATGCACTGAATTCTAGTACGACATTGAATAGGAGGTCTGCGGTAACACCATGTAAATGAAAGATATCCCTTAGTGAGTTGTGTGATTCTGAGACGAACCAGTTGGCTTAAAATCGACGTTGTGAACAGTATGCTCTGCTCGTCATCAGGAGACTCTCTGGTATATCTGATATTTCTGGTGTTTTGACATGTATTGTGTTACCAATAGTCATCAATATGATTGTACCTCTGCCTCGGGAATTGCACGGGGGGAAAATAGTTTTTTTCGATGTTCCTCTAAAACTTTTATTCCAACATAAAGCAATTATGCCCTTTGTGAATTCACAATTGAAAATTAGTAATCACTGGTTACGATTAATGAACCAAATTATAAACAAAGTACAGAAACGATATTATACCTTTGAAAATGAATGAAATAAATGTCATTTAACCACAGACAAGTTTTGTTAGACATAGTTTCCATTATGTTCGTATGTTGTTCTTTTTTCAATGAAAACTCTGGTTCAGTCCAGGTGGAGTCCAAGGCAAAACAATAAAATGGTAGACTTCGATAGAAAAAAAAGTCTTGAAGTCAGGCCCTGACTCCCGGCCACCCTCAATGCAACCCTCAATGCAAGAAAAGTCCCTTTTTTTAACCAGTTCGCGCTGGGATTATTTGGACACTGACCGGACCCAGGCGCGGGATTGTTTTTCACAAAGCTTGATGCCAGACGGGTTCAAGCCGTCATCTGCGGGTAGCACACCCTGATATTTCCAGCCTCGCTTGCTGCGAGCGGGTGGCAGACAGCATGTATATCCATCATCCGTTACATACACACGTCATCCGACGTAAACTGGGTAATATCACCATCGTCTTAGACATACTAAGTCCTAGACTAGATCTGCATTTTATTCTTCTTTTACAGCTGGAGCATGACAAGTGTAGTAAAGCCCCTTTGGGAACAGAGGTTGCTTTCAACAAGACAAATCAAATCCAGTATTGGGAACATTGGCAATGCTACCCAGGAAATCCCAGGCATACCTCATGCACGTGTTGCATCTAAGTTTCTGCATGGGGTATTTTTTAGCCAAATAACATTTAAATGGTCATATTTAAGTGGTCACGTTCAGTTTCTCTCACGATCTACAATAGATATCTCTCCAATGACATCACTGCCTACAGATCGTCACATGCATCGGCATTTTGGTAGTCACATTTGCGTGACACGCATCGGCTGTGCCATATTTCCGAGAAATTTCGAGCAACATGCACGCCTGATGGCGTTAGATGTGATTTTCCTACGAAGATGGCTGTCTATGAGAGGGTCTATTAAAATCACCTCATTCAGCATCATCCTGCATTGCAGCTATGGGGGTTGCTTGCAGTGAATGCCTTGTATATGAAGAGACTTCCCTGGTACTGCGGAGGTTGGCAAACTGGACAGCTGGAACTAAATCAAGGAAAACATGTACTCCATTTAACTGTAAACTGTGGCAGAAACTGCCGTCTTTTTTTCTTCTTTTATATAGGTTCTCCTGGCTATTTCAAAAGATTTTCATTCAAATTCACCATCTCTATCATTCAATTTCGTGTTTGAAAAATTCACACACTTTTAACAAAACCAATTTAGTCATTTACCCTTCAATTTTAAAGTTTGGTTACCTTCTTTAGTCACCAGGTCGAGAATATTTGTCATTACGGATTAAATGCGTCTAAGCTGTTGCCGAATGGCAGCATTCTGAGGTCGAATTCGTTTGATTTCAAAATAACAAGGTTTGGCTTAGACGAGACGAAATTGAATACTCCGGGACGAAAAGGTGTGCTCTTTGTTTGAATTTGCTTGAACTGAATTTGAAATTGTCTGACAAAACACGAAATTAACCATTGGAAGTGCACTTAATCAATATTGATGAATGAATTTGAACATTTAAAACAGCCAGGAAAACCTATATTATAAAGACATTGAAATTAGTTATCTTAACCAAGTGAAATTAAACATATGATGCTGTGATTTCAGAGTACTTCAGTGTAAGACTGGTAATTATTTAACTTATTTTGAAACGAAGAAGAACTTAAAGGAAAACAGAGGGTTTTGATTTTTTAGAATCGTGGACTGCAGAACTCGGACTGTAATTTCATCAACCCACCTTTGGGGTGCTTGAGTTGGTACTCATGTAGCCTAGGCACATTGTCTCAGTAGTGTGTGCCCACACTAACTCCACGCCGTCATCCAGGCAGTGGCTCAACACAAGAGCGCCCCCTAGCTTCTCGTCAACGGATGCCAGAAATGGTGATTCTGAGATATGGGGAAAAACACAGCACTTTAATTAGATCAAAACTTAAACATTGTGAGGCATTGATTCTTTTCTTTGCATCCCTATTCCCTTGAGATTGAACTGTTGATAATCTTGAAATAAAAATAAAAAAATTTAAAAAAAAGTGAAATAATATTAACAAAAGTGAAAAAGCTGGAAACAAATAATTCGCAGTTCTCATGCTGACACGCTAGACAGTCGTGTTCTGTCTGTCAGCGCCCCCAACATTTACTAGCCATGGTGCTGTGTTTCGTGTTTAGCATTTGCTGGCCACGACATGTCTAACGACTTGTCTAATAGGATTTCGGACGGATATTCATTTATGCGCCCAGCGAAATGCATATTCATTACGTTTCCATAGAGAGGGCCAATGATACATTTCACTGAACCGTTGAGGAAGCATCCATTATTAGACTGGGGATATCTTTCTCTTGATCAATGTATGTTTCTCCCAGATTTTCAGTATGACAGTTTTAAGCTCAGTTGTAAATTAGAAAATATCATATGCCAAATAAGAATATTAGGATGGAATATCACACGGCCCAGGAATTAGCCTTTGACCTCTCAAGGAATGGGATTCGCTTGATGTTTTACTGCATTCACCACGCCCAGAAACGTTTCTGCACGTGCTTAAACACGCGAACAACTATGCACAAGACAACTGTGTGGTTGACATGAATGTTCATTAGTCTCCTGATCCTAAACCAATTAGACTGCTCCATCCAAATCTGGTAGCGAGTCCCATAGGTTGTCAGTAAATGGTATCGACCTACACTCATATTGGGGCTGAGGATGTACAAAGCATCCCTGCAAGTTAGTGCCATATTACCCGTTAAACCATTGCCATGACGTCACACTATTGTTAAAAGTGTGGATTCGGATCTACGTATCTCTTACACTGGTCACAAAGTGTGGATTCGGAACGACGAATCTTTAGTAAAGTGTGGATTCGGAATTACGAATCCACACTTTGAACACCTCGGACAATTGTTCTCCATAATGAGCCTGGATAGGACCGTCTGCGTGACAATTTGCTTTCCGAAAATTACCAATGCATCTTCACTATCAGATTCTCCGCTGTCACTGCAAAATCTACATTTAGTCAAAAAGAAATCGTCATCTAAACTATCCATTTTGACGTTAGGAGCATATATACACACAAAATGACTTGGTTGTACGGGTGTACAACTTACGAGTCCACACTTTCTCGTGTATTCTCCTTAACCTACACGTATCCCTGGGATGGTATGCTGTATGATACAGCCGGTGTGTGGCGGGCGAAATAGAACTACATCCGGCCGATTACCGACTTGATTTCAAGTCTAGCTGAAACCTAGATCTCAGGCTGATATACTCACACGATAATTATAAAAATAAAATGTATCACCTTCCCACCAAGTTTTGTCACTCTTGACTCATTCGGTAGTAGTCTTGGCCAAAGACGCTGGTCCAAGACGCTAGTGATCGATAGTGGGTTGTGCATATCTAACGGCATGGTTAGACCAGCGCGCCTGCTCGCACTAACGTCTTGGGAAACCTGTAGTAGCCGTTTTTATTTTTGTTTATTTTCTCCCTAGGCTTTCCTATGGAACGAATCAGCGATCGCAAAATGGTTTATAGTCAGTGGCGCGCTCGCACGACGGTTGTAAATATACTGTACGCGCTACTGCAGTGATCAAGCATTGCTAATAAGATATGCAACGCAGTTATACCCCGCACGAGCACCGGTATCTTATGGGAAGCCACCTTTTTGTTGAAGATTTTAATATTTACACCACCGCCTTATTTACATAAAGTGGCCACGCCCCATTGCTGCAAAGTTCCCAAGACGTTAGTGCGAGAAATTGAAAAAAACAATTGTGCAAGTGCACTCTACAACAATGCAACCTCGCTATTTATCACTGACATCTTAGGGCAAGACTTATTTGGTAGTGATTGGTGAAATAAATGTATAATCTAAGATCTACATATGAAAAGAAATTCCATCAATGTTGAATTGAAAACTAATGTGTTTCATAATTGAATATTAGTCAATGAGGTCTGTCATGAAAATCAAAACAACTGCTCGAAAATCTGAGAATATTTTGTAAAACTGTTTTTTTGTTTTGTTTGAACAGACCTTTCTGCATTCCTGGGGTTATTGCACAAAATATACTTGTAATTCTCCTTGTAAATCAACTTGATCAGTTAAACTGTTCTGAAGTACAGACTTTTTCATCCTGTGTTTGGCCATTAGCACGCTGTGGTGAATAGTCAACAATATCCACATCACAATCTACCATAAATTGCTTCTTGACCAAATCTGGCATTAAACGTTTCCAGCGTACAAGGATTTACCCAAGAATCTCTCCGTGAAGACCCTCTGTATCGCCATGGCAGCGCCATCGTCGGACTGCAGAAGACTGTCACAGCACTCCTTGGCGAGCAGGGTTTTCACGAGATGCTCTCCGCAGCCGGATGTAGAACAAGCCACTGACGGCTTGCCGTCATTGTTTCTGTTCTGGGCCCAGCAGCCGCAACCATATGATGATGCCTGAAAATAGTAGTACCAATGAACAGTAAATATTTACAAAAGGGAAGTTAATTACAGACATCCAAAATGCTTTAAATGCCGTCACTGGAGTTCTCCAGTGTAAAGTGTGTGCTATATTGGCACAATACATGCAAGCCGCAATAATAAAGTCATGGCTCTGCGCCCAAGAACAAAAGCACCTAGGGCCATCATGGTTCCACCTACCATAAGCAAAAAACTCCACACTAACTACACGAGAAAATGCTGAATATTACATTTAAGGCCATTTTCTCCATATTCTGGTATGGAGCTTGCCCAAAAAGTGGTGCGGCGACACGGGTCCCCCCCCCTACTTTTTGTTTCTTCAAATGTTGGCTGATGTTGCAGATGACGCTTCGATCCCCTTAAAACTCTCAAAAATATCCTACAGGGTGGAGCTTGAGGTGACCTCAGTAAGGCTTTAGAATTTTGCACCTATTTACGATATTGACCGACACAAACATTCTTCTGGAAATTTGGATAGTCAAGACAAAAATCAGAGAAAACGGTAACGTCAGACCATATATACAGCGACATCGACATCGACATTGTGCATGTGCTGCCAGGCTGGTCATAAGTCTGCTCCCTTACATATTGCGCTAATTAAAAGCATTTACAGGTTCAAGCTACACGACCATCGCTCCCTCAGTCTGGTTTCCAGACGCACAATTACAAAATTACAACACCGTCTGCAAATCGTGCTTGACTAAATTTAGTGCAGAATATATGGGAGCCGAGAGAGCCCACATAAAGCTTATACTCAATCTTAACCCCATCTAAAAACATGTTAAAATTGTGCAGCAGTAGAACTCCAGTCAAACCAGAGAGTTTGGCGGTTTTGAGACATCATCTTTTTAAAATTTTGCCGACGTGCATGGCTATGGCGATGTGCGTTCAGACCAGAAACCGGAGACTTTTTTTGGGGGGGGCTAGTGGGTCAGAAAGGATCTTTGGAATTCAAGCTATACATTCAAGTTTGTGCTTACATCGTTATTCATAGTAGAGCAGAAATTCAACACAAGTGAGTGGAGAATGCTGATCATACACACAGAATTCTAAAGTCATTAAAAGCTGGGCCCAGTTTGTGCAGCCCATCAGCGAGGGAGTCCACTCCACTGCTTTCTCTTACCTGACCCACTCTACCTGGATGTTTGAGGGCGATGCCCCCACTGGACACAGCACTGCTGACGTTACCACTGGCGTCCACACACACAGCACCTACGGTGTCCAACGGTGAATCTCTGCAATCAACAACATCATCAGTTGGAATGCTGACAGCATCAAAGCATGGAAGTCGCACCTAGTGGGGAAGGAAAAGCAAACACGCCATTCAAGCCATTGGTCTTGTCAGGTATATCTGGAAAAATCAGGAACTCTCTTATGGCTGATCTAGACAAAAACAAATTGTCACCGTTTTCACGAACTGACACTCACATGCTATTGGGTGTCAGTTCGTGAAAACCACGTAATCAACAATTTCAGTTTCACGAACTGAACCCAGGTGTGCGCACGCACATCGAACACTGACGCGAAATAGAATGATTTTGGTTTTCACGAACTGAAACACAAGCATGTATGTGGCAGAAATACAATTAGGACTTACACAAAAAAATTTCAAAACCCTTTTTACTGGTGAAATTAAGATCAGTTTCAGTTAGTGAAAATTACAATGTACGGAGTGCGCGCTAGACGTGCTGCACTGTGCCATGTGTCAGTTAGTGAAAAAGAAAATAAGGCGGTTCTGTAAAATACGCGCGTGCCGCGCACTAACGCTTAACTGAGTGTCAGTTTGTGCTGTCGGTGACAAAATGGTGCGTCATTCAGGAAGTCAACACAAAAATGAGAGAAGCCAAATAGCGGCTGCCTAAAGTGTCTTTACATGCCTTAGGCTCGACCATGTTGTAGCTGTGTCCTTTGCAATTCAGCTTCTGCTAGGAGTCAATTTACCCCAAAATCTATTGAATTAATTTTAATACATGCAGTAGACTTTCAAACCCTGATAGACTACAAATTCCCGTTAAACCATAAAATGATTTACATGGTTATTTGTCCAGCTGGGTTTCTTCGGTGAGCTCAGTTCCGCTGCAGACAGCCTCCTCTTGTGCTTGCGATATGCAGAGAGGGCGCCCTTCGTCAGCAGCACACTGGTCGCAGTCTCCTGAATGCCGTGATCCCGTGCCCACTGCAATGCCCCATTACCTACCAAGAAACTGTTAAAAAATCAATCTAGGTAAAATCTTTATTTTGGGAACTTGCGAAGAGAAATGAAAGCAATGACATAAAGTTAATTACATATTAATACCAGTCTGCTCTAATGCATAATTTAAAATTTGTAATTAAACATAACAAAATTGTTGAAAATTTATAATTTTTGACTTGTTTTGACTTTTTGACCCAAAAGTATTTATGAATTGGAATAGATATGTGCTTGGCCAGTATTAAACAAGTCCATGTTAAGACCAGCGTGGGGCTTGGTCGCATTTAATGGCCCGAGCCGAAACAGCGTCCATTATAAGATAAATCTTTATTCCCTTAATTTTTTTCCTGAAACATGAAAAAGGCTGAATTCCTTTACCTAGGTGGGATTCTTCCACATGACAGTGATCCTTTCATCTGTTCCAATATGAGCGCTCTGCAGACTTTACTGGGATTCTGTATGCCTGAGAAATAATAAAGCAAGTCTTACAATATTATCTGGTACATCGTATCCATTTCTGTACATTGTATCCACGGTCATGCCATCAAACTTCTACATGGTTCATCTTTTGAAAAAGCACCAAGATATGTAATGTACTAGTCTGAGTATCACCCTTATCCACGGAGCCAAGTCTCCTGTACAACGTCTGATATGTCTAAACATGCAAGCCGCGCGCCAGCTAATCGGAGTCGACTTTACTAAATCGTGACGTCATTTCATTCCCAAATCAGGACTAATGGCTTGATTGCTCAATTCGAATGCAGTGTTTTGTAATACAACAACCGCCAGGCGCATATTGCGTAACATGATACAGAGCGCGTGACAGTTTTTTTAAATCCATGTCTATGACGCGCAACGGGTGAATGACCGAAGACCCGATACAGAAAGCGCCCGCTGATTGGTACATATCTAGAGGTCAAGATGCGGTTGTCTTGCATAATTAATCAGCGAATCTGCTCAAATGTAATAGACCATGGCGAAATTACATAGACTAGTAATGTACCAGCACAGTCATAGACTTCACGTCACCTACTCTGTGATAACGAAACCTCTCCTTTAAAAACTTGACTTAAGACCCCAAACTTGGCTGATGAAATGTTTGTATTTTCAAAGTTTACAGAAATTGTGCTCACTAAAGACTGAATAAGGGTAATTAGCAGTATGACTTGCCAGATAATGCTCCAACGGCCCCATACTGCAGGCTCCGCCCGTCCATTATGCTGGCATCGCATTCCACATTGCCGCACAGATTCAGGTTGGACCCCACGCCTGCATTGGTGAATGGACTGTCCTGAAACAGGTGCCAATCAATTATGCAAATTAGGGATTCATGGGCGAAGATGTGTTTCCATTCAAAAGAACAAGCGGTAAAAGACGCGGTGTGACATTACAATATAAAAGCAAATAAACACAGGTCAAACACTTCCATGCTTGGCCACAAAATGACTGTACTATCATGCATCACAGTATATTTAGATACTTTTTGTGAAATGGGGATTGACTCTTATACAATGAAAAAAAAAAACACTGAAAATTTACAACAAAAAAGAGCAAAATGATTTCCGACAGGTATATAATATGAAGTTGAAGTAGTACTTTTTTTAGAAAAGTGGTTACTAGACAAAAAGATGTTTCAACTTTACACTGAGAGAAATTCACCTCTAGGATGCCAACGGTGGTAGTAACTACATCCAGAGCAGAACACTTATCACGTATCATCTTCATAGCCTAAAGAAAACAACAAGGAGGGCATCTGATGAGAAATTGCAGAGAAATTGTGGGTAGCGAAGTTGGTCAAGCATCAGCAGAGTTTTTCATAGGTTGTTGATGACTTCTAAATTCAGTCAATTTTTGAAACCATTATCTGAATTATCTGATGATGTTTCCACGTTTTGATCTGACAGCCTTAAAGGGACATTACACAGCCTTAAAGGGGCAATACGTCCTGGAATATGTCCCATTGGGCTACAAAACGCATTTTCAACGAAATTTTAATCAGAAAGAACATTTAAAAGTACGATTTAAACAACCACACAACTATCCTTTAAAAACTAGTTGTTTTTGTGTTATTCTTGTGTATGTTGTGCCCATTCTTGAAAATCACGCATTCTCGAGAATGGGCGCGCATTCTTAAGAATGAGCGCCCATTCTTAAGAACGAACACGCGTTCTTAAGAATGAGCGCTCATTCTTAAGATTGGGTGGGAATATCATGTGCACAATTTATGAATTTTGCCCAATCTTAACAAACATTGCACGACATAATTATGTTAAATGAATTGTATAGCGGTTAAAAGGAAACAATTCATATAAAGAGGAAAGAAAATGTTCCATGCTTCTGTACTCGTATAACTACGATAATTTGAATCAAATTAAACCTGTTATTATTGCTTTTTCTGCCCACTATGGGAAGTTTTGTAATAACGGAGGACTGGGAACTAGTCTGGGAAGTGCTTTGTTTAGGCTAGATAAGTTACAAGTCCCTGCATGTATCATATGCGTGCCACGAAAAAAAAACGATGTCCAGAAGCTGCCAAAATTGCTCTTTTGACTAGATAGAATCCAGCTCTGCGACGTTATGGTGGGGTGTGAACAATAAATTGGTGGAAATTTAAATGGGAAATAGCATAAGCACTATGGGATGTCGCAGTATTCATTCTCATTCTTCACATTCTTCATTCTTACGTCCCCCCCCCCCCCCCCCCCGCTTTTATTATCCCAAAAATCAGAATTCTTTGCACTAGTATTATTATGTCTCTTATTTTTTCCCGGTCCCCCCCCCCCCCATATCAATACGCCTTTACTTATCATATCCACTCTACTTTACAGCGCCTTGCGTTGCAATCAGTGAACGAGGATTCAGCTAGACTTGCCAAGCGCAGCCGGTGCTCGGCATCGACAAGACCGTTATCTTGTCGCGCATTCTCAAGAATGTGCGCTCAATCTGGAAGAGTTATTTTTTGCCAAGATTGAGTAAGGATCCAGTTGCACATTCTCAAGAATGTGCAGGCCCATTCTCGAGAATGCGTGATTTTCAAGAATGGGCACAACATGTATACTCATGCGAGAACGAATTTCGGGGTCCACATTTGCAAACCCCAAAAATCGGGTTGTTCAGTGATAGTTGTGATTCCAGCCGTTAAGTGTTCACCTTCGTGTAAGAAACCACATTTTATGCATTGGTGCTGTGTATGTGACACATGTGTATCGTACAAGAATGAAAATGACATGAAAAAAAGTATGCGTACTTCGTTGTGTCCAATGTAAACAACCATGTTTGGTTTTTTTTCTCGGGAACATTAGGTTTCCTTTCAACTAGACCATTTAAATAGCGTATGTAAACAATCCAAAACATTAAATTTTGGGGGATTTCAGGCCGTAGTGCCCCTTCAAATTACAAAAACTAAATAATCAAATTAAACCATTTCACTTCTCTTGTTTATCACTAGAAATGAATAGATGAAATATGGAATAGATGTATAGGGCCTACCTGCACACAAGCTTGATGACATACTGCTTTATATTCTCTCTGATTGACAGTGGAATGATACCCAGCTCCTGCACCAAAAAAAAAAGAACTTACTTTTCATAAAAACCTGCAAACATAACTAAAATTACTTATTACTTGTAATTCTGTGCCTCAAATGAAATCAAAGTTAGAATTTAGTTATATATAGTAGTGTTCCCTAACGTGGTGCACTTCAACGTTAACCCCAAATTTTCTTAAGCATTTTGTTTTTAAACTTCTTTGTTGACAAGGTTGGCGTAGCGGTACTTTCCCCGCCTTCCACCGCTGTGACCCGGGTTCGAATCCCGCCTGGGCCAATATGTGGATTGGGTTTTCAGTCCCTACCTGATTCCGTGGATTTTTTCCCAGAATATGCACTGTGCACTTATCAGCTTATATAATGTGAAATATAATGGGGAAATAATGCCAAAATAAATTTCTCTGCTAACTTTGTCATGGGTAGGTAAACTTGAGATTTATGCACGGTAATGGTTAGAGCTTGATAAAATTTCACTTCCTGTGAAATTTCAGGTAAAAGTTTTGCCCTAGCAAGGCACTAGAACAGGTATCCGAATTGTCTTGGAACTGTTGTGCCCATTCTTGAAAATCACGCAATCTTAAGAATACGCGCGCATTCTTAAGAATGAGCGCGCATTCTTAAGAATGAGCACAAGTTCTTAAGAATGAGCGCTCATTCTTAAGAATGCGTGGGAATATCACGTGCACAATTTATGAATTTTGCGCAATCTTAACAAACATTGCACGGCATAATTATGTTAATTAAATGAAATGTATAGCGGTTAAAAGGGAAACAATTTATATAAAGAGGAAAGAAAATGTTCTATGCTTCTGTACTCGTATAACTACAATAATCTGAATCAAATTAAACCTGTTATTATTGCTTTTTTCTGCCCACTATGGGAAGTTTTGTAATGACGGAGGACTGGGAACTAGTCTGGGAAGTGCTTTGTTTAGGCTAGACAAGTTACAAGTCCCTGTATGTATCATATGCATGCCACGCAAAAAAAAACGATGTCCAGTTAGTCCAGAGGTTGCCAAAATTGCTCTTTTGACTAGATAGAATCCAGCTCTGCGACGTAATGGTGGGGTGTGACGTGTGAACAATAAATTGGTGGCAATTTAATTGGGAAATAGCATCAGCAGATTAGCACTATGCCATGTCGCAGTATTCATTCTCAATATTCACATTCTTCATTCTTACGACAAGACCTTTATCTTGTCGCGCATTCTTAAGAGTGTGCGCTCAATCTGGAAGAGTTATTTTTTGCGAAGATTGTGCAAGGATCCAGTTGCACAATCATAAGAATGTGCATGCGCATTCTTAAGAATGCGTGATTTTCAAGAAAGCGCACAACAGAACCGAGTTGACCTGGCTGGGACAAGTTGACCATGTTGACACGCGTTACGGACCTAGCCCTATTTTATGGCCACACACTGCAGTACCAGTAGAATCGCTTTTTATACCCAAATGTACAGCAATGAATCCAGATGTGCAGTTTTGGTCCTCCATCACTCGCGATCGGCGTATGCGGGTTTAGTAGTGGCGGTAGTGCGCGTAAAGTAAAGATCAATCGATTTCACGAAGCTGATTCAAGGGCGGCGCCATTTTGAAGAGACTGATACCCTACATACTGTCTACGCATTATTACTTTATTGAGGCAGGACTTCGCTCTTATCTAGTTCCCTTAACTTAAATGCTGAAATCTGTGCATAAATCAAGGAACAGACTATTCACCCTGCTCGTCAATTTTGTGTTACGTGGTGTTGTAAACAGAACGTCAGAAAGCAGGTGGAAATTTCACCGTAAAGTAAGATTGAATCGGCAAACTTCAGTTTGGGAAGAATGTTTTCCGACGCCAATTTTGTACTATTGTGGGAATTTGTGAACAAAGTCAATGTGGGCTAAAATTCGAATGAATATGTTTGTTTTATTTCTCCATGGTTTGTCCGATCGTGTCTGTCTTTTTGTTCTTGTGATTACGTTGTATTGTCCAGGCTGTTCTACCTACAACAAGCCTTGGCTTATGTGAACAGCCTTGCATTTCCTATAGTCATGATAGTATACTATTACATATATTTTTTTAACTTCGCTTGCTATTAGTAATCTTAATTTAAATAATTAGATTCAAAGCATTATTTTTCTTCATATTTGTATTCGTATATTTAAATATCAATGTATTATACTTATATTTCCAAGTTTGTCTTGGTTTATTAAATGAATGTAAACTGAATTGAATTGAATTGAATGAAAAAACATGTCACATGATTTGAAATAACTTGTTATCCCTAGCATGCCTATCCACAGCAGATAGATAGCGGATGGTGGCCTCACTAGTCTCTGTGGCCACTTCTCCATGCTGTGGCATGCTATGCTAATCTGGTGGTCAAAGTGCTGCAGGAATTTGACAGTTTCCTTTTTTTCCCTCAAGGTGCATTTTGGTTTAATCATGCCCGTTTTTTTTCCCCTCCGAAGCAGCACCTCAATGTCTCTTTTTTCTGCCCCAGTTTTCAGAACCATAGTCTCATCTCAAGATTTGTATGACATCAATAGACTCAAGTAAATCATTTGACCCAGATTTTTGTATTTACGTTTGTTTTGTTATCAACAGCTTCACCCGAAGGGCAGTGACTGAAACAGGTATGGAATCTCAGCTGAGGGAGTATCGGGCCCGCAAGGCGAGGGAGAAGATGAAGGAAAGCAACAACCAGCCAGGAGTATGGACACGGATTTGGGGGACAAATACCACGTCAGATGGTCACGATGCTGGAGATCTGTCAAAGGATTCTGCTTCATGTGTATGTATCTTGGTTCTCAGCATGTGCTCAAGTTTTGTATGGGAGATCCTATCGACCTTGTGGGTTAACCCTAACCCTGCAGGGTATTTGGATAGAAACCCTGCCAAACTCAGCAACATGCAACATTTGTGTAAGTGACAAGCCTGCCCAGTGCAGCAAGATCCATCAGGTCAAAAGTCTCAAGGCCAAAGTGCCTCATAGTCAGTGGTCACCGAATGCAGCAGGAGATACCTGTGGCATTGTTCTATGGAACTAGCTCTCATTGTCTCGGTAGTGGCCGTTTATGCACTGGTATCGGTAGCTGAATGCATCAAAGTGCACCAGACTTTTCCACCTGATTTTCTGTGTTGCGTCTGGCAGGGTTAGGGATTATTAAGGCAGAGTTATGCGGAGAGCAATGGTATGAGCAAACGTTTTGCTCATTCATTTTACTAGGTTCAAATACTACAGAACACTGTCGGAGACACCTGCAATGCATTTTGTACATTGTCAAAGGCACCACAACCAGAGCTGTAGACTAACTTTACAACATGGTCTTTCAGTACAAGACCTCTCTCTCAATGTGAAGATGCTCTGTAAAAGATCCTAACCCTAACCCTGCTCAATCCAACAGGATCCAACTATTTTACATACCTGCTGGGTTCTGTTGGATTGAGCAGTAAACCCCTTGTATATATTCCTGTTAAAATCTGTTGGATTCAGCAGACAACTGGAAATATTCAGAGTCGGATTCTGTTGGGTGCTGGTAAATAACGCCAAGTTGGACTCTGTTGGATCCAGCAGACAACAGAAACATAAGGCACAGTTGGATTCTGTTGGATTGAGCATGCCAGTCATTTTATATGTTCAGGTACCCAACAACTTGGCAAGTTGGATTGTGTGGGACTGTATTGGATTGAGCAAGAAACTCATATGAGTAACGGTCGGACTCTGTTGGATTTAGCAGGGTAGTCCTGGGGAACTACTAGGGGGTTAGGGGTAATTACCTTGTCATTGAACTCTAAACTGGTATGCTCCTTATTTATTGATCCTATTGATTACGTTTCTTGGGTATTTGAGTTTTCAAAAACAGTTCTCATTCAGTGTTGATTTACTTTGCATTTTTTTCAGAAATTGACGACACCTGCTGTCAACAGCCTTCAGGAACACACTCCTAAGAATCGTGTTCTCCAGTTCATAGCCCAGGACAACTCGTTTTTTACCAATTTGTTCGTCTTGAAACTCCTCCTATGGATTGTTCTCTTTGCTCTATTCCTTCACCTTGAGTTTGCGGCGGTGTACGTCGTCGTGTCGTCCTTGTACATTATTTACTCTACCCTGGGAACCAGGCAAACCAGGGCACCAGGGGAACTCAGTGCCTACTCGGTGTTCAACCCAAACTGTGAAGAGATCGAGGGAACTCTGACGGCCGCTCAGTTTGAGCGGGAACTGAAATACGGGATCGGGTCAACGAAGAAATGACACTCAAGTGGATTTGAACAAGGAGGGAGATTTTTCATATCACAATAAGCTGTATTTGAAGAACAAGACAGGTTTGATGTGATAATATTCAGTTTTGAATATATGCCATTTCATTTGTCAGTACTCAGCCACTGAAATGTGTTTTCAAAGCAGCAACTGCCATGCTTCTGTTTCATCAAAGGGAAATTTCTGAATATAAATTTTCAGTATAATACATGTACATGTACTACTAAGGGAATAATAGTGTGATGGAGTAGGCCAAGGCCCCTAACTGGTTTGAAACATTACATTTATAATTAGTATACCTCATAAATATTCATGATCGAGAGCCAAACTCTCACTGGTCAATTTACCAACATTGTTTACCAAGCGCACGCATGAGGAATTTGAGGATGCGTGAATCCGCATTCATAAATACGCATTCGTAGTAGACTGTCGCACGGGTTACCCATACGACAGTCTACTACGCATGCGCTTTACAAAGCAATTGTGGAACTGTCGGTTGGGTGTAGTACGCATGCGCGAACATCGCCCAAGCAAGCTACACACGAAGAGAGATAGTTGCACAGTACGAGTAAATGTTAATTTCTCGAGCTCAATGATGCCGAACTGGAGAATATTTATGGACAATAAAGATGCCTCCTGTACAAAAGAAAGTTGCCCACAAACTACTGTATTTACAACTGTTGTTACTGTATTGCAAACGAACTGAAATAAAAAAAGTGAGGTTGAGCAATAAGATTTTTTTGGTGAGCTGGACAAGTTTCTCCAAAGAGGTGCACACTGCCAACGAAAAAAAAATGGCAGCTGAATATGTATGAGGTATAGTAAAACAAATATAACATGGTTTATTTTGGGTGGACAGTTGATATTAGCTCCCCTCGGTATTGGAACTTGACAAACTAGTTCCCGAGGCTAAGTTTGTCAACTTCCAATACCTCACGGAGCGAATATTGACTGTCCACCCTCAAACCATGTTATATTTGAATACTGCCCCATGATTTTTTTTAAACAAAGAAACATGGAATTTTTTGCTGGGAGAATTTTTGCCAGAAATGTTTTTTTGTTATTGTAACCTTCAAATGAAGGTTGACTGAGGAAGAAGCAGTATATCATTTTTGGATTTTTTCTTGATGTGACCAGCCACCTTTGGTGGACTGGTTGTTGAGTTTAGTTTTTCTCTTGGAAGGGCACAACCTATATCTCCCCCCCCCCCCCTTGTCTTAATTGCGCAATGGAATGTAGTGACGTCTGGCAGCTTATGCCCCAGGGCAATTCCCATAGCTGACCAGGGCCTACACCCAAGACCATAGTGTAGATAGGATCACTTTGCCACTCACTTTCCCACTGAACACTGTTCCTTGAAGACCTACTGCAGATCCAGACACCAAACCTGTTTAGCTTTTGTTCCAGTACATAGCATCTTATTGGTGAGTTTCATCTCTGTCTTCTTGTTTTTATTAGGTACTTGATAGTTTATTATTAGCCTGATTGAGCTACCTTGCACCTTTGATTAATTTGACTGGACACTCAAGGAAATCAAGTTGTTTTGTTTGTTGAGTATAATTCTGGCATTTAGAATTGTGTTCTAAATTGATTTGTGATTATTTCTTGAACTGATTGCGACCAACGATCATTGCAGTGGATAAACTTTGTTCACTGACCATTTTAATGATGATGAATATTTACATATATGTAGCTTTAGGATTATTAAATTCATAGATTTACTAGTAATAATTCGAGACTAAGGAGGAGACCGATTTGGTTGAGTCAGTTGAAGTTCAATCTTTAAGTGATTATTGAATGATGCCAGTGTACCTTTATTAAGTTGGAAATGCTGGAAGTTGCATGGTGTTTTGGCTGAACCTTCTACAGTAGTTTAGACCATGTGACCACAGGCCTATGCTTTTGTGTATATAGTTCAGCAAGCAGTGCCTCTGCTTATCAGTTAGCTTGATCAGACACCACAGGTGGTTGGGCTCTGCTAGAGACAATGAGGCCCTTTAAGAGATTATGTTACTGTCTTCTGGAGTAAAACCCCCTTAGGGCTATTTAGCTGAGTGTGATGCTGGTATTTAGGAAGTGAGTTTATCAATTGCCATATATCGATGGACTGTAAGAGTGCACAGCATTGCATGTATCGATATTGATGTTTTAGCGATGAAGTTGCTTTGTTTCGATTAAGTTTGTTCCAGTAATTGATATACAATCATTGGCACATCGCCACACAGGTTTATTCAGTGGAGCACTGATGTTTTGAGACTTAATAGTTTTCTCTTTGGAGACTGTGTTCTTTGAGTTGCTAGAAAGAGCACAGGTATGTGTTAGTATAAGCCTCATTAAGTATTCGCTCTCTTTTTTAGTTGATCTTTACACAAGTTTATGTTTTCCTTTATTAGAGTGAGTTACTGTATAACGACTTAGATTATTACTTGTTTAGTTTTAGTTTTCATTTTACTTATTATTGTTTCTATTTCTTTCCTTTTCTTATAGCCAATATACCAACCCCTTTTTGTTTTGTATGGTTACTGTTGTTTCATGCAATAAAATCAGCTTGAAGAACTTGATCCGGTTACATGCGTCGTAGACAGGATTCAAGCTTCTATTAAGGGGTTGGTAATATAACTTGGCAAACCTGCAGGTGAATTACAGAGTGTGAGATTGTCACCAACCCACACCATGGATGAATTGGAGGAGCGAGTGAAGGTGCTGACAAAGCGCTTAGATCAGCAAACTGGCCCGGGCACAAAAACTAAAGTGGTGGTGGTCCCCAGAGAACGAGGTGCGAAGCTGTCAGGGCGACCTCGTACCGATAAGGACCCTGAGGTCATCGAATGGGCAGAGGATATGCGGCGCATGACCAGTGACCTGACCGAAACAGAAGGCGTCCAGTTCATTCTAGACCACCTTGAGGGGGCAGCAAAGGACGAGGTGCGGCTCTGCCCTGCTGCTGACAGAGACACGCCAGACAAGATATTAAAGCAAGTCGTGAAGACCCTCTGCCCCCAGGATACCCCATCGTCCCGCTGGGGGGAGTTCTACGCAAGAGTGCAGCGAGGCGGGGAGTCAGTCCAGGATTTCTCTCTGCAGCTGATGAAGCTCCTGCGGCGGGTGGCTCTAGTTTCCCTGACCGATGGCATAAATGACCAGGATGCCGTCCTGTGTGAGCGTTTTGCAGCTGGCTTAGCTGACCCTACACTGCGGAGGGAGGTCCGACGGGTCATACAGGAAAACCCCGGCATGGAGTTTTCAGAGCTCCGTAGCAAGGTGATATCATGGGAGAGTCCATCCACCACAGCTGTGACGAGGGCGGCTAAGGCCTCGGAAAGTGCCTTGCAAGCCCAGCTCGACCGCCAAGGAGGCCAGATACTCGCTACGCAGGAGGCAGTGACCAGGCTGTGTGAGCAGGTGTCGTTGCTGTTGTCACACCAGAATGCTGCTACAGCAAGACCAAGCAGACCGAGCCGGGGACCAGTGAAGTGCTTCAACTGTGATGGTACAGGCCATTTCGCAAGTCAGTGTCCTAGCCCCAAGAGGAGACAACAACCAGCGCAGGCAACGGATCGCTGGGCTGATGCACCCCTATTCTATCCATCCCCAAAGGACAACGAAGACCGCCCCCCTCAACCAAAGATGTCCCCAAAAGCCAGCCCTCCATCGTAAAGAGCCAAGCGGTGGAGGGGAGGGAAGGTGGCTCCCCAACAAATGCCTGCACCGTGGAAGAGATGTTTAAGAGAGCAGTTGCAAGGAGCCCCGAGGTGACTGTATCAGTAATGGGTCAGGATGTTCGCTTCATTCTTGACACTGGGAGCGAAGTGACCATCCTGCCAGAGAGTATCTACCGATCTTTGGATGGTGGGCAACCGCTGCAAGACATATCCAGATGGCTGAAAGTATATGCAGCAAATGGCATTGAGCTTCCGTATGCGGGCTACACGGAGTTGGATATGGATGTACTTGGGATCCAGCTAGGCAGGGTGGCAGTACTCGTTTCACCGGCATCAGGGGCAAGTGGTAGTACCATTACAGGCTTGCTCGGCTGCAACGTGATACGAGAGGTACGCTCAGCCCTGCTGGAGGAGAACGGTAGCAAATACCTACAGTCACTACGTGACAAAGGACCTTGGGCGAACGCCTTGCTGGCATGTGAGATGGAGGACAAGGAAAGTGCCAAGACAAGATTCGTAAAAGTTGGAGGGAGGCAGCCGATCCTCATACCAGCCCAGAGTAACAGGGTGGTAACTTGTACAACGACAGGGGCGCCGAGAAGAGCACCTCAATCAGAAGTCTTAATCGAGGCTGTGCATGGGCGCATTGGGAACCTCCCGCGGAATGTAGCAGTAGTGAATACCTGTTCCTCCTTCCAGGGTGGACTAGTTTCCACTAGGGTTGTAAATGTTGGTGAGGAGGACGTATGGTTGCAACCCAGGACACGACTCGGAGTCATGTCTGATGCAAAGATCCTCCATTCGGAGGAATATACCACGCAAGAAACGAGTAACCACCAAATGGTTGACCCTGAAGAGGCCACTGCCCATGCGAACTGCATCACGACAGATGTACCGTCTGATGGACCCCTACCATTCAACATTGACATTGGTAATGCCACGTTAGAACCAGACCAACACAAGCATCTCACCAAGTTATTGAGGCAGTATGAGGATGTGTTCTGCCATGATGACGAGGACCTCGGTTACACATCGACGATAACACACAACATCCCTACTCATGATGAACGACCGGTCTGCGTGCCTCACCGTAGAATTCCCCCGCACCAGATGGAGGACGTGAAAACACATCTCCAAAAACTTCTACGTCAGAAAATAATCAGACCGTCAACAAGCCCCTATGCAGCCCCTGTAGTCGTCGTCCGGAAGAAAGATGGGAGCATTCGACTCTGTGTCGACTACCGGGCTCTGAACAAGAAAACCAGGAGCGACGCTTACCCTCTACCCCGTATTGATGAGGCGCTCGATTCCCTTAAGGGAGCAAAATACTTCAGTTCCATCGACTTAGCCCAGGGCTACCACCAGGTAGCCGTTGCCGAAGAGGACATCCACAAGACAGCCTTTCGAGCAGGTACTGGGGGTCTGTATGAGTACTTGAGGATGCCCTTTGGGCTGAGCAACAGCCCTGCGACCTTTCAGCGATTGATGGAGGTGATTCTGGGTGACCTTAACTACAGCAGCTTGCTCCTCTACTTGGACGACATACTGGTATTCTCGAGTGGGTTTGAAGAACACCTCCAACGACTAGAGGTAGTCCTTCAGCGTCTGAGGCACCATGGCCTCAAGGTGAAACCTAGTAAGTGCCACTTCTTTCGTCAAGAATGTCAGTACCTGGGCCACATTGTCTCTGCAGAGGGTGTTGCAACCGACCCAAGAAAGACTGAGGCAATCAGTCAATGGAAGACGCCAAAGAACGAGCATGAACTGCGCTCCTTTCTGGGGCTTGCAGGTTACTACCGGCGATTTGTCCAACACTTCAGCCGAATAGCAGCACCCTTGCATGCCTTGTTGACCAAGCAAGGATGTCAGAAGGGTAGAGGACGCCGCCGCCCTAGTCCAAGCCAGAACCAGGACTTTGCCAACCGCTGGAGTCCTGAGTGCACCCAGGCTTTTGAGACTCTACAAGAAAGACTAACATCCCCACCGATTCTTGGGTTCCCAGACTTTACCAAGCCATTCATCCTGGAAACAGATGCCAGTTTCGACGGCCTGGGGGCTGTCCTATCTCAAGAACAAGAATCAGGGCGAGTGGTGGTCTCCTATGCCAGCAGAAGTCTCCGTCCAACCGAGCGAAACATGCAGAACTACAGCTCCATGAAGCTTGAACTACTAGCACTGAAGTGGGCTGTCACAGAAAAATTTCGTGACTACCTCCTGGGCGCAGAATTTCTCGTGTTTACGGACAACAATCCGTTATCATACATCAAAACGGCAAAACTCGGAGCCACAGAGTTGAGATGGGTTAGCCAGTTGTCTCAGTTCAACTTTCAGATAAAGTACCGGTCTGGCAAGGCAAATGCAAATGCTGATGCCCTCAGCCGTCATCCAGTACACATTGAAGAGGCCGCACAAGAATTGACCCAGTCTGCACCCCTTCATGAAATCTCTGGCGTGCAAACCCGAACCGTGAAAGTACGCAGCACTACAACAATGGACACACCCCCCACCACTTCGACATTACCCGGATACTCCCCAGAGATGCTCGCTGAACTACAGAAGAGAGACCCTACCATTGCTGGCTTCGCGAGGAACTGGAGATATGGCACAAAGCCCACATGGCTTGACCTGAAGCACGAAACGAATGCGGTCAGGGCCCTCGTTAGAAGGTGGGACAGAGTGGCCGAGAAGAATGGGGTGCTCTACATCAAATACCAAGACCCCCTGGAGGGAGAATACCACCAGCTGCTGCTGCCTGCAGAGCTCCAGCCAATGCTCCTAGGGGCTCTGCATAATCAGGCTGGCCACCAAGGCCAGGAACGCACTCTCGCACTCCTACGAAAGAGATGTTGGTGGCCCGGGATGTCGGCTGATGTGGAGAGGTGGTGTAAGAGTTGTGAAAGGTGCACAGTGGCGAAGGCACCAACTCCCAGGGTCCGTCCGACTATGGGTACTCTCCAAGCAGACAAGCCACTAGACATCCTAGCCATCGACTTCACGACACTAGAGAAGGCGTCAGATGGACGCGAAAACGTGTTAGTCATGACAGATGTCCTCAGCAAGTTCACGCAAGCAGTCCCATGCAGAGACCAGAAAGCCTCCACTGTTGCCAAAATCCTTATAAAGGAATGGTTTCAGAAGTATGGAGTTCCCCGCCGTATACACAGTGATCAGGGTAGGAACTTTGAGTCCCAGCTTGTGAAGGATCTGTGCTCAGCCTACGGGATCTCAAAGAGCAGGACAACAGCTTACCATCCAGAGGGCAACGGGCAGTGTGAGAGATTCAATCGCACTTTGCACAACCTTCTCCGTACCCTACCCCCTGAGCAGAAAAAGCGTTGGCCAGACCATCTACAGGAACTAACGTTCATGTATAATTGCACCCCTCATGCATCCACTGGCCTTTCCCCTTTCTACATATTCATGGGTCGGGAACCACTGCTGCCAATTGACCATGTGATGATGTTTGATGAGGGTGTGATGGGAACGCCACCAACAGAGCCTTGGGTGGCATTACATCAGCAAAAACTGAGACAGGCAGCTGAAATGGCCATCGACAGCATACAGAGGAAGAGCGCAGCCAGGTGTGGGAGACGGGACAACAAAGCGAACGACAAGGGCATTGCCCTAGGTACCAGAGTACTCCTACGGAACCACGCTCCTGGTAGGAACAAGATTGGAGATCACTGGAAGGCAACGCCCTACAAGGTGATTGCGCGACCACAAACAAATGTGTATGTGGTGCAACTAGCTGATGGTACTGGGCCGATGAAGAGGGTTACCCGAACGGAGATCCTTGACACAGGAGACAGTGTTCCCAATGGTCCTCTCCACACTGATCCTTCTCAACAAGACAATCTACGAGACGAGGGAAATGCAGCAGATCGACAACTGCCGGAGATGGTCATAACCATGTATGCTTCAGACATAGAACAGGGACCCACCAGCGACCCCACAGATCCAGTATCACCATCCCTGGCTGATAGCCCCGTCATAACAGAGGAAATCCCCCAGAAGGCCCCTGGAGGGCGAGCAGATCCAGTCCTAACATCCCAGCCTGATGATTCTGTCTTAACAGAGGAGACCCCCCAGCAGGCTGCTGGAGAGCCAGCAGATTCAGTCCCAACATCCCAGCCCGATGATCCTGCCTTAACAGAGGAGACCCCCCAGCAGGCCGCTGGAGAGCCAGTGGACCCTGCCCCTCTTTCCTGTTCCAGTATCCCTAATTTAAGTGGAAAGACTTCAGCCGGGATAACCAGTCCGAGCATGGCAGCTCCGTTATCCCAGCCAGGCCCTGATGACTGTGGAGCCCCAAGTGACCAGCAGGATGGCCCTTCCCAATCCATCACAGGAGGAGCGTCTCCAGCCAGTGCCCCAGTTGAACCAACTCCGCTACGACGTTCCAAGAGGATCGGAGCAGGGCGTCACTCTAACCCTTACCATCTTCCATCTTCTTCATCTAATCGAGTGACATTCATCGATGGACCAGCCCACCTGGACTCCAGCCAAGTTCCAACTAGGACAGGCCAGACGATGGACAGATTCTGAGGAAACCTTGACGAACACTTGTAATGTGCATTGAAGTTAAATTAACTCTAATTTGATAAGTAGTTATCCACGGTCATTGCTGTGGAAAGCAATGCTTTTAACAGAGGAGAATTGTGACCAGCCACCTTTGGTGGACTGGTTGTTGAGTTTAGTTTTTCTCTTGGAAGGGCACAACCTATATCTCCCCCCCCCTTGTCTTAATTGCGCAATGGAATGTAGTGACGTCTGGCAGCTTATGCCCCAGGGCAATTCCCATAGCTGACCAGGGCCTACACCCAAGACCATAGTGTAGATAGGATCACTTTGCCACTCACTTTCCCACTGAACACTGTTCCTTGAAGACCTACTGCAGATCCAGACACCAAACCTGTTTAGCTTTTGTTCCAGTACATAGCATCTTATTGGTGAGTTTCATCTCTGTCTTCTTGTTTTTATTAGGTACTTGATAGTTTATTATTAGCCTGATTGAGCTACCTTGCACCTTTGATTAATTTGACTGGACACTCAAGGAAATCAAGTTGTTTTGTTTGTTGAGTATAATTCTGGCATTTAGAATTGTGTTCTAAATTGATTTGTGATTATTTCTTGAACTGATTGCGACCAACGATCATTGCAGTGGATAAACTTTGTTCACTGACCATTTTAATGATGATGAATATTTACATATATGTAGCTTTAGGATTATTAAATTCATAGATTTACTAGTAATAATTCGAGACTAAGGAGGAGACCGATTTGGTTGAGTCAGTTGAAGTTCAATCTTTAAGTGATTATTGAATGATGCCAGTGTACCTTTATTAAGTTGGAAATGCTGGAAGTTGCATGGTGTTTTGGCTGAACCTTCTACAGTAGTTTAGACCATGTGGCCACAGGCCTATGCTTTTGTGTATATAGTTCAGCAAGCAGTGCCTCTGCTTATCAGTTAGCTTGATCAGACACCACAGGTGGTTGGGCTCTGCTAGAGACAATGAGGCCCTTTAAGAGATTATGTTACTGTCTTCTGGAGTAAAACCCCCTTAGGGCTATTTAGCTGAGTGTGATGCTGGTATTTAGGAAGTGAGTTTATCAATTGCCATATATCGATGGACTGTAAGAGTGCACAGCATTGCATGTATCGATATTGATGTTTTAGCGATGAAGTTGCTTTGTTTCGATTAAGTTTGTTCCAGTAATTGATATACAATCATTGGCACATCGCCACACAGGTTTATTCAGTGGAGCACTGATGTTTTGAGACTTAATAGTTTTCTCTTCGGAGACTGTGTTCTTTGAGTTGCTAGAAAGAGCACAGGTATGTGTTAGTATAAGCCTCATTAAGTATTCGCTCTCTTTTTTAGTTGATCTTTACACAAGTTTATGTTTTTCTTTATTAGAGTGAGTTACTGTATAACGACTTAGATTATTACTTGTTTAGTTTTAGTTTTCATTTTACTTATTATTGTTTCTATTTCTTTCCTTTTCTTATAGCCAATATACCAACCCCTTTTTGTTTTGTATGGTTACTGTTGTTTCATGCAATAAAATCAGCTTGAAGAACTTGATCCGGTTACATTGATAGAAGTGCCTTGTTTGGTTTTAAATTACTCCGTACATTTAAAAAAGCAATACACAAAGCATTATTTTTTCTGATATATTTTATTCATTCTTTTGTCCGACTGTACAAGATGTTTATTTAGTGTAATAAATGCTTTCATTTAAGTCGCCATGGAAACCTTATTGCTAAGCTGGAGTTTTCTTTCACCAGATACTAAGTCTTACAACAGAATGTATGCATTTAAGATACATAATTTTACACTGCCATGCTTTACTGTTAACATAAAAATAAAATGTGGTGGTTTCGCTGAACATAATTGAATAAATATACATGTGTTCTATGTGCGGGATGGGCTTATAGGGATGTCAGTTTTCAGGCTATAGCCTGAATTTAGGCCTTTTTAGGTTTTGGAAAAACAAATTCAGTCTTTCCATTCCTGGCCTTCACAGGCCTGAAAAATAAATCCTCCTTTAACAAGCTCAGAGAGAATTAAGTGATCTGCGGTTCGCAAGTGTTGCCTTTTTCCGCGGTCGATATTTGTGTTTTGGAAAAAGTCAAATTTTGTGCATATTTAAACGACGACCTCCTCAAATGACCCCTAGCTGACCTTTGACCTCCAATTTTAGAAGACTTGTGATGAACCCCCAACCAAGGATTGCTCCATCCAACTGACATTGAAATCCATCAAATTCTGTAGACAAAGAAACATTTGAAGCATATTTAAACAATGACCTCTAATGACCCCTACATGACCTGTGACCTCAGTAATCCGATGAAGAATTGTGTCTTCCCACCCAAGGGTCACTGCATCCAAGTTTCATCAAAATCCATGAAAGCAAGTAGAAGTTATACATTTTTTCAAAAACTGAACTGAAACTTTAACATGCATACGGTTCTACGTTCACACAGAATTTAGGACTGGTTATATCTCCCCAAACTTTGTTAAGGCAACACACAAATTATGCATGCGATGCTCCATGACAATCACCATGCTAGCTCTATGAATTGTCAGTTCAAGGTAGACATACATGTATCTCTATACACATGTGTCACTGTGGTGTAGCCGTGTCTTTATGGAGTATTGTAATCATTTAGTGCAAGTCACATTTTTCAGGCCCTGGAGCACCACCCACTGGTATCCCTGGGGTTTACTAAATGCTGTGTGAACACAAAAATAAATATGCAAGGTTTTGTTAATGTACATGTACATGGGGCTTCATTGTAGGCCTATTAGCTTGGATTTCTACCTATGGGAAAAAGTATAAATTAATTGAAAGTGTCGATGAACTTCACCTATCCCTAATAATGTAAGGAGATAATTATATTACATTCTTGATACATCTAGAGCAATCTAAGCAATCAAGGGAACACGACTACCGTATTTCAAACCAAATACAGGGGAAATATCTGTAATAATATGGGGGAATTTCTTTAATTCCTTCGCTCACTTCATTCCAAAAATTCATAACTGTATTCTCATCAAAACTCAGAAAAAAAGTAAGCAATGTAAAGTCCGAAGACACATATCACGGTAGAATGGAGTTTACTGACGATGTCACAAGCTGTAGAAGCTCCTGGTAGGGGTGAATGTCGGCACTTGACACTCCCAGAGTTTGGATCTGGATGAGGAAAAATATGAAGAATTTACTTATACTTTTTTTTCATGGGCATTCATTTTAAAACAAATGCTAAGTACTATTATAAAAAAAAAACTGAGGTGAAAACTGTGCATGCAATAATGCAGACCTTTTAAAAACATTGCCAGACTTCAATAAAAAATTTGTTTTTAAAATTTTTCTTTCTTATTTCAGTTATTCTAAACATTTGAGTATGTACATCACGTTATTCTGTTCATTAATTCTGAAATGTGGGTCAAATTTTTAGTAATTTGGTGTTCCTACAGACTGCTAAAGTAACAGAATAATGCCATGCTGCAATCTACTCATTTCACAGTAGAAAGTGACACTACCACATCAAAAAAGACAAAATTAAGTAGTGGATAACTCCCAAAAGTAGATCTAGTCGCAAAAAGAGACTTCTTTACCTGATCTCCAAAGTAGCGCACATCCAGCGCCAGCTGTAGTCGGATCTTGTCATCATCACTGGTACCCTGCTGCGTGGGAGCAGCCGCAGCATCTGTCTTGCGCAGTGCCTTGAGTCTCTTCAGACTGTCCTCCATCTTCTTGACCGAGGACAGGAGCTCAGAACTGATGGTCAGGTAGCTGTGGGGCCAAAGGTCATAGCCCGTCATGAAAGTTGTGCATAAGAGTTAACTAGTTCACATCGGAGGACGTGACACACACTGGCTGTATTTATACACAGGCACGGCTGACGGGTTAAAACGTCAAGATTGCCTGGACTCGCCTCCAGGTGACGTCTTAGCTAGCTATTTCCTTGTGCCTTTTGCACTCACACACAAAGTCTGTGAAGTCTGTGGAGGCGGACCGTGTGTTGATCTTGAATTGGCCCTTGTGCACGGCCTATTGGTCGACAATTAACTTCAATGCACACCCCCGGAGTATTGAAACATATGAGGTTTCAGCAAGAAATATCGTACAAATATTGTTGAAATGACTCTTGCGAATCAGAGGCAGAAACCTCAATGTTACAGCTATTTCAGCATAAAAAAGTTGCTAGAATTTGGGATATTTTCAGTAATAAATATTCTTTTCTTTGGTGATTCGTTGTGTTGGTATGCCAATGAGCAAACCTTTCTTACAAATGTTTTCAATGAGCAAATTTCGGGTTCACAATTTAAACCGAAAACTGCTAACTGAACAGTGGCTTCATGAAATGACATCACAGCAACAGAGCCCTCAGTTGTCCAGAAAAGTGCACTTTTCAATAACATTAACCAAAAAAGGGATGTCAAATAGTTTTCATACATTTAAGAGGAGTAGAAAGTTGCACAATATGTGTTTCTACGAAAAATTTATTGGATGGGGCCTTTAACAATGCTTGCAACATCTCAAATGACAAATTCTTCAAGACTGAACTTGACTCATCTTGTTGATAGTGTCCTGTACCACCGCTACGGCTTGGCTGTGCTTGCCCTTGAAATGTTTCAAATCAAAGGCTACTTTCATTATGTTGGAGAACAGTTCACCCTACCTAAAATGTGTAAATGAGGTATCTTCATGTCATTATATAAACAGAAGATACTGACCCTTGACAGATGCTAGTCAAGATGCCTATCAGCCACTGGTTCCTCCGCTCCTCTCTCAATTTCACGCCGTGCTCATCTACAAACAGCTGCATGGGTTTCAGTGTGTTGCTGACATAGGCTGATGGTTTGTTGGGAAGCTAAAAGATGACATGAAACAAATGAATGGACGTTTTTATATATGTGGTGCACTTGCCACAAGACTGGGCAGGGCTGTAATTGAGTGAATCATAAGTCAATCACAAGTCAAGTCACAAGTCAAGTCAGAATTAAAATCACAAGTCAAGTCACAAAGCAAAATGAAGTTCAGACACAGCTGTTATATCGTTTTTATTCTTTAAAATTTCGTAAACGTGCACATTTTTTCGCTTTTTCCAAATTGATATATATCGCATTTTGGAAATATAACTCTTCACTGGATATCATTGGAACATATTAATTCACCGGTAGTCAATTGTACACATGTTTAATTACAGTCAACCTTGCACATAGATTGTTCACTGTGGTACGAACCTCCCGATTGGTTCTCCGGTAGAGACGAGGAATATCATTGGCTGATTTCAGATGCACGGCACACTGGCTGCAGACGTCCTTGGCAATGTACTCTAGGAAAGCCTCCTGTTGTCTGGAAAGGCTCTCCTGAGACTCCTTAAAGGCATCTGGGGGTCAGAGGTCAAAGACGATAACTTTGATTGGACAAAGCGAAATGAGTCAGCAATAGACTGGACACCTGCCCCCAAATCATACAAGTACAGTGGAGCGCAGCTATAAAGAACATTGCGGAATCCACAGAAATTGTGCGTAATATTGATCATTCGTTATAGCGATTTTAAACTACCGGTGCTTCGGTACTCACTTTTCAATAAATAGTGCACTTCATAAATTCACCCTCCACGCCTTGGTAGTTACTGTAAGACGTCTTTGAACATGTGCCGACTATTGAATCATGTAATTGCACAGTTTTCGAGTTTACTACCAACAGCAATGGGTGGCTTTCCCCTTCTATTCCTTGGGAAAATAATAGCCACTTCACAGTGGTTTAAAACCATATGTGACCCAGACATCGGTACATTTAAGGATAATAAACGGTCAAAATTCATATAAAACACACGAAGCATGTTCAAAAGCCATCTCTGGGTTTAGAAAACTAGGTTGGAAATTATATAAAACGTAACTCGCCAATTTTGTCAAAAATCCGGAGCAAAATTCTAAAGAGGGCGCTAGTTATGCATAGCCCCCTCTTGCGACAATTTCTGCATTCATATTTTTCCCACGTCCATACGGCTTATTACCGGCGCGGTATTGACACATTTTTTTCTCGTTAATTTTTGTTTTACTGGATGAAATAAAGATTATACTAGGTTGCAAATTTACGGTTCTAATGTAGTGATTTTGTGGTATTATTTTACATTATGTGTTGGTTTGTGACCCAAAATACTACTTAAATAGTAATCAATTTTCCCCAAGATATTTCTACCGTCCTTTAAAAACCTTTCATAATAAAATGCTGAATGTAGTAATCAGTTGTTGAGTATTAGATTGATTCAATCTTCGTGAATTGAATGGAATACCTGCTGGTACTATTTTCGACTTATTGAAGGAGAAATTAAACAGGTCATCTTCGGTGTTCACTCTTTGGACAGGAAACTTGCGGAGTACTGGATCTGCTTTTAACCAAAGACGATGAAATACGTCACTTAGATTGTCCTCTTGTGTGGTTTTCCTGGATAGCTGTTCCCTGTACTTCCGAATGTTTTTTTTTGGTTATTTTCAAGCGCCTCTTCGGAAAGTGTTCCCAGGCCATGGCTTTTGTTAGCTGCGACCAACTCGGCACTATGTGCGAGAAGCTGGTGCACTGAGCACGTAACTCTGAAGCTTGGAAACTTCTCTAGGAGCATCCTGCTTGTGTCTTTGCAAAGCGTGACAAATTCTGTAGATGAACCCAGACGGAGAATTATCGACATATTCGACACGATCTGTGAAAGTTTTGCTCTCTCTTGACCTCTTTCCGGTACACATTCCATCAGGACAAAAAGGAATGGACGGCCGTCGATGTCAACAAAAATATTCTAAGAATTATTAAGATCTCTATTTTCAATTAATCCTGAAGAAGTCTGGTTTAAATCACAATGACAGCTCCGGTCTGGAGTTGGTTGCAGAGTCCTTGAATATCGGGTTTCCCTGGGTCGGGAAAACACGTCTGGTTGGCTGAGATGGTCTTTACTTTTCCCCTGTGTTTTCCTTTGCCCGAAAAATAAATTGCAACCCGTGTCGATTGTCCAAGAAAAAAAAAATCGAAAACCAAGTTTCTCTGTCATTGTTTTTGCGAAATTTTCTTCAATAACCTACCCTACAATCCATGCAATCGATAGTAAATATACGTACTTTATTGTAAATGCACGAAATACTTCGCTTTCGTCGCAAAAGTCTCCTCTCTGTATGCAAACACGACGCGATGCAGACGTACAAACTAACTGGGAAGCATTGCTCGATTTTGCTGACCATGCGTATCAACAGAGGGCGCTATTTCGCGCACGAGGCGATATTTCTTTCGAATTTCTGTCGAAAACACCGTTCCGAAATTCGTCTTGTACGGCCAAAAGGAACATTTCCGATAATTTTCCGCGATTTAATATTGACAAGGAATGTTCACTCATTCAAAATATTACCAATTTATGACATTTTACGGTGGGTACTAGAAGGTACTCTTCAAAATGTGCGATCGTAAATGTATGAAAATATTACATTTTGTTCCATTTTAGTCGATTTTTTCAATGTTTTGTTTCAGTGTCATCCAATAATTGGTCCATATCATACTATACACCATTCGAATGGGTATGAGATGGGCAATATTAAAAGCAATATTAAAATTGAAAACGAGCCTTTATATGCTTTGGCAAATACGTTATATTTCAACAAGATATGAATCCTTTATTTCATTTAACTCACACATCAATGTACATAACAATTGTTATATCTCTAAAACAGTGCATTAAATTTGAAAATAGTTTTTTTTATACTAAAAACTTGATTTTCAGACTCCAATCGAAGGTTTTTTTTACTAAAACTAAAAATAAAAATTGGACCCGATGTCTGGGTCTTAAACCACTGTGCACTTGTCACTCTTCTTTTACATTCGGTATGTTTTGTACACCAAAATCGGGAGCCAAGTCAAGCTATACCATTTTTTCCCCCCAAGTTCTGCTATTCTTTGCTGCCCGAGTACAAAAACTGTTATTTCGAGTACGAGTACTTTGACATTAGAGTACAAGTATGAGTTCGAGTACTCTAAAAAAAAAAAAAAGTACTCGAGTAGTACTCGAGTACGAGTACAGAGTATGAGTACTACAACACTGTTACAAAGGAAGCGTGGGGAGAGACCATCTGCTCTTCGTGCATGGAGTCTACTTGACTTGACAATGCTTCCTTCCCTGCAGTCTGATTGGTCCAGTTCTCAAATCTTTTCAGTACCTAATCGTACACTCGCACTTAAGGGGTTGGGCGAGAAAAACTTTTTGTGGAAAAGAGAGTGTACCGGTGTTTGGGTTTTTGTTATGTACTACGCAAGGAGATAAAGTTAAATGAGCATACAAAAAATACCTACCTGAGAGAATGTCAATAAACTTGCAGTTCACCGCAACGACCCTGGGCAGGATGATGCGGTCAAACAGAGCGGGTAACTGAAAATAGCAATGAATAGATAAATGAAATAAAAAGGATTCTCTACACAATACATAAACAACTGAGCAACTCTTGTGAGTAAACATAGTTAGTAAGAAATATATACAGAGGTTTGACAACAGCTACGTTTTTATTTAATATGAAACATGGTCTAGTGACTTATTAATGCTCAGTTATTTTTGTCTCTCTACAGGGTGAGTAAAAAAACGAAACCCAAATGTCGGGACAATTGTTTTAGTGAAGTTCTTCATGTAGCACTTTGAAATCTAGGATATGAAAGCCCAATTCATAAGTTTTCTTTTAGTACAAGAATCATTCAAGATGCTCATGTACTTTTCAAGTTACGGAATTTTAAACACAACCACCGTTTTAAGGTTCTGCAAGGTTTCAGCAAAACAAAAACAATTCACACACATCCCTATGTGATTTGTTTTCATTTTGCTGAAAGAACACTGAACATTTTTGGGATCCGTGGACAGAACCTTAAAACGGTGGTTGTGTTTAAAATTCCGCAACTTGAAAAACACATGAGTGATTTGAATGATTCTTGTACTACAACAAAGTTTATGAATTGGGCTTTCATATCTTAGATTTTGAAAGTACTACATAAAGAACTTAACAATAGTCCTGACATTTGGGTTTTGTTTTTTTTACTCACCCTTTATACAAATGTTCAATTTGAATAAGTTTTGGATATCAAAATGAATCCAAAAGAATACATTTCTATAGAGCGTCCCAAAATACCTGCAACATTCTTTGCAAGGCTGTAGCGTCGCCACGGAAACACATACCACCATTATTTCTATATCATTTTAAAGCTTGGAATCTTAACTTTATCCCTGGTAAGTATTGGTTTGATTTTCAAAAGGGTTTGGAAATGATTCATGTTCAAATAAAGGCATGTCAAAAACAAACTCAACCGATTTCAAGGAAAATCAATCATACACATTTTTTTCTAATGTGGGAATGGTTCGTGTTCATGATGTGATGATCTCGTTGCAGTTTACTTTCTGCGTTTGCTATTCTTTTCGATCCATGTAGACTACACCTGCAATGAATTCACAATATTGTTCGTCGTTTCAAGTTCAATTTTGAAATTCAAGTGCAAGTATGTACCTATTAAAAAAAGTGCAAAAAGTGTGACTAGAGTTTGCATCTGATGTACCGCATCATCGATTTTCCTTGAAATGGGTTGAGTTTGTTTTCGACATGCCTCTATCTGAACATGAATAATTTTAAAATTATTTTAAATATCGCACCAATATTCGCCAGGGATAAAGTTCAGATTCCAAGCTTTAAAATGTCCAAAATAATGGTGGTACGTGTTTCCGCGCCGACGCTAGAGCCTTGCAAAATAAGTTAAGGGTATTTTGGGATGCGCTGTATTGGATTAACTTCAAACTGGTGTCATTTTCAGGGAAGCTTGACTCCCGTCTTGACTTTTAACGGATTCATTTCATGGTAAACTTTTTCGACACTCATCAAGGATTGTAAGGGCCACACGAGTCCACAGTCAATAGGAATGATACCAATATTAACTGACATCCATATACTGTGTGCAGAGGCTGTTGTTTTGAAGAGCATCATGGAAGAAAGTTGAAATCTGGTCGAAGATACAGCTGAATGGCATTCATTCAACTAAAATTTTATGAGAATTGCAATGGTTATGAGTATAAGTCCTCTCTATGCATTTGTCATGTGTGGTATTGCACTACAATGAAGGACAACTGACTAACTGCAGGAGTATACAGGGTGTCAACTGTATGGATGAAAAGAGGCTTCTCTGAGGCAACTACTTGTTGGCACACTGTACTGAAAATTGCTCCAAGTGTAGTTTCCATTTACCTTTTAATATCTTGTTTTGGCCCTTCATCAATGTCATTGTCTAAGTACAATATTAAAACAGAGATGAAACTGGCCTATGGGGAAAAAATCGGAAAATAGGCCGACCAAAAATCTGTAGTGGAAATCTGGGCCGCGCCACAGTTATACATATGTACAATAAACTTTGTTCCCAATTTCTGGACACTGCCTCCTGTTTTATTTTAAATCCAAACAAAATTTTACAATGTGAAAAATGTACAGTGTTTCCATAAAATTAAAAAGCCTGAATTAAGGTTTCATTTCCATTATAGACAAATGGCTGCTGCCATTTTCTGCGGAGGCACCAGGCTGGCGCAAGCCGCACTTGGGGAGTACACACACACTCCGGGCTCCTTCGACCAATAGGAATACCAAAATGCGCACGCGCCTCGTCTTTAAGAACACGTGCAGCATGCGCGTGAGCGAGACACCACCGCAGTAAAAGCTTCTAATTCTGGTTGCCGGATTCTACCAAACACGATATGAATTTCACCTTGCTGCATATGTGATCCACGTCCACAACCAGGCTGACAATCTGGGCAACTGTGACCGGTGGATTAGCAGCAGCGGCAGCGACGGCCGTGCTGGTAGAAGCAGCAGTGCTGGCAGCACCTGCAGCTGTGACTGTCGCCGTGGCCTTGATGCTGTCACTCTGTGAGCTGGGGTCACTCGATGAGGCTGATGTTGTCCCTAGCTTTGCGGTGTCTGACGGCTTGGATGGATCGGTCTCTGGTTTTTCCGTCGCAACCTGTGGATGAAGGTATTCATTAATATGGACCACCCTTTCAGCGGCGACAACTGACTATGACAGATTCTTGAATGCCACTGCTGCCGTGTGCCAGGAGCCAAGCAAAGAAGTTATAGTCTAGGCGATATTTTAAAAAAGGGCTAATTTAGGGCAAGAAGAGGTATTTTTTGAGAAGAAGTTGGTAACCTAGCTATTTTACCTAATTTTGGGTTTCTGAAATAATAATAATGATGATGATAATAATAATAATCTCCATGAATGCTATAATAGGGTGACTTTCCCATAGACTTGTGCACAAACCTAAATTGTCACCTAACCCGAGCATACCTTCGGCCAAAAAAAAAAGTCTCCGGTTTCTGGTATGCGCGCGCGTCACCGTAGCCATGCGCGTCGGCAAAATGAAAAAGGGTTTTTTTTCAATGAAAGATGATGTCTCAAAACCGCCAAACTCACTGGTTTGACTGGAATCCTGCTACTGCACAATTTTAACGTATTTTTAGGTGGGCTAATGATTGAGAATAAGCTTTATGTGGCCTCTCTGGACTCCCATATATTTGCACTAAGTTTAGTCGGGCACCATTTGCAGTCATCAGCCAACATTTGAAGCAAAAAACAGGTAAAAAAAAAAAAAAAAAGCCGCGTCACCGCACCACTTTTTGGGCAAGCTCCATACCAGAAACTTTTTTTTTTGGCCTTATCCTGCCTCCATGAATTTTGGTATAGGTATGTTTTGGACCACGAGGAATCGATCTAGATGGTTTGCGACGGGAAAATTCCTTCTCCTCAGTGTGGTTTTAAAAGGGGGACACTAATTTGTCACCCCAATAAGGCATGTCTCCCTCTTTATAGCAATAATATGCAAAATCTGTTGCCCGTACACAGCATTCAGTAAATTTAATACTTTAGATTATAATAGCAGCCATTTTGGATTGCTACTATGTCCTCACAGTTATTCAGTCACTTAAATGCTTGAGAAAATGTTATTGAAGTTAGGAAGTGTTAGTAGAATCACCAAAATAAACTTTTCAAAAAATAAAATAATAATAAATATACCCAAATATGGGAACAAATACATTACACGACAGGTATTAAAGATTTACGCAAATTAGGCAAATTTCCACTAAAAATCCAGCTTGGTATCCATCATTTTCAGATTCAGCTACCCAAAATTAGGTAAAATATCTAGATTACCAACTTGTACTCAAAAATGCCTCTTCATGTAACATTTTTTGAAATATCGCCTAGAATATATTACAGGTCTACACACTTTCAGTAACATTATCCGTAGATATCGCATGGTCATGGTATGTTTTTGAGCAATATTCTTCAAAATACTATTGTCAAGTTGTATGCTGCTATGGCCTAGATCATGTCTGAACCATGTGCAAGAGATGATTCCATTGTTCGCGCTGGCACCAACCGCCATTTGCAGGCATACAGCAAACCAAACTCATCTCACTGGTGATGTCATGGTCATCGTGTAAATACTCAAAAACTTTCATCGTCACCAAGTCTGAAACCCTGTCTCCCGCCAAAGTTTACCTCCGATACGTAGACCTCATCTATCCACACAGCACTGCGAGATAGCAACTGCAGCGTCAGCTTCCAGAATCGGTGGCAGAGGGGGGATAAGTAGACGTCCTGCTGCCAGCAGCGATGAAGGCACTGCCACAGCGTCTGGAAGGCATTCAGCTCCAAGTCTGATGTAGCTTTATAGGACAAAGGAAAAACCATTGGTTAACAACACAATGATCCAATAACGCTTGTCCCAATACCCTCAAAAACTCTGTAAATTTGTGAGAGAATGATGTGAGAGACAGTCCCATGCTTACTACTTTGACATTTGTGCTAGGTTTGCGGATATACCATTAAATATCTCTCCTTTGAAGATGTGCTGTTCTGAACAGAATCAGAAGTGAGAGCTGTTCTGCAGTTATGAGCAACCTCTCGTTCAACTTGCAAGCCAATCAGCCTCCTCCGCATCGCTAACTTTGAAGTCATTGCCGATGGGATTCTGCACTTCTATTTTTGAGTGACTCACTTAACTTGAACTTCTCCCAAACTTCAAAGTTACCGTAAACATTTACAGACATTGTAACGGATACAACATTCAGATTTTTTGGAGATGACAAAAGTGGTCATTGCCATACCTTCTTGAGCTTGTGTGTTGAAGGGTGTCATAAGGGCTGTCTCAAAAGAACCAGCAATCTCCTGAAATCTGATATGAAAGACAACAATTAATTTCTTTGACATTTTTGCTTAGAACTTTCCTATATCCTAAAAAATCCATCACTGAGCAGTAACCCAACGGCACATACAATGATGATAAGGGTTGACCTGAAAAAAGGGGGGGGATTTGAAAAATCTAAGGTCTTCTATCCAGATGGTACCCAAGAATTTCTCCAACAGGTTTTTTCAATAGCTGCATCCCTTAAACAGAAATAAGCAATGCTCTGAAACAACCAACCTAAGTAACAGAAATACGTGCAGATTTTAAGTGTGAGGTTTTTCTTGTATGCGTCAACAAAAATAATGCAAACCGTAATAATGCTAATAGTATCACTTTGCATCAGCACTTAGCTCAATCTTTTCATGAAAATAAATAAAAAACTGCAAACTCCTCACTGACTGGATTGACTTGAAATACACAAACCAAAACAGCTTGAGAGTTTAACATTTTGACATTGTTTTAACATCTAGGTCTTGCTAGGATCAAAACGTTGGACCCTCTCCCATAATCCATGTTTAAATGGTTGTACACTCATCTCCTGCAGCATATTAAATGCGAACTTTTGCTGAATTCTTCAGTAACAGTAAAGGCGTTTGAGGCAGAGTAGGCACCTGACAGAAACTTTCGACCAAAACAGAGCAGGCCGGGGCTTCCATGACGAGCGTGACTTGTCCTACCTGAGTTGGAAGTAGACTGGCAAACTCCACCTGGTCATGAAGGAATGGTAGCTGGGATGAGCTCGAAGTCTCTTGACGCTGGCCTGGGAGCCACACTGCAGCTCAAAGCGCTCCACAAACTCCATAGTGGCCAGGTATTTCTAGTCACGAGAGAAGAGGGAAATCAGAGTAAGCATTAAGGACGGCTCATACTCGGCGTGAAAGCCAACGCGAACGCAAATTTGTGACAGGCAAGTTTTCGCGCTGCGAGTTCACAAAAGTTTAACGCATTACAACTCTGGCGAATTTCGCAGTGAATGCTTTGTGATGTCACATTCGCATTCGCATGATGTATGAATCGGCCTTTACTCACTGCCTGTGACAATTCTATGCAGACTGTGATGACTTTGTTTTGTTTAATACTGTGGGGCAGTTTCATGGTGGCTGACGTACATTTTGGACAAGTCAATAGTGCGCATTATAAAAGTCATGATCAAAAAGTGGATTTGAAACGCATTAGTTTGTTACTACAATGATTTAAATAAAGAAAAGTCGAAACCAAATTGCAACAAACAAAACTGTTTCTGATTATTTATTTATTATTTATTGAAAGCAGGGCATAAAGAAATCACCCGAAACTGATGATGAACCAAGAATTGGGAAATGCATTTAAAGTCTAGTTCATTACAAAATATTACATTATAAAACCACAAGATCAGACCTCCGTGATACGTTGTATATTTGTACGCGACAAACGGCCATAACTTGACGGTACCAATAGCAGCAAGTGCACAAACATTGTACCGTAAGTCACTGCAAATATATTTTCGCACAGTTTTGGAACTCAAGTCTTATTACCTTTCCACTCGAGTCAAATTGAGTGTTCTGATGAGGGACTCGAGTTGAGTTGAGTCATTTGCTCGCAGTGACTCAAGTCGAGTCGAGTCAGTTACTCGTTGGGACTCGAGCCAAGTCGAGTCATCAAAAATTTGCGTGAGTCATTAACACTCTGTCTTTAATACACTCATGAGGGGCAGCTATGCTAAAGGATTTGTCGTCACAGAGGTATGAATTTGTAAAATCTATAAATACACAGTAAACTGTAAGCTTTTCAGTCAACTAAATCTTGAGAGAGTCAAGCCTTAGCTCAACACCCTAGGAGCGCCATACTTACCTCGTGAAAAGCTGAAGGATTGCCAGCAGCAAAGATAGATGTGGTTCGTGTTTCCAGACTGCTGGCTATCTCAGGCCAGACTGCATTGACCAGAAAGTCATATCCTCTCACGACATCCTGGCTGCTGGAACTAAAGGTTGATGAGCAGAGAGGCAAACAGATTATTTAATGAAAGCCTTTAGGAAAACCCTAGAATAAAATTTCAGGGTTTAAGAGATTTCAGACCCTCAGTCTCTGACGGCTTGGTCTTCGATGATAAATCTCTAAATTTCATTGCTAACCCCCTCCTGCAACACAAAAACTCTACATAAATAAGTTTGCTTCCCTGTCCTCATGAAACAAAGACAAAAACTGTTTCTTCTCATTTTGTCACTGCTATACAATTGTATGCCATAAAAGACCATTAAAATGGGAGATAATAGTGGAATGGAGCAAGGGCTTGGTTGCCTTCAGCTGGGGTGTTTCAAGTTTTTCAGTTCATAATGATCGTCTTGCGCATGTGTTTCACACCAATTTCACAATAATATTAGCATACTCATCATCATCATCATTTTTTAAATCATCTTTTACTTTTTAAATTAAAATATAAGTCATAAATCCTACAAAAAAATTCAAAAAAATTAATTGTTTACATAATAAAAGACAAATATAAACCTACAATGATTACAAAATTTCTGTTTGAAAGAGAAATCATAGTAAAAAGAGGATAACGGAGCAAAATGAGATATTTTGATAAAGTGACTTGAGTTCTTAAAAACAACCTTTTTGGAGCAGTGGGATTCTGCCAACAGCCTGGTTTTGCAATGGGGAATCACACATACCAATGACCGTTTGTGCCACACTCACCTGGTTGTTGGTGAGGTCACCTGCCTGATCAGTCTGCAGTGCTTGGGAATAAAGTCCAAGACACGGGCGTACAGCCCCTTCAGTCCCTGGGGCTGGTTCTGCAGCGACTTCTCATGAATCACCTACGGACAGAAATCAGATACAAAAAGTGAGGGAAACGGACGGTCATTAGTAGCAGGACTTGTAGGATGTTCATCACAAGACATTCACAAGACAGACAATCACAAGACAATCACAAGACAATCACAAGACAATCACAAGACAATCACAAGACATTCACAAGACATTCACAAGACATTCACAAGACATTTACAAGTTAGTGTACAATTCATGCCATTTGTGCCAGTGTGGAAGTCGAGACCATCACCAGACCAGACACAAGACCAATTGTAGAGCAAGCACAAGACCATTCACAAGACCAGCCGCAAGTAACAGGGCACCAACATTGACGAAGGAATGCCTTTGCTGCAGTTCATTGGAATAGCTTGTGACTTGATTTGAGACTGGAGGTCTTGTGTTGGTCTTGTGATGGTCTTGTGGGGTCTCGGCTACAACACTAATAGGTGCGCAAATGGGTGAGAACAACCTATGTGTCCCTCCCACTGGAGATCTCAAAAGTTCACAGGACATATCTCGTCTTCAGAGACTTCAAAACAGATGTGCAAGACTTATCTTTCAGACGCCCAACCACACCCATACCTCTCCTCTGCTCAAACAATTACACTGGCTCCCAGTCACCCAATGCATTCAGTTCCGCACACTGGTTCACACTTACAAATCACTGAAACACTCTGCACCAGATTATCTCTCCTGTCTTCTCACAATCCAGAATTGTTCTTACTCCCTTCGTTCTTCTGCTGGAGAGTCCCTTGTCATCCCCAAGTCACGTAAGCAGGCAGGTGACAGGGCCTTCTCCATTGCCGCCCCCCGGTCATGGAATAGCCTACCCATCCCCATCAGAAATTCTGGCAGTGTTTTGTCCTTCAAAAACACTCTCAAGACCCATCTTTTCCTCAAATTGTAGCTGCCATGGCTGTCCTCTTTTCTTGTCTTCTCATTCTTTGTTTTAGCCCCTTGTATCCTTTGACATTTGGTGCTCTATAAATCCAGTTTTATTATTATTATAATCCTGATCAATCCCTACCCACCTCGTTCATATACGGCCTGACGGCAATCTTCCTGAACAGCGCCTCCACGTCTCTCATCTTGTCGATGGTGGCGTAGGTGCGTAGACACTGCTTGAGGATGTCCTTCTGCCCAGTCTCCAGGCCCTCTTGGAAGGACTTCTCTAGGCTGTGCTGCAAGGTGACAGTGATGGCCGCTATCCTCTACTCAGAAAAGAGTGGAAGAAAAGATCTTGAAGATCTAACGATACTACCTGAGATGTGCGTCAATGGTCTTTCTCTTTCTTTCTGTTTGTTCGTCATATATTTCCCTTTGAGACGCACTACACATTCTTCTGTTTGTTCGTATCCATAGACTGCAACTGTCTCCAATGCCAATTGGATGAGTCATGTTTACATGTTTAAATCCTCAAACGTAAAACGTTCTAACTTTGCTTGTAAATTTCCAAAATGTTTAAACCAAACCCTCATTATAAAAAAGTGACATATGTCACAAGTTGTGATCAGATCCTTCACAAGTCAGGCAATAATTCTGGTCACACCTAGCATGGCACGAACAGAGAATAGGTTTTCACTCAACTTGACAATAAATGACAAGTAATTTACTTGAGTTTGACTTGAGAAGTTGTGGTGACTTGATTTCAACCCTGAACTAGCCACACACGACTGGAACAACATCAAATCAGTGAATTTAAACATTTTTTTGACAGAGTAAAAAACCTATACAGGGTGGATAAAAAAAAAAAAAGCCGATATATTATTGCTAATTGGAACAGAAGAAGGGCACATGTGAATCAAAGGGAGATATCCTCCGTTAGGGTTGAATCTCCTCTTTAAAATGACAACCTGATCACGTCAGTACATTCACGGTTGACTGAGGAGTGACCAATTTTATGAAAGGGTCTATTTAGAGAAACTGCGCCAGTTTTCAATTGTGGTTTTTGTGGTGTCATTTGTCACAAAGTGAAAGGCTATGGTTGCTAATCAAGGCAGGTAGGAAAAAAAAGAGATTTCACCATTAAAAGTGGCGCAATTCTCTATAGACCTTTCATAAAATTGGTCACTGCTCAGTCAACCGTGAATGATCAGGGTGTCATTTTAAAGAGGAGATTCAACCCTAACAGAGGATATCTCCTCTTTGATTCACACGTGCCCTACTTCTGTTCCAATGAGCAATAATATCTTGGTTTCGTTTTTTTTTATCCACCCTGTATACATGCATATATACCCAATTATAAAATATAATGGACAAAAAAAGTATCAAAATTGCAGATTGTTCTCAATCAAGTAAAAAAGACCAGGTTTGCACTGCCTATTCCTAGATTGGGGACAGATGATTAAACTCTGCAAGGAAACATGGCTCATGACTAGTAACTCAGGACTCACCGGTCGTATTTTCTCCACCAGGGGTAGGCCCTTGCTCTGTGTGACATAGTACTGAAGCTGGTTGAATTCCGATGCCACTCTCTCTATCTGCTGTCCTGACAACTCTCTGTCAAATCATCCATTCCATTTTTAAACAAGGTGGAAACAGTATGCCCCTTCGGCTTCGCCGCGGGGCATAAAAATGGTTTACCAGGCTGTGTCATACAATGAATATGGCTTAGGACTGCTTCTCAGCTGGTTACACTAAACACCTATATGGCCAAGCAGGCGCGGACCCAATGGGGGGGGGTGGTTTAGGGGGTCAATAAACCCCCCAAAAAGCAGCTGTCAACAAAAAAAAAATTCCATAGAAATCAATAAAAAATAATGCTAAAAACCCTCCTGCTCTGACACCCCAAAATAATTATACAGGCATTTATATTCCTGTAACCAAAATACGGACAGTGCCTGCTTGGTTAAGGGGGTATTTGTACACTATCCTGTACTATAGTATTAATAATTGTCGTGTTTGAACAGTGCCCCCATTGAAAGTATGGTACGAGCCAAGTGTCTGGACAAAAAAACCTGTCTACATTTCAGCCATAATTTGCTGATGAACCCCCCCCCCCCCCCCCCTGCAAAAAATCCTGGATCCGCCCCTGCCAAGTAAAAGAAAAGTTTCTCGTCTGGGCTTTTTGAAGAAAAAAAAATGGTGGCACCCCCCCTTTTTTTTTTCTTCCCCAGATTGGTGGATTTTCCAAGATGGCGGATGAATTCGTCCATTTTCTTGACTCTTTTGCTGATACAAAAGTGTCTCCAAAAGAGCCATTACCCTTTCTACATAACTAAAATGTTGTTGGAAACAACTATAAAGACAATACATTGAAATAATATATATTGCAAATGTAGGATTTCAAAAAAGAAAGGGAAAAAAAAGAGGCGGGCGGAAAAAAGGAAGCGGGGGAGGGGGGGGCGAGAAACTGATTAATTTTTTTACTTGGCCCATTTGCTATAAAGCAATAATTTCTGTGTAGCAGGGCCCAATTTCATGGTGCTGCTTAGCAGTCTGGCTTATAAAAGCAGGTTACCAGCCAAAACTCCATGAGATTTTCTTGCTAAGCAAACAACAGCTGAATGTTAATCACAAACAATATACATTACGTGGAGTTTTGGCTGGTAACCTGCTTTCACAAGCCAGATTATTTGTGCTAAGCAATTTTTGTGCTTAGCAGCGCCGTGAAATTGGGCCCTGGTCCATGTCAGTGAGCCCTGAGAGCCATGAGACTCACAGAGAGCCATGTCACAAACCTGAGTGTTGAGACTTACATGCTATCCTCTCCATCCTCCCCATCAGTGATGACTGAGGACCCTGCTATCTTCAGTATGCTCTCCATCTTCTCAACCGACTTGGTGATGTTGATCAGTCTCTGCAGAATGGCCTGGTGGCAATAGGGCATGGAAAAAACAATTGAAGACAGGGATTGAAAATATCCCTTGGAAAGCTTGACTGAATAAAGTGACTAACTCCCTAGGCATTTATGTAGGGGATTTTCCTAAATCCTCACACAGTCCATCACTGTTACTGGCACCCTCAGGTTGACCTTGCGAAGACACAGATCAGTCGGCGACTGACTGTTAGGGACTGTTGTGTAGCCAATCTACGTGTGGCAAGAAAGGCCGAATAAACAGATGCGGCCGTCGAAGATCGTTTGATTGTAATCAACATGCGCGCCACCATTTTGAAGAAGTCACATGACTACACGTACGTCTATGCCGCAGAATCGTCGTCGCATCGTGGGTGACATGAGCATGGTTACAATTATTCTGTGCCGAGATGCAACTGGTTCCATGATAATCAAATGATTTCTTAGTTCTGTGACCCGAGCAGGACTTGCACTTGATGCTGATTGTTTCAACGCAGCCTAACCTGTTTGAAATTTCAGCTCAGTGGATATTACACTTTTCAAGAAAATAGTGAAAAACTATGCACAACCTTTTGATCACAAAACACAATTTCGTCCATAGCACTCTTTACTTACAATAAAAAGTCAACTGACTGATTGTTAAAAATCACCTACATTTCTCGATTTCTTCTAAATGACAGCAAGCCAGACGGAATAATAATATTTCACAGGGCGTTTAGCACCAGTTACGATCTCACCCAAACAGTCACAAATCCCGCTATTTGAATATGATTTTTCACACATCCTTGGGGGTCAGGGTTAATCCAAGTATGAGTTTTGACAATAATTAGGTAAGTTACTTTTGGGAATAATTGCAAATGTCCTCCCCACAAAAGTTTGGAAATGGTACTTCTTGGATGATAATGGCTCGGAGTCTACCTTTTTCTCTCGTATTCTTGCACGGGCCGCCATTTTCTCCTCCACAACTCTGATGGCGTCATCCATGCCCTGTCTCACAGTCTGGAATTCAAGACATTTAGCATCAGAACGGGCAAACGTTGTCCGTGGTAATTCAAGTCTGAACGTGGGCTCTTATAGAGCCTGCGAGTTGACCTAAAAAACTGGTGGGCAATTCCAACGTTATGTAATGTCCGTTACAGAGCTTTATAAGAGCTCAATGAATGAACCTGACAATGTATTTTTTAAGTCTTATACATCCATCATCTAATAATGATCAAGGAGATTACAGACTAGGGATTTTGGATCATTTCTCTGAATCATTAATTAGATATCACGATATCGTGGACATTAGATCGGGGCGAAGTAATGTCATCCGATGAAAACATCTATTCATTTGTACACCAGTTTTCATCGGTTGCTACATGTATGTGTTACCATTCGGTACTCCAGACTCAAGAACCATTGAGTTTCAAGAACATAGGTCTGGGAGCTAGATAAGCCATTTAAAAAAAATCCCACATGTCTGTGGCCACCATTACACTTCCTTTCATAACGATGAAATTGCCCAGGTAAGATTTAAAAGAACTGTTTGACGTCCTATATTTTTATGTTTGTTTCCCAATTGGACAGGCTTACATGTATTTGATCAAGGGCAATGTAGTTCTATAGTCTTGCGAAAAAAACGCATTTACACACTTTATAACTTTTGAAAACTACTGTACAATGTTGACCAAAAAATAACTGAACAATTTTGAGCTCAACTTCCATTCAATTGATCGTGCACATTACTAAATGACAACCATGAGAGTCTGTGACTAGACTAGTCAGTGTTTGGCACCAGGATGTCCGAATAAAGAGTGAATATGAACCAGCAAGACTTGCATGTTGTTTTGTCTGGAGTTAACTTTAGAGAGCTGCTAAGCTGATGGTAAAATCTGAAGGAGTCTGCTTACCAGAACTTCCTCCTTGAACTGACCGAGTGGAATGGAGAGATTACCAATTGCTTTGTCCAGCCCTACCTGTAAAAAAAAAATACAGTTACAGAAGTTATTGTCAAAGAAATGGCTATTTTCTTTCTTCATCAAATGTGATACAGAAAAGTAGTCAGAAAAAAAACATATAACCACAAACTGGTTTTCTTATCATTTCCTGTTGGGGGGGGGGGGGGGGGGAGGGACACATTTCAATAAAAGGACAATGAATGGACAATGCTAGAGTTGAGCTGATGTCAAAAGTTAGCTGCAAATTTAAAGTATTGACAGCACAATCAATGTCTCAGATCTAATATCCCAGATCCTACAGATTTGTGATGGTCAGTAACTCCACGACAATTTGCAATGGTCTGTGACATCACCACAAACTACCTGTATGGATTTAGCGAAATTTAATTCTAGAAGTGGACCTTCTAACCGGTTTGCTCAACCTAGCTTTCAGAATTGCGCCACTTGTCATGGTGAAATCTCTTTTTTTTTTTCCCCACCTGCCTTGATTGGCAACCATGGCCTTTCACTCCGGCAACCATAGCCTTTCACTCTCCGACAAATAACCACAATTGAAAAGTGGCGCAATTCTCTAAATAGACCCTTTCGTACAACTGGTCACTGCTCAGTCAACCGTTAATGTAACAACATGATCAGGGTGTCATTTTAAAGAGGAGATTCAACCCTAACAGAGGATATCTCCCTTTGATTCACATGTGCCCTACTTCTGTTCCAATAAGTAATAATATCTCGGTTTGGTTTTTTTTTTTATCCACCATGTATAGTATTCCAGTGATTGCAAGTTCAAATGCTGTTTTTGTTAAGTTTCTCCCCCCTCCCTCTCCTCCCCCCCCCCCCCCCCCCCCCCCCCCCAATTTTTAGAACCTGCACTCACTAGATTGGAAGACAGGTTGACAAAGTCTGCATAGTCCTTGTTGATCAGCTCCACCATGGCATTTTTGAGAGACTTGAAGTAAATGTGAAGGTCCTCTCGAAGGGTCTCAAGCTGGACCCGGCGACGGCAGTCGGCAACAAAGGCATCCACGTCAAATGAGTCCTGGAAAAAAAGAAGCAGATTAAATCTCTGTTTATCCAGAAGTAGAACTACCAGTACATATTTGTGATCATTTATCACAAATAGCACGCGAATCCGTGCGGTATGCCCTTGCCAATAAATGGTAAATTTCACTTTTTCATCCAGATCGTAAGTAAACCTTAGTACCTAAATCTTAATCATCGATCTCTAGTTGGCGTATTTAGTAATTCTGTAGACGTCTCGAGGTGAGATTTGATGTTTTTGTTGGCAAACATTTGGGTTGTTAATTATTCCAAACTTGCTTGGACCCTACTATCACAAGACCAAGTTACTCAGAATAGCCAAGGTTTACTAAGGAAGAACATGAAGCAAGCTGGCGCAGTCGATATGACTAGGGTTGTCAGTTCCGCGTCGCGCACACATATGAAGACACCCACGGGCTACGTACGCTTTATCAAGAAAATCTCTCCAATTTTTTCCCTCGAAAACAGACAACTATTTGCTGTCAAACACATACAAATTTCACACCGATGGAAAGCTTACAGTTTAAGCTTTCCAAACATGTCCATAAAACAGGCGTTTGATGTACCTACATTGACCCAGAGATTTATGAATAAACCTCCACCCCGGTTGTCCCCCGAAATTTCTGATATCGCACTAGCAGCCCACGTTTATTGGCTGAAAACAAGTAAGGCTTGACTTTGACGGCTTCTCCGCAATCGGCATTAATGTGATTGGCAGGTTGATGGATTTTTTTGTCTCCTTGATGGTTATCAACTTGTTTGGCTTTACACGTTGTCGTAACTTGTCGATAGCTGATCCAGAACGAAAGTTATGACGAATTGAAAAATTAAAAGAATTACTAAGGCCAAAAAAAAAAGTCTCCGGTTTCTGGTATGCGCGCGCGTCGCCGTAGCCATGCGCGTCGGCAAAATGAAAAAGGTTTTTTTTCAATGAAAGATGATGTCTCAAAACCGCCAAACTCACTGGTTTGACTGGAATTCTGCTGCTGCACAATTTTAACGTGTTTTTAGATGGGGTTATGATCGAGAATAAGCTTTATGTGGCCTCTCTGGTCTCCTATAATATTTGCACTAAGTTTAGTCGGGCACCATTTGCAGTCATCAGCCGACATTTGAAGCAAAAAATAACAGGTAAAAAAAAAAAAAAGCCGCGTCGCCGCACCACTTTTTGGGCAAGCTCCATACCAGAAACCGGAGACTTTTTTTTTTTGGCCTAATGTGACATTTGGAAAGAATTCTACACATGGCCTCCACTCATGTTCCTTAATATAACCTGAAAAGTACCAAAAGTTGTTAATCTCATGAACAAACACTATTAGGAGCGCAAAAATTCTTTGGTATGCCCTAATACTCTAACTTTTTCTGTCATGGCCCATGGACTTTGTGCAGGAGGTCCGAGTGGTGGCCGTGTATGGAATTCTTACCGCTACGAATAATACGTGGGCTGATGTCTTCACTGCATGGCATATAATTTTAACACAAAATAAATATCTCCTTAACTACTGATCCCATTATTGATAATTCAGAAAGGAGTTTGTTCCATTTTCCAAGATTCGATGAAAGTTTTTGGCATTACAATTTTCATGTTAAACATGTTAGGCCGAGTAAAAAAAAGAAATAGTTTCTTGTCCGGGGTTTTTGAAAAAAGGGAGGAAGCGGGGCTTTTTATTTTTTATTTTTTTATTTTTTTCAAGATGACCGCCTTTTCAAAATTTCCTGCAACCGTTGGTGTTCCACTGTTCAAAGACACTTTTAAAGATGAAAGACAAGTTGGACAAGAGAACTGAACATATTTACAGTGTCATTTAGAGTTGTATTGGTATTGGTATTTATTTTCCAATGAATTTGTAGACTTTTTCGGTGTGTTTCTACTACATTTTTCAAAAATAAAAAATAATAAAAAAATCCAGGCAGCCTCCAAAAAGGAAGCGGGCGGGGACGAGAAACTTGGTTGTTGTTTTTTTACTTCGCCTTAAAAAGGAATTTTGACCTGTGACAACCATATGCGTTATTATTTTATGAGCCAATCAGAGAAAGCTTCTGTAAAAAGTAGATAGTGGATATTTTGCCGGAGGTAATGACGGCAAACTAACGTTTACTAAAGGTTTGCCGGCGGCAATCTATATCAACAGAGGGCGCTGTACTCTTAGATAGGGCTGAATTATAAGATGTATTAAATTCCCACCAAAAGTTGTGTAGCGCGTTTGGTGTAGTGGTTAAGCAAAAGCTCTAGTGAGCGGGATGACTCGGGTTCGATCCCGATCCCCGCCACATTTTAAAGGTTTTTTTTCCCATCCCCAAATAAATAAGAATATTCTTCTTTTATTATTTTAACATGTCTCAAACATTTTATTGCAGAGATTTACATTTTCTTTTTCAGATTTCTGGCTCTGGAGGATTTTTTTTTAAAGGGAAATAAAGTCCGAAATTATAAAATGGTCTGAATCCCATCTTGTGAATACAAGGTTACAACGATAATATTGGCATGGAGCCAGACTAAAATTTGTCACCAGAAAATGTTAAAGTACATAAAAACAGTAACTGCGCATGTTCAGTGCATATCCGGCAAACTAACGTTTACTGAAGGTTTGCCGTCTCCGGCAAAATATCCACTGCCTAAAAAGTAACGTTAATTAAAAGAAAACCGGCGCCGGTCAAGTATCCACCATGGTCCATGTCCAGTGCTAGTGGGGCACTGGCTGCCGGCCTTCACGAACATGACGAAACATTTCAACCATCAACACTAACAGTAACATGACTAAATTTAAAACAGATCAATCATTTGATTTGTGAAGCACAAAATCTAACCACTTTACCTTCATGAATTCCTCTTTGTCGAAACATAGAGGAGTTGCCGAAGTTGGCATTGGCATCAACTTGAAGCTGGCACCTGAGCTCATATTGCCTGGCCTTTTTTATTAATATTACTACAATACTAGGCCTAGTATCTGTCTAAAAACACGATTTTCAGGCTTATAATATGCCACTGCACTAAATGAACTTTTCCATTCCACGTCTCCGATTAGCTTTTAACAAACACTTGAGGGCGCTCTATATACACGCCGCTATTTTCAAGTCTTGCAAATTAAAGGGTGCTGGTGGCATATTCGCGGCTGATGATACTTCCGCGTACGTAAGCAGCAGCACCGGCACTAGACAAGTCACTAAAATACACGCAAAAGTGACAGAAGTTTTCTTGAGTTTTGGTACGTGGTGTATGGTTTTGATAGATGGATAGCGGGAAGAATCTGCAGTATCCTCTTGGAGATTGTGGAGCTGTGAAGTTTGGGACACTGTTGTGCGCTTTCTTTGCAAATCACGTAATCTTAAGAATGAGCGCGCATTCTTAAGAACGAGCGCGCATTTTTAAGAAATGAGCACGCAATCTGAAGAATGAGCACTCATACTTAAGATTGAGTGGGAATATCACGTGCGCAATTTATGAGTTTTGCGTAAGGAAAAAAAACAACATTTGCAAACATCGAAAAATAAAACTACCAAGTTGTTACGAAATACCTTAATATAGGAATAGATGTTGGTAAATGACATGCTAAAGCATCCTGTAAATTAATGGCACCTGGTGTGAAGCCATTTTCAAGAAAATGGTATATTTGTATACATTTCCAACGCTGGTCGGCCGACCACTGTTGGAAAAACCTAACTATTTTTCAATTACTGCTCCAAATTTACCATTTTTTTTTGTCCAAATTTTGTTTTGCTAGCTATTGGTTCCATATTCATGAACGGGTGCAGGCCAGCTAGACTGGTTCCCTTACCTTACAATTTTCCCGTATTTTTTATCCATTTCATCTTTAGTGGAGTCAGGGAACCAGACTACTTGAATATTTTTGTTTCTTGGTTTTTCCAGCATTTTCGAACACAAAACGTCAAACATGTCAGTGCAACAATATTTGATCTATTATACTAACCCCCCAAATAGTTCATTTCTGAAAATTACAGCAAAAGCCAATGATGTACATTCCCTTTAACAAACATTGCACGGCATATTAAATTATGTTAAATGAAATGTAGGCCTAGCATGCCAAGGCCCCTATAGCGGTTAAAGGGAAAATAATTCATATAACGAGGAAAGAAAATGATTTATGCTTCTGTAGCCCTACTCGTATAACTACGATAATTTGAATCAAATTAAAACCTGTTATTATTGCTTTTTTCTGCCCACTATGGGAAGTTTTGTAATAACGGAGGACTGGGAACTAGTCTGGGAAGTGCTTTGTTTAGGCTAGACAAGTTACAAGTCCCTGTATAGTGTATCGTATGCATGTCACGAAAAAAACGATTTCCAAAAGCTGCCAAAATTTCTCTTTTGACAACCGGTAGATACAATCCAGCTCTGCGGCGTAATGGTGGGGATGTGAACAATAGCAATTTAAGTGGCAAATAGCATTAGCGCTATGGGATGTCTTCACATTCTTCATTCTTACGCCCCTCCCCCTTTAGTTATCCCAAAAATCAGAATTCTTTCCACTACACTATTATTTTGTCTCTTATTTTGATATAATTTCATATCCACTCTACTTTTCATTGTTAAATCTTTTCCTAGGTAAGGCCTTGCGTTGCAACAGTATAATTGTTAAGAATCAGTGAACGAGGATGCAGCTAGACTTGCCAAGCGCAGCCGGTGCTCGGCATCCACAAGACCGTTATCTTGTCGCGCATTCTTAAGAATGTGCGCTCAATCTGGAAGAGGGTTTTTTTGCGAAGATTGTGCAAGGATCCGGTTGCGCAGTCATAAGAATGTGCATGCCCATTCTTATGATTGCGCAAATCACAAGAAAGCGCACAACAACACCTCCTCAGTCCTCAGACACAGTCTTTTTTTTATTCTACTTAAAAATACTTTGTCGCTCATATTTGCAACCGCTTTCCTTCCTCCATGGTCTTACACTTACTATGGAAATGGAATAGGCTAAGCCTTTATGACCCCATATCCAATTTCTTTCCAATAGGTGAGGCTGCATTCACCAGATGTGAAGGGAGGTTGTTCCATTCAGAAATAATTACTCAGACATGTCAGATGGAAAAGAAGGTTTTTTTTCTGCAGTTCAACCCCTTCCTTAGTCCAGGTTTGTAGAACTTTAGGTTGTGACCTCTGACTTGGAATGGGTTGTCGTGTCTCTGGAACTTAGTTTGCTCTCCTCAATGCCTCCCAAGCTGTTTAGGATCCTGTACATCTCGATCAAGACGTCTCGTTGTCTTTTTGCTTCCAAACTGTACAGGTTCAACTCCTCCAAATCTTTCTGTATATGTTTTGTTTTTCAAGCTTAGGAACTTAGGGTGATCTTGGTTGCCCTGCGCTGTACCTTTTCTAACACTGACACATCTTTCTTGAGACTTGGGCTCCATGCTTGGATACAGTATTCAAGGTTGGACAGATGTATGTCTAATACACTTGAGATTTGACGGGATTTATAACTATAGTCTTGAGCCTTTTACTAAGATCCCATATCCATATTCATTCAAGTAACTGTCCAAGGCATTCTTGAATTGATTGACATTCATGGCCTTCATGACGTAGGCTGGCAAGTTGTTCCAGTTGTCAATCACCTGTTGTGAGAAGAAGTGCTTTCTGAACTGTAGACCTTTCAGCATTCTCTTCTTGAACAGCTGTGAACTGTGGCCTCTTGTGGTTGTATTGGACATGATGAAGAACTTCTTTGAGTCTTTGCCATCAAACTCAGTGTGGTATCTTTAGGGGAGCGGGCACTAGGAAGAGTCAACTAAACGTGGCGGCCATTTTGCACGAGACACTCTCCGGTGTCGTTTATTCCACTTCAAGAGAGGGCGCTCTTTAACATAAACAGTAATACGTTAACACATTACACTCCTCCCCCCTTAGTTTTGGACCCCATGAACTTTCAAGTAAAAAAAAAATAAAAATGCAAGGAGTTACTTTCCTCAGCAAATTATTTCACCATACAAAAATGAGATACATGGGAGTGTCCCTAATTTATCATTGGTCCTATAAAAGCAGAAATATTAACATATGTCCCCTTTATCCTTCCAAAATGTGTTCAAAATCCTAATTTTGCTAATTTCTTGTTTTTGGAGAATAACCAATGACCTTGGTTAAATTTATAACTACATGTACATGTATTGACTGTTTAAACACATGTATTTCTGACAAAATTGTGAATAAATTTTAATACAATCACATGTAACCATGAACACCGTTTCTTTTCTTTTTGTTTTGCGTACAGTTATGTAGTTTACAATTACAAATCAAGTCTATCGGGTGCTTTTCTGTTTCTTTGTGGATAACGCCTCTGAGAATTTTCCGTGCAGTTTGTCCCTGGCCCATTTGTTTCCCGCACTGGACTACTTTGTGAATCCCTAGCTAGATTTTGAGGAGTGACCTGACATTTATCAGGAGTTTTCACATCGGTCTGATCACATGTGTCGCTCTTTTTCTCTTGTTCTGGTGACTGTGGCAAGTTTACTACTAATTCTGGACCGTTTGTGTAACTTGGGACCCCTACCGGTACAACAGACTCTGACTGATTTTCTTCTTGGGAGGGAAAAATGTGGTCAATATGCACATACCTGTTTTTGCCATTTTTATACACATGAACAATGTATGTACGTGGTCCACAAACTTTGACTACTTTTGCAGGCAACCACTTGACCAGACTGTTTTCATGACTTTTGACCCTCACTTTCTGATCTACCTGGAGTGTTCGCTCCTTTACTCTACCTTGGTCATGATATACCCGTTGTTTTTCTTGTTTACTCTCTACTTTTTGTGCCAAGTTGGGTTTCAAGAGAGAAAATCTTGTTCTAGGTTGCCTCTTGAGGAATAACTCTGCTGGAGTTCTACCTGTAGTAGTCTGTGGTGTGTTTCTATACATTATGAGAAAATTGGCTAGTTTGTGATGCACTGATAGATGCTGCTTTTTCGGGTTTGGATCCAACATTTGTTTGATCAGTGCTCGTTTGACAATTTGAACAGTCCGCTCTGCTGCTCCATTTGAAGCAGGGTGGTATGGTGCCACTCGGGTATGTTTGATACCGTTTCTGTCCATACACTCTTTGAATTCAGCTGAAGTGAATTGTGGCCCATTGTCTGAGACGATTTCTTCTGGTAATCCATACGAGGAAAACAACCTCCTCAAGACATCCAGAGTTTTTGCCGTAGTTATCGTTTTCATGGGGTACACTTCGACCCACTTTGAGTGACTATCAATCAAAATCAACAATTGCTGACCTTTTAGGTCGGCAAAATCAATATGTACCCGTTGCCAAATTCGGGTAGGCCACACCCATGACTTGAGTGGAGTCGTAGGAGGAGCATTTCGGACTGATAGGCACGTGGTGCAGGCGTTTACAAGGTTTTCGATGTCCTTATCTAACCCTGGCCACCACAAGTAGCTACGTGCTAGGCTTTTCATACTACACATGCCCATGTGTTGGTTGTGGAGATCACTTAACAATCTGTCTCTATGCTTACTTGGAATAACTACCCTTATCCCCCACAAAATACAGCCCTTATCAATTGACAATTCAGCTCTACGCCTGAAGTATGGTTTCATCTGTTCATCTGGAACAAAACCTGGCCAACCATTTGCTACAAAGTCATACACTTTGGCTAACTCTGGGTCAGTTCTAGTGGCTCTACTGATATCATCTGATGTAACCGGCAACTCATCTATGTATGAGAAATACTTGACCTCCTGTACATTAGAATGGTCAACCTGTCTTGGTAATCTGGATAATGCGTCTGCATTTCCATGGTCTACAGAACGCCTATACACAATCTCATAAGTGTATGCAGACAATATGATAGCCCATCTTTGCATTCGCGCTGCGGCCAATGTCGGAATGGATGCCTGCGGATTGAAAATGGCTGTGAGTGGCTTGTGGTCTGTGACCAGAATGAATTTCCGTCCAATCAAGTATTTGTGGAACTTCTTGACTCCAAATATCAACGCCAATGCTTCTCGCTCTATTTGCGCATAATTTCTCTCACTTGGTGACAGAGTACGCGAGGCGAATGCAATGGGTCTTTCTTCCCCATCTGGCATTACATGCGAAATCACAGCACCTACTCCATATGGAGAGGCGTCGCAAGCAAGATGTAATTCTCTACTTACGTCATAGTGTACCAACAAAGTACTTTCCATGAGCTGGATTTTACTTTGCTGGAAAGCGGTTTCACAGGCAGCAGTCCATTTCCACTTCACATCTTTTCGCAAGAGCTCATTCAAGGGGTGCAACAGCGTTGAAACATTTGGAATGAATTTTCCATAGTAATTCAGTAGTCCCAAATAGGACCGGAGCTCAGCGATGTTTGTGGGGCTGGGAGCCTGCTTGATCGCTTCCAACTTCTCTACAGTTGGGTGGATACCCTCAGCATCAACTACATGCCCTAGGTACTCTACTGACGGTTTATGCCATTCACACTTTTGGCTTTTTACCCGCACATTATACCTCTCCAAACGCTTCAGGACCTCATCGAGTATTTCACTATGCTTTTGTTCAGAGGGTGCAGAGATGAGGATATCATCTAGATAACAGACAACTCCCTCAATCCCCTGCAAAATCTGATCCATCACACCCTGAAATATCCCGGTGCTGATGATACCCCAAACGGTAACCTATTGAACTGAAACAGCCCAAGGTGAGTATTTATGGCCAGGAACTTTTTGGACTCTGCATCCAACTCGAGCTGTAGGTATGCTTGTGCGAGGTCGATTTTTGTGAAAATCTTTCCCCCTTCTAGTGTCGCAAATAGGTCCTCTGCGTTTGGCAAGGAATACTGTGTGTCATCTAACAACTTATTGATTGACACCTTGTAATCACAACACAATCGCAAACTACCATCAGGCTTAGGTACTGGTACAATAGGCGAGGCCCATTCACTGCGTTCTACCTTACTTATGATGCCTTCATCTTGCATCCTTTTCAACTCTTTTTCTAGTTTTTCTTTCAGAGCATACGGTACGGGACGCGCCTTGCAAAACACAGGTTTAGCATTATCAATCATATGTATGTGCGCCTTGAACTCAGTGATTGGGCCCCCCTTCTCACTAAATACCGTTTTATACTGTTCTTTCAGTCCTGCCATATCCTTGGCTGGATGACTGACATGTGGAGAGTCCTTGGCTGCTCCGCTTGTGTCTTGTACTCTGAAGATCTGAGGCCAGTTCACTTTGATTTTGTCCAACCAGTTCCGACCGAATAAGGCTGGCTTGTCTCCCACCACTACGTACAGTGGCAGTGTCTGTGTCTGACGCTCGTACGTTACTGGCAGAGTGAGTTTTCCCCGCACTTCTATGGATTCTCCTCCATAGGTTTTCAGTTTCACGGACGACGGTTCCAATGTCCAGCTTGAAAACTGCTGCTGGTAGGTCTTATCCGATATGATGGATACAGCTGCCCCGGTATCCAGCTCCATCTCTACTGAAGATCCTGCTAGGTCAACAGTCACAGCGATGCCCCTTGCTGGTGAGCTCACCGAACTTATCGTGTAAACCAGAAAGTCGCCTGATTCATCACTGTCCGCGTCTGCGGCCACGTGTTTCACCGACTTCGAAGACTTGCCATCCTTTGGTGTCTGATTCTGGTACCGTTTCTTTCTGCATGCCTTGGAGATGTGCCCAACTTTATTACAACAATAGCATGTTGCTCCTTTGAAGGGACATTCCCTTGGCGAATGTTGACCTGTGCATCGGTAGCAGTTCCCACTTCCTGGTTGGTTCTGTGCCGATTTAGGCCCACCACTTATTGCAGTGGGTGCTGGCTTCCTCTTTGGAGCGAAGACTTGCTTGGCAGTCATCTTTTTCACCTCCAGACTGGCTCTTGGTTGTATATGTAGTTCCTGAGCTTGCTTATTTGCCATCTCAAATGCTACCGCCAGCTGCAGTGCCTTGTCAAAAGACAGCTCTTTCTCGGTTAACAGCTTCTTCTGACATGTGGTGTTGATCAACCCACACACTAGTCGATCTCTTAAGGCATCCTTCAGGAAGTTTCCAAACTTGCAGGTGGTTGCCAGACGCTTCAGTTCGACCACATATTCATTCACAGATTCCCCTGGTTTCTGGTCTCTTTTGTGGAATTTGAAGCGCTCTGCGATGGTCAAAGGTTGTGGTGAGTAGTGATTCTTTAGCAAGGTTTTCAGTTCTTCCAGTGATTTATCACTCACTTTGTCTGGCGATACCATTGACTTCAACAGCGAGTACGATTTCGGCCCTATGACCGTAAGAAAAACACTCACTGCTTTTGCATCCTTGATGTCGTTGGCAATGAAGAACTGGTCCAACCTTTCCAAATAGCACGTGAAGGTTTCCTTTCCTTCGTCAAACTCATCCACTTTTCCGATGATCGCCGCCATCGTATAACGATCGTAATCTATAACTTTATCTCAACAATTTAAGACTCTGGTACCTCAGGATCCCATCCTCGTCGCCAATTTTGTGGTATCTTTAGGGGAGCGGGCACTAGGAAGAGTCAACTAAACGTGGCGGCCATTTTGCACGAGACACTCTCCGGTGTCGTTTATTCCACTTCAAGAGAGGGCGCTCTTTAACATAAACAGTAATACGTTAACACATTACACTCAGGATCTTGAATGTTTCAATTAGATCTCTCCTTTATTCTCCTCACTTCAAGTGGGTTCAGATTCAGCTCTCTCAGCCTTACATTGTATGGTTTCCTCCTCGATCCAGGTACCAGTTTGGTTGGCCTCTGTACTTTTTCAAGACAGTTGATGTCTTCTTTCTGCATCAACCTCTGATCAATGCATCAACCGTGCGAATCGACACACTCACTCAGCCGTTATTGCACGTTAAATTGTAACCTGGTTGTAGCTGCAAAATCGCACAATTTTGTATAAAAAGCCAAATAGTTGAGAAAATTGAAGAATCAATCGGCCATCTTGGAAAATCCGCTATCTTGGGGGAAAACAAGCGCCTGCCTCCTTCATTTTTTTCAAACAGCCAAGATGAGAAAATATTTAATTTTTTTACTTGGCCTTATCGGTTTCCGTCAAAGTTTGTAATTTTCTGCAATATCCTGGACTAATTAAGTTAACTGCCATAGTAACAACTTATTTTATATCCAATGCAGTGTTTTAGAAGCCAAAAGAGATATCGTCATGCAAACCGTCAAAGCCAGAAAACCAGTCAAGAAGTCCAGCAGAAAAGAGCCACCCTCTTCTGAGCAGACTCCGCCCACACCTTCCAATGCACAACATCCTCCACCAGCCGAACCAATTATAGAACCCAGACTCCCCTTCTGGGAAGTTGTCATCTACTTGGTTTTGGCAGTTGGGTTACTGTCTACAGCCATCTACAATGTTTACGTTTCTTCTCAAGGTAAAACATGTACAGCTGGAAAGTACAAATTTACATGTATTTGTCCCTTTGATGTCAATCAAACTACAGGTTTTGCCCTTCATCGACGTTTAAACACCGCCGCAAAATTCCATCTTACAATAGTTTATGCGGTACCCGCTGCTATGTACATCGGATTCGAACCATCCAACCGATCCCGTTAGCTTGGTGGTCAAGTGGTAAGACATCTGCACTAGAAAGCAGGAGGTCGTGGGTTCGAGTCCCACCCGAGTGATTTTTTTCCAACTTTCACTCGGGAGGTAACACACTGAGTATACAGTGTTTAAATGTCGGTGAAGAGCAAAACCTATAGTTTGATTTATATCACCCCGACGCAAAATTCCATCTTACAATAGTTTATGCAGTACCCGCTGCTATGTACATCAGATTCAAACCAGCCAACCAATCCCGTTAGCTCGGTGGTCGAGTGGTAAGACATCTGCACTAGAAAGCAGGAGGTCGTGGGTTCAAGTCCCACCTGAGTGATTTTTTCCAACTTTCACTCGGGAGGTAACACACTGAGTATACAGTGTTTAAAGCTATAGTCCATCATTTGAAGCCATCCGAAAAGTAACTGGCGTAATTACTGTTGAAAAACAAACTTGGTTGAAAGATAGTAAGGGAGCTAAACTCCCTATGAAATTATTCTTCTGGGAAGCTGTCATTTTGAAGTAATCAACGAAAGAAGGCATTTCCAATGGTGATTCTTAAGAAGCACCGTAGGAAAATTTAAATTAGTAGTTCGTTTTGTTATTCAGCGCAGCGCGCACAAGTATTGGAACGACGCACACGCGCGCGCGGTTGTTATAATTCGTTGGATCAGTGCGCGACGTCGCGTATAGCTGCAATTCAAAACAATTCAAAACATGATTCAGTAACTTTTGATTTGAAATTGAGATCTTAGAATGCTGTTTTTCTCGGAATGTACAGCTGAAGCTTAGCTGAAACTTCATCAGGTTAGTTGCTCAGTATCCTTCATTAGATTTTGAATCTTTTGTTGCTTCAAACGAACAAAATGCACAAATTACAAATGATGGACTGTAGCTTTAAACGTCGGTGAAGGGCAAAACCTGTAGTTTGATTTATATCACCCCGCTCCAAAATTCCATCTTACAATAGTTTATGCGGTACCCGCTGCTATGTACATCAGATTCGAACCAGCCAACCGATCCCGTTAGCTCGGTGGTCGAGTGGTAAGACATCTCCACTAGAAAGCAGGAGGTCATGGTTTCGAGTCCCACTCCACCGAGTCAATGACTCGAGTCATTACAACTCTACGCATAAGTAACAAAAGTTTAACCTCTAAGATATTCGTGGATTTCAGTGTTTTTTATTCTACTGTTGGGCATCTGCAAGGAGAATGCCCACAAGAGTGTTTATGTTATTAGTCTTTGCAATGATTATGTATTTATAAAAAAACATGGCGTTACGTATGGGACCAAAAAGGGACCTTTTCTTGGACATCCCCTAATCTATTACATCACATAGTCATGTTGATAATAAAAGAATTGGTTTTGAAAATTAAATGTTAAGCTCTGTCATTAATTCTCGTACTATCAAAACATCATGATCAGGCCGTCCAACTTGTACATCTTGTTTTATCCGCAGCTTTTCATTTCTAACCTTGTACTTGTGATTTATTTATCATGCCAGAACATATGGATGGGTTTGGCTCATATATCCTGCAACCAGGCTGGTCATTCCTTGGGAACAGATACAAGGTAAACCACCCCCCCCCCCCTTTTCTTACATATCTCACATTTGTTTGTGCACAAATGCAAGATCAAGTCAGTAGTTGCAAAATATTCCATTGAGCACTTTTGTTACAAAATTTTGTATACAGCAAACTGCTATGCCTTTTTTATTTTGTAAAAAAAAGAAAACCTGTTTTATACATATATTGCAATTTGGGTAATATAATAATAGAAATATTATCGGAGTCATATCTACCAACGTATCTACTAACTATTAGGTACTCAAGGCGCTGGAGATATGTCTATTATTAAAGAAAGGTGAATAAAGTTTATGAGAAATTTAAGACCCATTATGTAGCACTTTATAATGGTTTACAAGGTGCTGAGGCGCATATTGCAGCCACTGCCAGAAACATCAGGGCAAACCCCTTCTCTTAGCGATAAGTGTTACTGGGTTCTTTAACATGCATTACACAACACATGGGACCTACAGCTTTACATCCCATCCGAAGGACGAAGCAATAATGGTAAAGTGCCTTGCTCAAGAGCACAAGCACCATGTTCCCACGGTCAGGATTCGAACCCATGTACCACGGCACACGAGTCGAACACCGTAACCATTGGACCACAGCACCCCATTAACTTTGTTTAGTTGATAAATTTGAAAATTGCAAAGCATTTTGCGATGCAAATTAGGGAAAATCACTCATTGTATTCATGTGTTTATACCTATTCCTTGAGTTCTTCTAAAGCGCTTATATGAGGCATCAGCATTAGTGTGTTTATTTAATAATCCACTGATTACTTTTCATGTAAGCAGAAGTCTCTTTGAAATGGACTTATTCAATTACAACTTTCATTTATTTCTTTTTTGATAAATTCTCCAACCAAATGGATTGACAAGAAAACTCTGTTCTGTCATTTTCTGGTGGCATCCATTACATGTGACACACATGGTGATGTGGGAAGTAGATCTCTGACATTTCTTTTGCCCTATTTGATTCTTTTCCGATGATTCTGTGGCAATCTTAATTCATGCCAGGACATATCTGATTTTGAGTGGAGTTACTGGACAGCTATGATCACACCATTCCTGCTGGTGCTGTTGGTTGGTCACATCAGCCTCGGACAAGTTGTGGAACACACTATGCCAAAGGTCAGTTACTATATGAGGGCATCCCATTTTATTTTGTTGGTTCTCCTTTCCGACCGACCCAATTGAGTTTTTTTAATTAAAAAGTGAATTTCGAACTTTCAATTATTTTCCTTGACCCAACCACAAAAAAATTGATAATTTGGAATGGCTCCTAAAGTGCATCTATAGCTGCATCACGGGAGAGCAAAACCTAGTATTAAAGCCAGAGTCCATCATTTGCAACTATCCAAAAAGTAACTGGCGTAATAACTGTTGAAAAGCATACTTGGTTGAAAGATAGTAAGGGGACTAAACTCCCTGTGAAATTATTCTTTCTGGCAAGCTGTCATTTTGAAGAAATCAACAAAAGAAGGCCTTTCCAACCGTAGCAAATTCAAATCAGTGCTTTGTTTTGTTATTCGGCGAAGCGTGCACAAGCATTGGCACGAGGCACACGCGCTCGTGGTTGTTATAATTCGTTGGATCAGTGCGCGACATTGCGTAGCTGCAATCGGCTCAGTGAGAACGTGTCTCGGACGCTGAATTCAGGCCCAATTTAAAACATGATTCAGCGACTTTTGATCGGAAATCGAGATCCTAGAATGTTGTTTTTCTCGAAATATATAGCTAAAGCTGAGCTGAAACTTCATCAGGTTAGTTGTTCAGTATCCTTCTTTAGAGGAGTCTTTAAGATTCTCATCTCCCCTCTTCAAAAATCCATGAAAAATCTGGTTCTCTATGTTGGTTTTTTTTGTTTATTTGTTATTTGAATGAATGTGATCACAGTTCAAGAAGCATTTTCTTCTGGTGTACTCCCTGGTGTGTCTGACGGGTCTATTTGGTCTGAAAGCGGTCGTTGTCTTCTGCTTGTACACCACCTTTGCCTACCTGGCGTCACGGACAAAGTCAGCAGTGGTGGTCTGGGTTGTCATTGGTCTGGAAATTCTCAGCTTGGGAGTGGATTCCATATCTGAGTACATGGTGAGTCCTGAATTAATATAAATGTGACTAGTTATTAGGTCAGCTAGGCATCCCTTTTTTGTTCTTTGGTTCTCATTCCCGACCGACCCTACTTTAAGCTCCTGACCAAAGAAAAAAAACCCACTTTTTTTAAGACCACCGACCCCTGTCTTGAACCCCCTCAAACAAAAACTAAATAAATGAACAAAATTGAATACCAAATTAAGTTTCTGTGTTATTTGAAAAAAGTATACAAATAATGAATGTTTATGAGTGCAATGGTGAGAATATTCTCATGAGTTGAAAGATTGGAGTTGAATGGAACATTCCATCTTTCAACGAAAGAAAATATTCTCACCATCGCACGAATGCAAAACATTCATTATTTGTTTTATATAACATCCAAGTAGATCTTTGTCATTTGATTGGAGGATAAAACTTTAAGAACAAACAAAACCCACAAAATTGTATTATATCACTACTTTTTTTCAGCTTGTTCAAGGCTAACAAAGGTTTACAAGTCAAATCATTGACATGATTGACAATAATGAAAATTAACATTGTAAGTTCTTAAAAAGGCAACTGCATCAACTTCAAAGGTAAGTTTTGTACTGCTGTAACGCATGATATGGTCTAAATAGCGCAAAGATCGTATAGCGCTGGGCTGCTGCACGTCTTAGCGTGCGCGCGGCGTGCAATAGATCAAAAGGCATGGGACGAAAATGCACTGTGAATGGAACCAAAAATGCAGTTATGACGTAGGCAGTGCAATGGTTCGATTTATGAATGCCACGTGACCTACAATCCTCCAATCAACTGACAAGGATTTACTTGCGCGTTATATACAAAATGATATCCGTCAATAGTATGAATGTTTGTGAGTGCAATGGCAAAAAAAATTTCATGAGGTGACAGATGGAATGGAACATTCCATCCGTCACCGAATGAAACTATTCTTTCCATTGCATGAATGTGAAACATTCATTATTTGTTTTATACAACACCTGAATAAATCCTGGTCATCTGATTGGTCAGAGTCACTAATAGTTTGACTGTGCAATGGAACTTCTATTTACTGTGGAAAAGAACTGGAATAGAAATGTGCAAAAAAAGTTGGGACAAATAAATAAATGCCATAAATTTTCGTTGGGCTTTTGAAATTGATTCAACAGCACGCTGTCTTCCCCGATGAAGAACTGTACAACCATGTGGCATTCGGTACGGCTCTCTGCCTGTGTCGTCTTCTCAGCTTTAGCCTGGAGTACTGCAAACATGCCAAACAATCGCAAGAAGCTGGTGCCCACCACCAGCAGGGCACCGGTGAAGCCTGGGGGTTCTTTGACATCATGGTGTACAATTTCTACTTGCCACTATTTGCCAGTGGACCCATATTGACTTACGAGAAATTTTCAAAGCAAGTGAGTTGAATAAATTTTTTTCCCTTTGAAAAACTTTGATTTTCAATTTCTTTTTTATTGTTTGTGGATAAATTCTGTATTCATTCTCTTTTCAGCGTTTATTGAAAGCAGAAGTACATATAAAAGCAATACGAGATGTGGCACCGAAAATACCTTTTTGGCTATATAATGGATCTTTTAAAAATAGTATCTCTCACCCTTGAATTACGTCCATGGACATTGCACAAATAGTTCCATAGGTAGCTTCTAAATTGAATAAGGAAAATTTCATGTCATCCAGGATCACACATTGAAAGTTCAAGAAAAAAAGATCCCCCTCCCCCGCCTGATCCTTCAAATTCTACAAAGGACTTTTGAGAGATTTTATTAGATCCAGGAAAGTAGATGGCAGCCACATCACACCCCTTGAACATTGAAGTATGAGTAATGTTTTATACTTGTATGCTTGAAGGGGGGGTTACATTGAAAAAACCCTGATCATTTGCCTGTGAGTCTCTTTTCTTTCATGACACATAATTTTACTCCTTGGCCCCACAATGTGTAAGGCTTTAAAGTAAAACATGCATTTACCCTAACTCCCAAGTGTCTTTTACTAAATGCTGGACAAATTCCACCAAAATCCATCACTGACCCTGCTTCACATAAGGACCAAATCTGCTGAAATCCACCTCAAGACCATCACTTCTATAGGTGGATTTTGATGGACTTCATACAGATGGCTTGCCTACCAAAATCCCCAAAATGGGGAAATGGATTTTGATGGATTTGGGGTGGTTAAGGTTAAGCAGCCCTCATGGATAACCTTGCGACAGCACGAAACAGTCAGCAGGATCAAGCTGTGCCTGAGCTACGTCCATCGGGAACAAATTAGTCACCGATGTTTTTGCGATCTGAGTGAAAACTGCGAAGATATTGAGACGATCAGCATAAGTCTGCGCTAAAAAAAAATCAACAGTTGCAAGAGTAGAACAATTTGAAATTCAGTTGCAGTCGTGTAGCCAATCAGCGTGCAGTAAGAATGGCTGAATGAACAGATGTGGCCATGGAAGGTCATTTGTTATCAACACGCTTTTACCGTTATTCAAGAAGTCACATGACTGTCTATGCCGTGGAATCGTTGTTGTGTCATGGATGAAATGAGCAAGTTGCGATTTTTTTTGTGTCGAGATCCCGCAGGTTCCACGAGAATCACACGATTTCTCAGTTTGACGACCTGAATATGACTTTTGTGCTTGATGCTGATGGTCGCAAATCGCAGGTCGACCTGAGGCAGGCTTTATGTTCACACCAAGCATTTTGGTGTGGTGAAGCACACAAAAATATGCACAGTATACATTATGTGGAGTGCTGTGGCGTCGTGGTTAAGGGCACTGGATTCGTGGTCTGTGGGTAAAGCTGCGGGTTGTGGGTTCGAGTCCAGCCTGGGGTCATGGTGCGTGTGCCCTTGAGCAAGGCACTTTGTCACTCATTGCTTCTCTCCACCCAGGAGTAAATGGGTACCAGTGAGGGCAGTGATGGTTATGTGATTGATTTAGCTTCCTTGCGCCTAACAGGCTGCATCGAGCTGTATACTCCCCAGGGAGCTGAGATGGTATATGGAATGTTTAATTGACCCAATGATCAGGGGTAATAATAACGTAAAGTGCTTTGATCTTTGTTAAAAGCACTATATAAGAACCTGTTATTATAATTACCATCTTACACTCAATTTGTGTACTTTCTCTCCAGATAAATCAGGTTCGAAGGCCATTCACAAGAGACGAGGTCAAGAAAATTCTCAAGGAATTTGGACGATATATCTTCTGGGCGCTCTTCGTTGAGTTTGTTTTACATTTCTTGTACTTTCCTGCATTCCATCAAGTGCGATATGTGTTCCAATTCCTTCCAACATGGTCATTAGGTGAGTGAAAAGTTATACTTACAAGAGACATAATCAAGGGAATTAAGGCGTTGAATCATTTTTTTTAACTATGTGATTTTTCACTTTTAGTAGAAGTGCTGTGTTCTTATCACATTGTGTCAGGCCTTCTTTGTGTGTGCAACATGCAGGATATGTCTGGTAACATGTTCACAAAAAGCTGAAGTGGAGTTGATTTTATTTATTTGTTTGTTATTTTAACTGGGTAGCCCATTCAGTGGAATGCACCGGTCTCCCGTGGGGCCCAGCAAAGAGAAGACAATTTGAAGAAATTACAGTTTCATACGTGGGAGGACAACTCAATAAGAATATTCTGAGGGAAAACCCACGGAATCAGGCAGGGCCTGAAAACCCAATTCACATATTGACCCAGGCGGGATTCGAACCCGGGTCACAGCCGTGAAAGGCGAGGAAAACACCGCTACGCCAACCTGACTCCCCAAATTGAAAATTGGTCACTGCCAAAAGTCTTCTTTTTTGTGCCTGAGACTTCTGTCATATTGTAAATTGCTTAGGCAACGGCCATTAATGACCCGATGTGGACAGGGAGTGGGTTTTGCACCGTGGATTTGCAATAATAAGTAAGTGAACCAGCCAGTTGACCCCGGCAAGCTCGGTGGTGTAGTGGCGTGCACTAGTAAGCAGGAGGTTGTGGGTTCAAGTCCCACCTGAGTGAGCTTATGAATTGTTTTCTCGCAATCCCTTTGACAACACTGCTCTTACCTTACAGACTCTTTGTGGACTTGTGAACAAAAGAGGTCCACAGGATGCAGTGTGAACGCTCTGTGGACTTGCACACGTCCACACTAGGTTCCCCCTCTCTGGAAAACAGCTTTAGAGGCATTTTTGGGTTAGGTTTATCTGTCGCAAAATGCAGAGGAACACTCCAGGAAATCATGATAACAAAAAATATTGTTTTCTCTACACAAATACAAAGGAATGTCCACAATAAGTATGTAAGGTAAGACTATATGAGTAAACAGTGTTTATAAAATACATCAGAGGCAGTCCTTCTGTTTTGAGGCGTGGGATCACACCCCCATGCCATCACATGCTTAAATGCTTCCTGAGAAGTGCGAATAATCGCACGCCTAAATCACTCAGTACCGCACACTTCGGCATACATTTACAGCATAATGGTACTTCATAATTTGTGAAAATTAAAGTACGTCGGTAAAGAGAAAACGGCTTTATTGTAAGCGAAGATGAATATTATGAAAACTATCAGATTGTTCAGTCCCAGCTTGGACCACAGAATCACACACCCAGAAAAATCACATGCCTTAGAAAAATCACACGCCTGGAAAAATCCAGGTGTGCCTTTTTCCACACACCTGTGATTTTCAAATCAGAAGGACTGCAGTGGAGGGCAAATAGCTGTCTCATCTAGCCAGATAAATCACTCGACTTCATTTATTTTGTTTTTTGTAATTTTTTTCATTTTTGTTTGTTTGTTGTTGACAGCTGGTGTCGGGCTGTGCCACTTATTATTCTTCCAAGTCAAGTACCTAGTGACTTACGGCATACCGCGGGCCATAGCGCTGTGTGACCGCATAGATGCACCACTGCCGCCTATTTGTGTGCTTGGAATGTATACATTCCAAGACATGTGGAAGTAAGTGATCAGGAATATCAACAGGTTTTGGTACAAATTTAACGATTTCGGACAATCAGGCAAGGCATGATATTACATGCACACAAGGTTTTCTCATACTTAGATGCAGTTTTCTTACATGAATTGTCTCAAAGCTTTCATTTTCAAAATAAACCATTGCAATCTTCACAGCGAAATATTTGAAACCTATAAACCTATATTTCAACTTTTGAGCCTATTTTGTTTTTAAAGGAGCCCATATGTCCTATAAAAAAAACTTTACTTTTTATTCCTCCATTTGTTTTAACACATTAATAGCACACTTCTTGTCCAAATTAAGGGAAGTTTTATTTTTATTGAGGGGCAGGTAGTTTGGTGTTGCTGTATATACCTATCTTTTAACCAGTTCGCGCCGGAGGTCGTGTATACATGCAAAGGTTTTGCGGTATTTGGAACAGATGACAGATAAACACGTGAGGCCAGAAATATCTGTCGGCGACCCGCTCGCAGCGAGCGAGGCCGGAAATATGAGTGTGCTGCCCGAGGGTGATGGCTTCAACCCGCCCGGCTTGAGGTCGAATGAAGAGTAATCCGCGCCTTGTTCCATTCTTATCAAAATAACCCCAGCGTGAACTGGTTAAGAAAGATTTTAAAGCATTGTCAAACATATTATGCAATTTTACTTAAGTTTATTTTTCTTCCTGTCCTTCATGTGTTGTGGGGCTGATGTTCTACATTTGTGTGTCTTTCTATTCCAACAGATACTTTGACAGAGGTCTCCATTCCCTCTTAGTGAGGTAGGTTAGATACTAGACAAATAATCTGTTTAGAGTGCTTGTGCTTAAAATGAGACATTTATTAATTTCAACAGTTAAAATCATTGTTTTAAGGCTGGTTTATAGTCGGTCTCATGATAATATTTGTTAAACACTGGTGGTAACTGCACACCAGGTCTTTTTGTTCAACGTAGGTGCAAGATATTCAGCTGTGAATGCGACAGTCATGCATTGCCACTGCTGAACCTATAATTACTTATAGCTGCTAGCATTGGATGTTTGATGTGAAATTCAAATCGATGCTACCCCTTTTAGTAGAAATAAGAAGATGTTTAGTTATTAAATTTTAAACATTAAGGATGCACTGCATAATGTCAACGTCTAGTGTTTCTTCTAGCATAATATAATATACCTTCATGGACGATTGATAATATCATATTCCTTCATGGACGATAATATCAAAGCAATTTTTCAACAGTTCTTTCTTTTATGTAACCAGCCAGCTAAATGCCAAAATTTGCTTGGAAACCTCTGTGCATAAGGGAGCAACAGTTCAGCTTATGCATAGTTAATGAAATCCAGTCATCCTTTTTGCTTGATGGTGTTCCATGCTCCATGTTTGCATATTCAACAGTTCTGACCAATAGGCAGTGTGATTGGTGAGAATTCAGTGAGGTCACTGACCATGTCAAAGTTCACAGTGTTTGAACTCTGCAGTAATGATGTGCAAACCCGACCCGAAACCGACCCGACCCGAAACCGACCCGACCCGAAACCGACTTCGGGTCGGGTCGGTTACTCTCAATCAACCCACTGAGTATGACAGAGAGAGAGTCGATGGTTTTGCAACAGAATTCATGCCACGTGGGTAAGGGCAGGCACAAAAAAGTGATCACTTTGTCCAAGCAAGGTATTCGGGGTTTTTTCGGGTCAGGTCGGTTCGGGTCGGTTTTACCTTACTTTTTGTCGGGTTAGGTCGGGTCGGTTTGAGGGAGTTAAGATCGGTTTCGGTTCGGATTCGGTTTATATCTCTAATGTTTCGGGTCGGTTTGGCCTGGTCAACCCGACCCGATGCACATCATTACTCTGCAGGGACATTGCCAGTGTCATCTAGCGACCAGTCGCTGGAATTTCAGTGACGGCTTTAAACCATGAAGCTGATTGTGCATCAATTTTTCAGTCATGCAACCATGGCATTACAGACTGTAAATCGGCCTTATAACTTGGTATTTTCGTAAAGAAAAGTGTTGTAGGACTTCAAGTAAATACCACAGTGGGAATACAAGCTTTCAACTTGGAGAGACAACTTGTCACATTCACATTTGACCTACGGCTTATGTCCTGCAATTATTTTGCCTCTACAATGTTCTTCAGTTCCACACATTCACAAGTGCATTTGGAAGCTTCTTAAATAATTAGCACTACAATTCACAGAAAATAATCGAACTTAAAATGCCAGTGTCCTAACAACTTAGTTGAGTAACGTCTCTATTTATGTTGTACTGCTCGTAACATACAAGTGAACGACAGCTTGATAAACTACAGTACAGTATATCTAGGGTGTCTAAAAAGAACAAACTCTAAAATTGCCCTCTTTTTCACATTAAAAAAAAATACACATATCAATACACATGTAGAGAGAAGGTTTCATTAGCTTTTTAACACCGAAAAAATCTTTCCAATCGGGTGAATATTTATTGAGTTATGGCCAATTGAATACGAGTACCGCTTTTTCAGTTTGTCCACGGCAACTGATATTTTGACTGCCGCAATAAGAACATGGGCCGAAACTTGCATTTGTGAAAAAGACTACCAAGTAGAGGGCAGAGACAGAGCAGCACAATAAACATCTAAGAAGTTAACTAAACAGTCATTTACAGGACTACCATTACTTCCAAAAGGATAAATGATCATTGTTGCAAAAAACAAAAAAACAAAAAAGAACCACATAAAGACAGAAAGATTAAAACATTAAAGAAAGCAAAATTACCCTTACCCCAAATCCATTACATTCCTAACAAATGACAATTGAGACCATGGACAGATAGATCGGCAATTATTTGTACTTAGTCTTGGCCATAACTCAATAAATATTTACCCGATTGGCAAGATTTTTTCGTTGGTGAAAAGCTCATGAGCTATAGTCTCCACATATGTGGAAATATTTGCGAGGTATTTTTTTTGAAGCTGTGAAAAAGATGGGTATTTGAGGGTTCTTTTTTTTAGACACCCTGTATATGCTTCAAGTTGAATTTGAAAAGGAAGACAAACTCTTTGGTAGTTCTGTGTTTTTGTGGATCCCTTGTATTCTCATCCCTTTCGCTCATATCCCACAGCGTCATCTACATTCCCATGGGTGGTTCCAAGTACGGCCTATTCCGTCAACTCCTAGCCTCGGTAGTCTGTTTCTCCTTTGTCTTCGTGTGGCATGGCCTGGAGAGGCATCTTTTCTACTGGGCCCTGATCAACTGGCTCGGCATTGCAAATGAGATGTTAGTCCAGAAGTTGGTCGATTGGCTTGGAGTCATGTCTTATCTTGTAAGTCACTGGATGATACACTCAACCAAAAAAGAAAGTCCCCCCCCCCCTTCCAATACTTTTTTGTCTAACTCAAAAACTACTGAGCACCTCTCGCTCAAATAATGACTAATCAGTACAGAAATTCCTTAGCAATCCAGCCATACTCTCTATTTGGCCCAAAACAGTGATAATGTGTACGAATTTATGCAATTTATGACAAACGATACTGAAAGCAGTTGCACTTTTGTATACGTGCAAGTTTTGGTTCACTCTTACCTTGCACGCATTCAAAAGTGCAACTTTTTTATCGGTACCATGTGTCATAAATTGCATAATTTTGTACACATTATAGCTGTTTTGGGCAAAACAAAGAGTATGGCTGAAATGATAAGGAATTTCTGTACTGATCAGTCGTAGTTTGAGCAAGATGTGGCCAGTAGATTTTGAGTTGGACAAAAAAGTATTGAAGGGGGGGGGGACTTTCTTTTTTGGTTGAGTGTATAACAATCTTGTAGTTTGTTTCTCGTGGGAAAGAAAATTTACTTGTTTTAAATTTTTAACTTCTATTCATAAACACCTAAGACAGTTCACCCATTCCTATTGGTCGAGAGCACATCACGTGGTTGGTCTTAAAGGGAATATACAACATTTGCAAACATCGAAAAATTAAACTACCAAGTTTTTACGAAATACCTTACTAGGATGTTGGTAAATGACAGTCTCAAGCATTTTGTAAAATTATGGCACCTGGTGTGAAGTCATTTTCAAGAAAATGGTATTTTTGTAAACATTTCCAACGGTGGTCGGCCGACCAGCGTTGGAAAAACCTAACTATTTTTCACCTACTGCTCCAAATTTACCATTTTTTCCAGTCCAAATTTTGTTTGCTATTGGTTACATGTTCATGAACGGGTGCAGGCCAGCTAGACTGGTTCCCTTGCCTTACAATTTTCAATCATCTATAAATTGATCCATTTTATCTTTTGTGGAGTCAGGGAACCAGACTACTTGAACATTGTTGTTTTTCTTGGTTTTTCCAACCTTTTCGAACACCAAACTTCAAAAATGTCAGTGTAACAATATTTGATATATTATACTAACCTCTCAAATAGTTCATTTCTGAAAATTACAGCAAAAGCCAATGATGTACATTCCCTTTAAACACTTTTCTGGTGTCACATGAAATATAGGCTCCTATGAAATCCAATGCCTATTCCGTTTTATTGGTTGAACGTTCACAATCCTCATATAGGCACGCGCAATACTGCTATTATGTCATAGTCCTAAATTTCAACGCACTTGCCACAGCTGTATCTGCACGACATTGTGCAGATACACGCTTTTTCAAAAAGGGGAAGGGGATTAAGTACATATAGTGTTATTTCCACATTGTCAAATTAATACTAAAGGGTATGTGTAGCTGATGGCCTGTGAGAAAGATTTGCAACTTTTTAATTTGTTTCCTGAAAATTAAAAAAAAGGTGAATTTCTTTGGGTTTTTTTTGGGGGGGGGGGGGCATGGCCCCCGTTGGTCCCCCTGGATCTGCCAACTACCAGACTGGGAAGACTCAGGAAGACTTAAACGATGTCAAGATTCAGGACGACTCGTTAAGACTTGTTCTCTTATGTTTTTTTTGTTTGTTTTATCAATAGAAACACAAGCTGCCGCCCTCCATGTACTGCAGATTACTGGGGCTAATCCTTACACCCAACTTTATGGCCCTGGCTTTGTCAAATCTGGTGTTCTTAGGAGGCACTCGCATAGCTAATATCTACGTCAACAGTCTTACGCATTCGGGTAAGCTGTGCAAGAGTTTTGTTGTAAAGGTCTGTCTCTTTTACAGTTTCGTAACGTCCCTTTTTAAAAATAAATAAGTTCTAAAAAATTGTCTAGGTTTCATAGCAATCTGAACCATGTTGTGACTGAGTTTGGGGTCATACGGATCACAATTCTAAATGCTTCCAATGCTTCCATACTACTTCACCTGGCTCATTGACTTCCAAGTTTTAGGTTGCTGCCATTTTCAGTCAGAGTTGTAATGACTCGAGTCATTGACTCAACTCGAGTCCGAATCGAGTCACAATTTTTGGTGACTCAACTTGACTCTAGACTCTAGTCCCTATGGACGTGAATCGACTCAAGGCACTGCGAGCAAATGACTCAAGTCCCTCATCAGAAGACTTGACTCGAGCGAAGGCTAATAAGACTCGAGTCCCCAAAATAAAAGCAAAACTTTGCGAAAAATATTTGCAATGAATTTAATGGTGCAAACTTATGTTCACGTCACTTTGCGAAAACAGTACGGTACAGCGGCCGCTTGTGATGTACAAATGCACGTGTCACAGACTCCCACCTTGTGGTTCTGGAATGCACAAAATACTATCCTGGGAACCGAACTTTAACACATTTCCAGCTCTTGGATTTGAATGCCAGCTAAAGTTAAGCCCTCCTTTTAAAAATTATATAGATACATGCCCTTTTTTAAATAATCAGAAACAGTTTTGTATAATGCAAGTTGGTTTTGATGTTGTCAGCAATCAGGGGTAAACTTTCTAGACCCGAAGCCAAACCAGATAGCCTATAAGACCGAAATTTCACTTCTTGTTAACTGTTAGTTATACAAATAACTTCATCTCTTGTCTTTTTTTGTAATATAGTGTTCAAATATTTGACTTGAATTGACTCAAGCTAAACATTTGACTTGACTCGTCTAGACACTGCGACTCGACTAGACTCATTTGACCTTGTTGACCTGATGATGCGAATCGACTTGAGTCACTTCTTTAAAATGACTCGACTCGAGTCACAAAATCAGTGACTTGTTACAACTCCGTTTTTCCAAGTTTCTGGCTTAGCATAGCAAGAAGCATAAATGTATACATGTACATGGCTTTTTGCATACTTGCAAAGCAATGCGAATGATGAATTGTCTTTCGTATTTCACACACATACGGTTTGCCATCTTAGATTGGCATTGATATGAACAGAGATTTTGGAGCCCCAGCTGTACAGTTCAGATGCTTGCTTCGCAAAACCAGAAGACTGAAATTCATAGTCTCTTTATCTTTCTCTCCACAGATTCGCCTTGGCCTTTCGTCACTACTTTTGTAACATTTTATGTTGTCCTCCAAGTCACCAAGGCAGCACATCAGTATTTCGGCAAAACCTATTTGTGCAAAAAACTTTATGCGAACTGAAGAATGACTTAATCCAACTTTAATTGTGCTTAGTATTTTTTCTTGCCTGAAATAGTTTTAAAGGAGATGTGAAGATGTTGAAGTGACTGTATCATTTCATATTAACTATTTTCGTTTCAAATAATGTATACAATTTTAACTTTACATTGTGGAAAGAATGCAGTATTTAGACGCCACTTCTCTGGTTGTGTTTTTCCATGGAGAGTCAAGTGGATTTTCAAAGTGTTGTAACTGACACTTTGTTTAGTTTTTGTTGTTGCTTTTGTTGACTAGCCACCGCCCTCCGGCTGCGTGTTTTGGCGCGTTGGGTCACAGGTGTTCTGACCTATATATCTGGCTAAGTGCACACTCTAGAAATTACTTTCTATAAATAGGTCATTAAAAGGTTTGGCTACTCCAAGTTGTTACAATGTAATACATTTTGTGAAGCTGTGATTGACTGCTTGCCTAGTGCCTATGCTGGGAATCAACAGTTGCAGTTCTGATAGGCAGTGCAGCGAGTGGAACTCACAGTCTGTTTGGCGAAATAAATAAGGGCTTCCTTTTGCATTTTGCTGGACTTGGAGGACAAGAGCCCAAGAGGTTCCCGCTACCGTATTTTCCAACAAAATTGGAAATGTTTCTCGTCTCAGATTCATGCCTTTTCAACATTTTTGCAACGACTGACCTTCATTGAGATAATAGGGCCTATATGATGAAAAAACGTCATCAGAATGCAACATTCTTTCCCACTATATAGCTCATTTTTATTCTGGCATAACTGTACATGCATATACCAAAATATACCAAAATGCCCCAACCAATTAACAGCTTGGTTAAACTACATCAGTTCCAAATAAACTATTTTCAGATTCAAATTTTGTTACATTTTAAATTAGTGATACAATTACCGGTTGGCGATAGTTATCCGTTGGTTAATAAGCCTCTGTACTGATGACGTCACACTTTGTTTACGTGTGTGCTTTCCTATGGTGCTCAGTGGACCGTGGGCCCCCACTGGCTTCATAGGAAAGTGCACATGTAAACAAAGTGTGAGGTCATCAGTACAGAGGTTTACCGGTATTACTACATTATCAGTTGTATCACATCCCCCTTTTTTTAATAAAATGTTAAATATTTCGGGTTCACTATATCGATCTTTTGAATTGAAATCAGGCAATCATTTTATCTTTTTTGTTTCCACAAAATTGTATTTGGTTGAAGACATTTCTGATTTTCAATTGATTCTTTTGACGTGTTGCCATTATAATTTACAACATTGTAACCAATGTAGAGACATTTTGTACTTCAATAAAATATATTATGAAATATAAGTAAGATGCCTTTTCTACTCTTTAATATTCGATTAAAACGGACGAAATTGAAATGAAAGCACACATACATGATGTACAATAAGAGAGAACATAATTGCGCTCCACGTGGATCGTGTGGTCGTAGAGCGCCCTCTATCGGTAGGTCTGGAGTTCTCAAGCAGTTTTCTTTCACGCATCAATAATTATGATCCCAAAGAAGTGAAGCTGAAACCGTTAATGCCGTTGGCGATTGCAAACAACATGAACATCGTGTTATTTAGTCAAGATGGGAGAAAGTAGTTAATGTTCCTTAATTTCTGCAATCGACCCCGCATTTGGAGGGAACAATTGGTAAGTTGGGACACTTGTTTTAAAGTGTAGTCCCAGTATCGGTTCAGGTTGACAAACTTTTGTCACCGACGATAGCGACTCGAACAACTCGCCGTTTGTATGAACTCGATCGACCGCTGTGTGTTCAACTGGAAATTCAAGTCGTCCGTTGTACAACCATGGAGACTGCCTCTGTACTTACTTACTGTCGCTATTATAGTATTAAATACGACTAAAATACGAATCATGCTTTGTACAGTCGCCGGAAAAAATGTTGCAACCTGATTACTTCTGAAATCAGAAGGCTTCTCTCCGTCAGCCGGAGAGAAGCCACCTGATGACGCCACTTTTTTCTTCATCTCAATGAAGGTTATTCATTGCAAAACTGATGATAACAGATAGGAATCTTGGACAATACTTAGCCCCATAAATGTGACCAATTTACTGAACTACCTCCGTAAATAAAGGCAACACTTCCACCATGCACAAAAATGTCGAACTTTGTCAAATTTTGATTTTCACATTTAGGCTTAGTTTGTAAAAATTGTTGTGTATTTTTGCTCTAGAAGCATACTTACCCTGTTTATAGGCTAATAAATCAGAAAGTGCTGCCTTTTTCAGATGTCTAATTTTCGTGACATTTCATGTTGTGGTGGAAGTGTGGCCTTTATTTACGGAGGCAGTCCAGTAAATTGGCCACATTTATGGGGCTATAATTGGCATTAGAAGGGAAAGTGGAATGACTCTGTGACTGATCAAACAAAAGGAGAGTTAATTGTAAATAGGCAGCAGGAGCACTATAAAATAGCGACAGAGGCAGTTTGGCTAATCATAGACATACTCGGAGCATGCCATGGGACGTGGTTTGTCTTGATGATAAAAATTGGGTGCTGACGAATCTGACTAGTCCTAAATAATTGTATTCAGACTGAGAAATAATTGGGAAAAAATGTTGCGACTTGACGCCACTTCTGCGATTGTGTACAAAGTCTAAGGCCAAAAATAAAATTAGTTCGGCTTCCAGTTTCCCTACCTTCCCTATTCTGACAGCCCCTACCCTAATTTGTTTATGGGAAAAATGAGGAAAAAAAACATCTAAAACCATCAATTGCTACCTTTTACCCTTGGCTACACACAGACGCCTCTATATAGCCGTCCACAAAAAAAATGGCCAAAAAAAAAATTCCCAACCTACCGGTACCTACCCTATTTTCAAATGCCATGTTATCGGAAGCAGAACTCTTTTTTTTTTTTGGCCTAAAGAGAGCCAAGACAATTTTCAAAGTATTTCCTAACAAAATTGGAAATGATTTTCAGTCCCAGATTCATGTCTTATCATTTTTGCAATGAATGACCTCTATTGAGATGATATATGAAGAAAAAAGTGGCGTCAGGTTGCAACATTTTTTCCAAAAATTGTTAGTTTAAGCACGGTAGGCTTCCTGCCCAAAAAATTATCCATTAACTTTGTTAGAATGCCAGAAAGAACAATTTCACAGGGACTTTAGTGCCATAATATTACTATCTTTAAACCAAGTACGCTTTTTAAATTCAACTAATAATTTTGTCAGTTACTTTTTGGATACAAATGATGTACTCTATCTTTAATTGTTTACTGGACCACTAAAAACCAACACGAAAAAATATTAATATTACATGTATATATGCGGGGCCTATACTAGGCCTACATCATTTTAAATTGTTTTTGCCAAATGTGGCAATAAAAATTTGAGGTCGGTAATTTGGCCTAAAAAGATCCAGGTAGGATTGTTTTTTTTACGCTTCATATTGCTGTGCAACATCACATCTGGTGTAACTACATGTACATGTACCAATATATACAGAAAAGAAAATGTGTGTTTACAAATATGCCCAGATGTCTATGCCATAACCAAAGAAATTGGATACTCTTGTACTTTCCAAAAGTATGCAATACTGCCGGTACTTGAAGCCTGGTATAAATAATAATGAAGAACATTGTACCGGTACATATACACACAACAAACAGATACTGCATAGGCACAGTTCTTTTGTACATAATGTCATTGCTTCAATTTGGTGACAACTTTGTTTTCAACTTGTAAAGTATTACATAACTGTCACAATTATTTACTTATACCAAAGTGTGTTTCAATTAAGCACCAGTTTCAGGCAATTCTAACAAATGTAAGTTGCACAAATTTTGCTTTATACATGTAAATATCATTAAAACTTTATGTCACCCACATATCTGTAAGAATGTTGGCTGTAATGTAAACAAATTTAGGATTTTTCTCTTTTCCCTATGCACTCCATTTCCAGATAAAATGCACTCTCAATCTGTACTCACGGACAAAAGTGATTTTGTTGTTGTTGTCCCACTTTAGTTTAGTTCACCCGATTGTTCGTTTGCAACAATAACAGACAGTGTAGGGGTTCAGTAACAAAACGTTGTGCAAGCCTCATTTACAGGCCCTGTGGTTGTTATGTTTGGTCAAATAGCCCAAGCCACAAGGATTCCACACAACCAAAGAATCTATCAGCACACCACACACTCTGGTCTCCCGCTGCCCCACACAACAAAAGCGCTGCGTGTACTCGCATGTCATTGCAGCTAATTGGAGTTTTTTAATCCCATCATCCCTTCAAAACAAGACCAGTTGTTGCCCCAGTACTCCTCTACTTCATCCCCCATCAGAATGCAGCGGCACATGGGCAAAGTTTAACAAAAACAAGAAACCTTTCAGTTTAGACAGGCAGTGAAAAGACAGGTGAGATTTTTGCCACCCACTACAAGTGAAACCACCGTCTCAATACCGATTCAGCCGATGGGCAGAACACACAGTGCATACTGCCCAGACTTCTTGCCTAATCTATATTGATCCGCATAGTGGCCAAACTAAATATTATACCGCTGTGCCACATTTGTCGTCGTTGTGAACAGCCGGAACAACACGGACCAACTGGTAAGTGTATTTGCCTAACTCATCTTCAAGGGTGCGACAAGAGGAACGTTACAGGAGTTTGTGTTGTCCGTTTGGGTTAGCTGTTTGCCCTGTTAGACATAAGGAGTTTCGGGATCAATCATCAAATCAAACATGTGAAGACTGCAAGTGTGAAGAGAAACTTGAAGTGCACTTTAGTAGATTCTTTTAAATTGTAGCTGTACAGTTGTGTTAGCAACTGGTCAGATACAGCATTTGTTGTCTGTCTCAGGTGAGTTACATCAACCGATGCGTTGCTGCTAATAATTGATTAGAGGCAAAATTGAGTGTACATTTCTGTACCTTTCCATTTGAATTTTAATTGAATTCAACTTCTACTCGTTTGTTTTTTTTAATTTAAGCCAGTTGAAATAGTGTGTACTATTTATTTGTTTTATTTGCAATGTATTTTGCACCTATATTGTCAAATATTGTCTTTTTATTGCTTCCAACAAAATTGTAGCCATGTAGAAAGGGTTATGACATGCTACAACTGATAATGTAGTAACCAACGGTCGGTGATATGTTATTCGTTGTTTAAGATTATCAGTTCTAACGCGGCACTTTTGGACAAATTTTTGTATCTGCCATCTTTGAAAATCTGCCATCTTGGGAAAAAAAGAGAAAGAAAAAAACGCCCGCCTCCTTCATTTTTTTACAAAGTCCAGACGAGAAACTTTCCTTTCTTTTTCAAAAAGTCTGCACAAGAAACTATTATTTTTGTTACTCGGCCTTACATGTTCTTATTCTTTATATTTTGTTTGGCTTGAACATTGTAGAGCGTACAACAAAGGTAACTTTAGCTTTAAAAAAAATCATTGTCAAAGTTACATATGTACAACATTCCAAGAACACAGGCACATGTAATAAATCCCCTGTGAAGGATACTTGCACGTGTTCATATGTATTGTCAAACTTGGCTACTTCCAGACATGAGGTTAGCCTGATCTCAGAGCTCCTAGTAGTGTGTAATCCACTGTGAAATATTCATTCTGACATGTTTGTGTAACTTGCATGTACCGTACAGCATGTTCTTTCATTCGCTCTGTTACTCTCATTGCAATGTTTTCACAACTGATTCAGCACAGCGGATATTTAGCAAGTTTTAATCATTTCTGGTTCACTGGTAAAGCGTGTTCCTTTATGGAGTAGACAACTTTTGTGAATTTACCATTTTCATTTTGTTTGAAAACCACAGAGAAGTAACCAAAAAAAACTCTGTATTGTGCTTTAAAGTTCAGTACGTGTATACATGGATTTTCCAAACTTTTGTATCATGTACAGTGAGAATGCACACTGTGAACATTTACCTGGTACCACTATTGATTTGAACTTTCTAACCTTTTTTGTTTCGTTTTATTTTAGGAGACTATTCTTGAAATTGATTTTTGCAGTCTGGTGAAAGGCATTGCTGGTAGACCTATGAGGATGGTAATATACTGGATGAATACATTCGTTTGGATGAATACATTCGTTTGGATGAAATGTGACAGAGAGTAAAAACATTGATACAATTTGTTAGTGGCAACTACATGTGTATATGTACATGTATTAAGAAAGGACATACTAAATACGTGTGAACATATAGCATTCCAACAACAATCAAAATGGGATGACGACAACGAGTTCTGGTGATGCAGGACGTTCCACTCCACAAGAAACCTTCACCGCATCAAATTGACAAAAATCCACCATCCGGTCGGGAGCTATGCTGACCCTAAAGAATCATGTGACCAATAACGGGCCAATGGGGAGCCCCAAGCAGCCCCGGCAGCCAATCAAATCCTGGACGTCGAAGACCGTGAAGACCGGGGAGAGGTCGCGACAGAACGGATTGATAAACTCGCCACGGGGATTGTACAACAGAGGCAAGGTGCCCATCACAGGCAAGCAAGGAGTTGGAGGAGAATGGGCATTAAAAGAATGCGAGGTAAGTAAACCAGTATGCTTATTATTGTAAAATGCATGTAATTGTTTACAGTTTAATTCATTTTAATCTCTCCATTGTGAAACCTTACAAATTATTGATGTACCAGCTGCCAAAATTCTCTTGTTGCAAACCACATATTTAACCCTAACCCCTTGGGAATATTTACTAGAAACTATCCTGAATCCGCCAAAATCCATCAATTTTGCCATGCTAAAAAAATTTGGTGGCCAGTGAGTCCATCAGATTCCACAAGTTAGCTGGGAGTAAATCTGTTGAGATCCTGAATCCATCAAAGTCCCCCAACTTCTTAATATGGAGGTATCCTGAATCCATCAAAATCCTGCAGTACCGCTAGGCTTCATGTCCAGAATCCATCAAAATCCCCCAACTGTTTCAATATGGAGTTATCCCGAATCCACCGAACTTCCCCGGAACAGGGGGATGGATTTTGATGGATTCAAGTACGTTAGTGTTAATAAAAAAATAATCTGGATAATGTGTTTTCGGTCTTGGTCAAAATCAACCCTTCAAAATTTGTGGAAAAAAAAAATCTCAACTGCTTGACATCAGTTTTGCAGTTACATGTATATTAGAGGCAGACAGGTGATCTAAAAAGGAGATAGCTGTTGGAAACCTTTAAATAAAATTAATAACAAAAACTATGCATTATTTTATGTGGAATAAAAGGGAAGGCCGAATTAGAATTTAAAAAAAAAAAATTTAACATCTTGTAGAAAAATTATGCATTCATATTATCTTTAAATATACAGTGTCCTTTAGAAATTCAAACTTTCCTTGTAAATCATGGTAAACTGTGTTCACTGTTACCAATCCTATGGTTTGAATCTTTTAAAAAGTCCACAGGAGTGGGACTGTGTTTAATTTGTCAGGCAAACAAATATCCTGCAGCTCAACTTGTTACAGACCCAGCGAGTTCATAAAACCATATTAATCAAAGTTCAAGATGTTAGCAAACATCACAGGTCACAAGGACCTGTGTTTTGTGAATTGCAGAGGTCTGAAACCCCCCCCCCCCCCAAAAAAAAAAATATGTAAAGCAATAAATAAATAACTTTGTTGTTCACCATTGGAATGAAACCAAAATTTCAGGTCATGTGTTAAGACATGACACATTTTAGGGCGCGAATTTCATCAGCCTTGTGCAAGAGGGTGAGATTTAAATGTCATATGAAAAAATTACTAACTTTCAGAATGTCGATACAGCGCTAGAGACGGTGGTGGAAGGCGCGTGCTGCAGCTGAAAGCTTCGTGTTTTGCGCCAATGACATCAGGGGTGATCCTGCATTCCTTCAGAAGCTTCTGGCCGCAGCCACCATCTCCAGCGCTGTATCGACATCGGAGGACGCCAAGTCGAAAGTGGCAGATTCTGAAACTGCTTTTTTTTGTATGGTGTTAAAATCTCACCTTCTTGCACAAAGCTGATGAAACTCGCTCCATAAAATCTGTCATGCCTTGTTTACATGATCTGAAATTTTGGTTTAATATCATTGGTAAACAACAGAGTTATTTAGGAACAAATGTAGGACTCTTATTTTTTTGACTCGTAGTACATACATGTATATAGGTACAATATCTCTATATTATAGGGGATCTTTTGGCTATTCAAATATTGTTGACATCAGTCTTTCTAGGAAACCTTGAATATGTTGTTACAGACAGTGAGTTGTTGCTCACTAGAAGGACTTGTCGGCCACTTTATACACCCTTTTTTCTTCATGCTTGTCTTCTCTGAACCCGCCGGATCGATACCAACAATAGCTGGGCCATTCAAACAGACCACGCGGAGTGATTAAAGACCATTGAAGACTTGGCATCAGGAGGGGGTCCTTACGCGTCGGTCCATCGTCCATCGGTCATGTTATAGATTGATAGCTGTCATTAGTTGTGACGCCGAGAGTTAAGAAGCCTCTTTATTGGAGCATTAGGAGATGTTTAGTCTTTATTGTTCAATTGGTGAGAGATAATCCACCTTTTAGAAAAGTGGGATTAGGGTCAGTGGGGATTATTTATCACATGTATTTGTACTGACGGATTTGTGTGCAGTAAATACGGTTTGAATAATTGAGACGTTATCTGCAACACTATTTGTTTTAATTCATGTTGCATACATGTCTGTGACGGTATAAAAGGGACATGTTTGCATGCAAATGGCTCAACTTTTGCATTTTTATTCCCAAAAGAGATCATGAGAAAAAAAGCTACATTACACGTAAGATTTAAGGTCACAGCTGACTTTATTACATTTGCAATGTATTCATATTCATATTTATTAAAACAAATAGTATTTTTTTCCACTTAATCAAGGTGAACAGAAAAGGTTATTAGACAATGATTTAAATGAACAGATGAGATTAAGCGGTGGGCTTCTCCAAAATGCAAGCTGGTCAAGTGGAGACGCCCGTGATGTGCAGGAAAAAAATATCATCGTAAATATATTACACTAGTTCCTTTAAGCTACTCATTTAAGAAAGAAAGTCAAAATGTTCAGAAATTAATGTAAACCGCACATTGAGTTAATCCATTACACAAACCAAGCTTAAACCATTGCTATGACGTCACACTATTGTTAAAAGTGTGGATTCGGAACTACGAATCTGTTACGCTGGTCACAAAGTGTGGATTCGGAACGAAGAATCTTTAGTAAAGTGTGGACTCGGAATCACACTTTGAACACGTCAGACAATTGTTCTCTATAATGAGCATTAATAGGACCGTATGCGTGAAAATTTCCTTCCGAAATTACCAATGCATCTTCCCTGTCAGATTCTCCGCCATCACAACAAAACCTACTTCGAGTCAGAAAGAAATCATCGTCTGAACTATCAATTTGTCGACGGAAGGAGCCGGGACAAATGTTGCAACCTGACGCCACTTTTTTTCTCCATATATCATCTCAATGACGGGCATTCATTGCAAAAATGATGATAGACATGAATCTGGGACTGAGAAATATTTCCAATTTTGTTAAGAAATACTTTAAAAACATTCTTGACTCTCCATAGACTTTGTACACAATTGCGGAAGTGGCGTCAGGTTGCAACATTTATCCCAAGTCTTTTCATCTCCACTCACTGTTACTGCCAATACTTCTTTTGACGCAATGGTTTAAGTCGAAGAATACACTCGCAAGTGTGGATTCTTAATTTACGAATTCACTCGGCGCTTCGCGCCTCGGGAATTCTTAAATTATGAATCCACACTTTCTCGTGTATTCTCCTTAACGTAATCCATCCCCTTTCAAAGTAAGAATAATTGTTTATACGCGTACGCAATTTGCAACATTTACAGAAAAAAAATGATATCTTTATCAGTTACTGATCAGTCAATACGTACATAAAATTTCCTGCTAAACATTTGTGAAGTAAAAATGTTGAGGGAAATTTTATTTTGGGGGCAGTAAACTCTAAAATGCATCTTTTACAAGAAAGACTTGAATAGGCCTGCCGTGAGTCAGCAAGACATTATTACCGCTGGGCCAGTAGCTCGATTACTTGAGTACTCGCGAGTAGTATGCTACTCGTTGTTCTACTCGTGGGTTTTCATCTATTTGAGTACTCGTCCTGGCGCAACAGAAGCAGGTACTCGTGAGTAGCAATTTAGGTTTTAGGATTCTCGGCTAAATACGTCCCCTACAAACGGGGAGTCACTCCCTGCACGTCTCTCTCCCTAGGATTTCATTCGTTAAAAAAAATTCAAGCAAATGATCCATAACGTCGCACAGTAAGGATATATCAGTGCTGGAGAATGTGGTGTGACTTGCACGCAATTTGTTTGTGAGTTTCTTCGATTCACACTATTAAACGCATGTCATTGTTCTGCTTTGATGGGAATTTGGTTAACTTCTCGCGACTTGTCGACTACTCACAAGTAATTTCTTTGTGAGTACTCATTGTAGAAAAATCCACTACTCGCCCTGGCCTAGGTATTATGCACTTTTGCCTACTGTCAGGAAATCTAAGCAGCCCTCAAGGGACTGTTGGGTTTCATTGTCGTTCCCTGTCTGACCAACCAAACTGAAATGAAGTGAACACATTTTCATTTGCTCATTGGTTTTCCAAATTTCACCCGGGTGATGCATTCCTCTGCTGTGTGGATAAACCAATTGACAAACTCCAATTTCCAATTTCCAATGAGTGTACACAACTTATTTCAACAGCAGACGTGATAAGGACTCGGTGATAAAAAAAACCCACTTCAATTAAGCAAACAAATCTCGAATCCGTTGGCTTTTGAACCCCTGCACTGCCAGTGTACAAGATAACCCAAATTATTTTGTGGACGACATTGCCCTCATGAACTGTATAATTGGGTCCAGGTAGGGGTGCGCTACATGTATGTGAAAGACTTGCTTTTTTAGTTTTAGCGAGTGAGGTCATTGTTGTTTTTTTGGTGACAAACATGAGTCCTGCGATAGCACGACGTTCTTCTCTAACGGATGTTCAGGGGTTTAATCAAGTGACGTACAGACAGAGTAGCCAGAAAAAGCTGAAAGAGGTAGGATTAGAAATTTGATAGCAGTAAGCGAGTTTGGCATACCTTCTATTGTTCAGGAAATAGTTTTTGTACAGCAACGTCCCAGATGTTAGTAGTAGGGCCTAAATCTGTACAGAATTATTGGGCTTGCCTTGTGGTTTGAAAATCTTTTAAAGCGTTTTTAGTGGTTGCTTGTTTCCAATAAGCATTTGCGAGTAACCTACATGTATACCCTTTGGGATTTACATTTGAAAACATCTGGTACACTGACTTGCTCAGAATGCTTGGCACATATTAACTTTGAATTCTCCAGACCAAAGACACTGTTGCTACACATGATTTGGGGCAATTGCATAGTTACATGTACGTACGCTCAGCACCAATACGTTGTTCACAATGGGTGAAAATGGCACGAAGACACCAGACCATGCCGGAGCTGGGGGTTGCTAGCATAAGGCTTGCCCCGAATCACGTGATATACCCAGTAGTAACAGTCTCTTTGGTCGGGAGAATGCAAAATTAAAATGTGCAAAGCATTGGATTAAGTCAGCGTTCCAGATCTTATTCAAATTTAACTCGCAAATGGCTTATTGCACTGTATATTTGTAGTCTGCTGTTTAAGTCTTACATACATGTACATGTAAAATGAGTACAAAGTTCTGAAATACAAGCCCATAGCAGTTAGCACACATTTATTAATTGACATTACACATGTTACATGTACCGGTACCCCGGATGGAATAAAACAATGTGTGCATGTGATTAAAATTTCAAGCCAGTTTATTATTGACTCATACTCATAGTGCATCAAGAGTTCAGTTGCAAAATTTCCCCATGGGGGGTTACCATAATATTTTTATAAATGTTAGTCAGCCACAGCGAGCGGGCCAATTGTTACCGGTACGTGTCTGTGACAATTTTCAACAGGACTTCGGATTAAGTTTGAATTGAATTTTACACATGGTTGGTTGAGTGAACAATAGCAGACTAAATGCTTGCACATTCACAGAAAGGGTACACACAGCATACACTACATGTACATAAATACATATATTCATGTACAAATGTATGTGTGTACCGGTATACTGTACCAGTATGTGTCCAATTTTTTTTTCTTTTTTGCACTGTATTTTAGACAATACAGAAACTCATGTTTAGATACTAAACACGGGTGTTGAAGAAATATTTACAATACAGTGCATACCTATATGTACCGGTACCTATCTGTAGAGATGCATTGTCAAAAACACAATCCCTTTGATTGAAGTTTGTATTCTTTGTTACCATGGTGACAGGTTCGAGTTTATATTCAGTGATCACTCCTCAAAAACTAAAATTTTCATTGTGTGTGAGGATCCTCAGGTTGAAAAACCAGATTTGCATCATGAATGTTCATAATGTAATACAATGTATTTCAAAAGTTCATTTGACAATGTACGTGTACATAATACGTACATGTCCCCGGTATACGTGTACATTTTCAAGTCTTTGAGCCAAACATTTTACATATAAATCTGAGAAAGGTTTCAAGATTTAAAAATTTACAATTCATCATGATTAGTAACCTTTTCACAAAACACTGGCTGATTGTCACCCCCCCCCCCAAAAAAAAAATGGGTATGGTACATGTGTACATGAAGTTTCTTTAAAATTGCATTTTCCAATGTGTCCCAAACAGTGTCCTTGGCATGCATACTTTCGGCAGACATTCTTCATTTCAACAGGTATTAGAGACATCAAGTGATGAGATTTCTCTCCTTGTGGGTAATTGCCTCATGCTGTGTGCAATGAATAAATCCATGGCTCTAGCCCTGTAGATGAGGAATGGGCAGGATGCCAAGATTCCCCCCAACCCCAACCATCCCTAACCCTGCAGACCCCCTATTGTTTGTTCTTGAATAACAATAATGCCGTTTTTGTCAACAGGCAGTCTGTAATCTGTAGGCAGGAGGGTTTAATCCTTTCAAATTACCACTCTTTAACATCAACACAACGCCTAACCATGGGTGTGTGCTGCTGCCTTTATGTACCAGTCATACCCGTGTATATTTACTATCCTAATCCATGCAATTCGTGCCTGTTTATTAGAAACTCTTGGGATGTTGGCCTGAAGTTTGGTATGAAATTTCGGCAGACTTCTCGCTTCAACGTTAGAATGGAAACATTCAAAGTCTACTTGAAAACATTTGACACAAACTGAGAATATGCCTCACGCATTGCACTTAAGGCCGTGTTGGGAACCCACGATCAAAACCTGCGATGATTTCTTTGGCTAAACGGTTGGGTTTCACGGCACCGTCGACGTCCACGGAATGCACTCACAATCACAACGTCTCTTTTCTGGTCTGGCAGGAGCACACGACGTGGTTGAATGGCATCCTCAAGAAGCACAGGTCTAGGCCAATCAGCGATCTGCGGAAGAGCATCTCGGATGGCCTGACGCTGGTCAACATCTTGGAGATTTTATGTGAGTCCATTTCTTTTTTTTCCTAATCTTGTGATAATCTTGCGTGGGCTGTTGGTTTGTTTAAGAAATTTTTCCAGATTTCAAGAATGTTGACTTTTTGCACTCGCTGTACAATCATTAGAGTGTATGATTTTCCATAATGTCAACTTATCTGTTGACATGTTTGTATCAGCGCTTTTGAATATCCACTTAAGGCTTTCTGCAGATGCATCCTATATTAAAAGTTCCTATGGTGTCTGTCTGTCTGTTGTCTGTGTGTCACTGAAGTGGCGGTCACACAGCAAGAAGTGTGAGGTCACACATGATGTCTGATGTAAAAAAAAAAATTATCTTCCACACTTTCAATATATTACAACATTATCTCTATGAAAACACTCCAAAACGTATCGCTATTATGCAAAACATGACGTTGAGGATAAAACAAGGTTGCAAAACTGTACGTCGATCGAATCTTTACCACGCCCACTTAGGGTCAACATGCAAATTTAGGTCACAGTAATACGAACAAACGTCAACTGAGGGCGCACTGCAACATTATGGTTAATAAGGAATTGCGATGAATATTCCTTCATAAATCTGTCAAGTTTTCACTCCAAATTGTGGAATTTCCCACTTCCAGTTTTTTGAATAGCAGGGGCTAATTGCAAAGGTAGGCTCTCTGCAGCTGATGTGCTTGAGGGGACAATGAATAATTTGGATATTTTGGGGGGTTTATCGGACAAAGACAATGACGAAAATGTCTGTCTCAGTGGTCAGCTGATTGTGTCAAGTCCCCCCTCGCTGATTTGCCTTAGCAGAATGTTGTTATTTATTTGCCTGTTTATTTGTTTTTTTTCCACTGATATTTTTTTTCCAACCAGCAATCAATGCTAACTTTACAACTCCACCCTACTAGTTAGCAGGTGGAGTAGTATCAAAATATGCCTGTTGATTCTGTTGGCAAGAAAAGAGGTCAGTTTTGTTCATGCTGTAACAACTAAATGGGATAGAATTCAACCATTGTACAGGTGTGTCCAAAAGCTTTTTACAGGAGTGTTATGCGAGGTCAACTTCAAAGGAAACTGTATTCAACTTTGTGTAAACTGACACGTTCAGCAGTGGCCATATCGTGATTCTCATTGTATTGCAAATATTAATAGTAGGGCCTATATTCACTGTCATAATATTGTGGAGTTCATTGTGGTGGTATTTCTTTAATGACCTGATTGGATTGGGGCATGCCAGGTCAAATGGTCAGTAACCTCATTCTGGGGTCATGCCTGATACACACTGATTTATTTCCAGATCCAGGGTCCATGTCATGAATTGTAACCAGCTTGTACCTATCAATTACAGCCCTAGCGTTTCCAATCTCTGCTTTTTGCCTCTTTGGGTTTCAGCTTAACATTTTAAGCCAAGTAGATAAAAAAGAGTTCCTTAGGCCCAAAAAAAAAAGTCTCCGGTTTCTGGTATGGAGCTTGCCCCAAAAGTGGTGCGGCGACGCGGCTTTTTTTTTTTTTTTAGCTGTTTTTTTTTTTTTTTTTTTTGGCTTCAAATGTCGGCTGATGACTGCAAATGGTGCCCGACTAAACTTAGTGCAAATATATGGGAGTCCAGAGAGGCCACATAAAGCTTATTCTCGATCATAACCCCATCTAAAAACACGTTAAAATTGTGCAGCAGCAGGATTCCAGTCAACCCAGTGAGTTTGGCAGTTTTGAGACATCATCTTGTATTGAAAAAAAAAATTTTCATTTTGCCGACGCGCATGGCTACGGCGACGCGCGCGCATACCAGAAACTGGAGACTTTTTTTTTTTTGGCCTTATCCGGGTTATTTGAGCAATGGGAGGAGGCCCGTTTGTTTTTGTTTTTGTTTTTCAAGAGGGCTGATTTTCCAAGATTAATTCTTCCATTTTCTTGTCTCTTTTGCTCGAAGGCCCCCCCCCCCCCCCCCCCCCCAGCTGGCGAGGCAAAGCCTCGTTCTATATAATATACCGGTATGTACAATTTGTACCATGTATACTTGTATGTCAAGTCTGTGTTCATTTTAAAACTCATCAAAAAATGTTTTGGTGAAAGTACCACATGTATTTAATGTTGGGTGTCAATAAGTTCTTTCAGGAGGTGTGCACTTTTGAGTACGTACCTTAGGAATTATTGTTGCATTCAAGCTGCTTGATCATCATCACGTAATTCAGTATTTTTTCATTTGACCCACAAGAGTAAAGCTGTTAAGGAATTGAGGTAAAGATGTGCATTATGCATACTACATGTACTCTTCAAAATGTTGTGAATACATAGCAAATTTCGACAAGTTTTGCAACAACCCATGCATATGTACATGTACGTGTATTTTATACGTGTATGCACACGTACATGTCTACGTGCATTATTGCTTACACGCATTAAAGTTACTAGTGAGAATTCTCGGAAAACCATAACTTTTAAATGCTGCTGTAAATTCCCTTGATACTTCCAAAGTTAATTACACTGTACGCATTTTTCCAGTGACTTTGAAAAGCAAAACAGGAATTCCTTTAGATAGAATATAAACACTCCCAAACCAAGAGTCAAAGGTTTAATTGCCGCTTGATAAATCAAAGTGAATAATCACTGGTCTGACACGACCTGCATTGAAATTCCTGGACCTACCGGTACAACAGCTAGTGAGAATTGGCTTGATAAATCACCATAGCAACCACTGTGCTTTGATGACCTTATGACCCCTAGAGCTATAGTATAGGTCTTGTTTGATCGTGCCAAAACTAATCCAACACAAAAACATTTTGCTGGCACTGGCAGCTCTTGTTGCAGCAGGTACACTCTTTATTCACACTTGAACTATTAGAAACCTGTGTTTTGTATACATGTACCAGTACATTGTACACGTACATAATTGATATTCATGGTCAGGATGTCTTAGTCCTCAAATTCCTGGTTTAATTACACCAAAATGCAACATCCAAGAGTTAATATCCAAACCTTACACACAAAAACCAAACCTTTTTGTAATTTACGTGTGAAAAATTGGTCTGTCATATGTAAACATTGATCAGTGTTAAATCTTTCTCAGTTTGAACATGTACATGTATACATTCAACATCCATGTATGTACCGGTATTTACATTAATTGAAAGACAGTAAAAAATGTAAAAAAAAAAACAATTTTGATTTTTGTTAGAAAAATCCAACTCTTTTGGTATCAAACTCTTGAAAGGCCCATGCAGTGTAATTTTTACATGTGTAATGCAATCCTAGAAAATGCACCTTTGTGTTCCTGGATTTTACCTCATGTTCAAATTTTGTTTTTTTATTTTGCCACTTTTTATGTTTTTGCTCTAATGCCAAGTTCCATATTCGTGAGCAAAAGTGTGATGTTATTTCAGGCAGAAACCTAGCTGTTACCGCTATTTCGGCACCAAAGGTTGCCAGAATTTTGAATATTCTGCTGAACATTGTGAAGTTTTTTTTCTTTCGTAATTCGTTGTAGTGTCAGTACTGCCACTACAGGTACATGGCAGTAAGCCAAAGAGCAAATTTTTCTCACAAATACTGTATTTTCAGTGAGCAAATTCTGGGGTTCACATCTTGAACAGAAAACCCCTAAACTAAACAGTGTCTTCCTGAAATGACATTACAGCAACAGTGCCCTCAGTTGTCCGGAAAAGCATTTTTTTTCAAAAAATGTTTAAAGAAGTGCACTTTTTAAGAAAATTAACCAAAAAGGGATACCAGATAGTTTTCATAGACGAAATACAAAATGTGTTCCTCAGAAATCTTTTTTTTTTCCCATTAATTGCCATGTACCGGTATGGACGGAATCGTAAACGGTGTGCTGTGGCATTTGAGCTCTCACTGTCCGCTGATTGTGATTGTGAGCCAATTATGTATCAAATCTCTCAGTATGCGGAATTACGGTAAATTCTGCCTGCAAGCTGTGATTGTGTTTCTGGAGTAGGCCTACACATACATATATGTGTCTTAAAATAAGCATACATGTATGTTTATAAACATTTGTAGGCTGGATACTGTTGACATATCTTCCTGTAGCACTAGCACTCTTCCATTGTTTGTTTTTGTATACCCAACTTGACCTTTGACCTTGACCTCTGATCCCTGCTGGGTTCCAATAAGGGTTAGTGTTTCCAGGGCAAGTGGGGTAGTTGGAACCACATACCATCGCCACCTCAGGGATGCCATGGCACAATGCAAACATTGAGGTGTGTGCTGTCATAAATTATGGCAATGTGGAAATACAAGCCAGGAACTTTAGCTCCATGGTTTAACAAGTTTTCTGCACCTTTCTTGTGCACAGGTGCATTTTTATTAAAGCGATATAAATTTAATACGACTGCACTTGCTCATAAAGTTATGTGGGATAAACAGAATAATCAAGGGTTCTTATTGAACTAAAACAATTATTGTTACGAAGAAATTCAATTTTTGGGAATTTTTAGACTGCTTTCCTTTTTTTGTTGTCTGATGTAGTACCCATGATACATGTAACTTAAACAATGTAAGCTTTGTTCTGCTCTTCCTTTGTGATAATGTAATATTTAAAAAAAAATTAAGGAAGATTCCACATTTGATTTGCTGTGCAAAATAGACTTGTTTGTTAATTAATTGTGTTTACCGTTAAAAGTGCCCCCTGGAAGAATATATCTTCTTGCCTAGATGTAGGTTCTAGAACTGCATTCACTGCATCACCAAGAAGAAAACTGAACAAACTAACAGACGGAGTTTTACCTCTTTTTTTTACATACAGTTCATGGCAAGATTCAGGGTGTACAGACGAGGCCCATTATCCGTGCACAGCGGCTTGAGAACATCAATCTGTGCCTGAGGTTCCTGGAGAACAGAGGTGTGGAGATCCAACACATCAGCGCAGATGGTAATAAATTGTTTCCTCCTTATTAAATCCTTCACTCTGTTTGGTTCTTGGCTCTTGGTTGGTTCTTCTCCTAAATACTCAGCGTGGGAGTTTATACAGGAGGCCAGAAACACCGGGGCAAACCCCTTCTCTTAGCGATAAGTGTTACTGGTTTCTTTTATGTGCATTGCATTACACAACACACGGGACCTATGGCTTTACGTCCCATCCGAAGGACGAAGCAATAATGGTTAAGTACCTTGCTTAAGGGCACAAGTGTCCACCCAGCGGGCTCGAACCCACGCCACTGTTGCCTCTGAAACACCAGAGCATGAGTCCGGTGCTCTTAACCGCTAGGCCGGCCATGACACTCCATAACTGTTTAATCAGGCTTTTTTTCTTTAGGAGTGATTCACAAATATTGAGTCACCATGCATATGTGTTGCAAAGGCCAGTTTTTGTATTCACTGTTAACATCTTACCTTTCTTAGTTCATTAGGCGTCCTTAATAATTCAACATACGTGTTTAATACCAGCCAAGCACATTTTTATTCCCATAACATGCAGTCAGAAATACCTGTAGGTCAAAAAGGTCGAAAATTCACAATTTTCCAACGATTTTGTTACAACAATTTTACCTAATGTTTCGTGAAACAACCCTCTTGCCATGTCTATGGTACGTGCCTTGCACGAATAGTGCTAAAAATTGCGCAGTACGCGTGACGGGTACTGCGCGATGTGGTGCAGAACGCAGTGGTGTTTAAAACCAGTTTGCGTTTTAGTAACCGTTTAAAACCCACCCACAATGTCTTTGATTTTATTTAATTTCCCATTTTTTGTTTTTAGAACTGACTGACAGCAATCTGAGAGCAACTCTATCCCTTGTCACCTGCTTAAGGAAACGATTTGAGGTAAATATACCACGACAAAAACCCTTGGACTCTAAGCCTTGCCCAAACAACACGATCTATCAGAGAAAAAATATCTGATTTTGTTATTCTGAGCAGAAGACTTCAAGATCTTCCATTGTAGGAATTGATCCTGTTGAGCATGTTTCACACTTCAGTAGCCGTGGGTAGTTTTGAGTTAACCCTAACTGCCCTGAATCCTTCAAAATCCTCTTTGCCAAAGTGGAGGAATTTGGAGGATTGAGATTACATGGCAAAAAGTGCGTTACTGATTTCGTAGGATGCACTTTGTCAAGGTCTTGGGCCGGACCTTGTGTTGTTTTTGCTCAGCCATGCATCAATATAGACCTGTATTATGCTTGAAATCCTCCGTACTGCCCCAGGATGTCACTGGCCAAGCCTCAACATATTGACAGTCACTGCCGCAGGATTTTGCAGGATTCAGGCAGTGGTCACGCCTCCATATTCAAGAAATAAAAGAGGAATTTGCAGGATTGAGGCTACATCCTAGCAAAAAGGCCTAGGGAGGTAGGGTTAACAAAGTCCTTGTGAAATATTTTAAGCAAGGTATTTACAAGAAATCAAACTTGGGGATGCAAGTCTCCTGCAATTATCAGATTTCCTTCTTTTTTGGAAAATAATGTTAACAGCATAAACTGTTCTTGTATGCCTCAAATTTCAAATGTCAGAGCCCACTCAAACATTCCTGTCATGATCTTGAACTTGTTGAATTCTACAGGCATTCCACACCAGTAACAGCGCCCACGGTGATGGGTCCAGTCTCTCCATAGACAAGTCCGTCCGACCGCCGACAGAAGACAGTATTCAGCCTCCGTTGGGCCGAGAGGCGAGCATACATAGCTTCCATAGCCTACACAGCATTCACAGTCAGGTATGATGAACATGTTTGGCTGTCTTCTTCTTCCTAACCACATATACCGGTACCTGTGTAGTTAACCTGGATCCTTCCTCCGTCCTCCAAAACCCTCCTCTGTGCAGTACGTAAGGCAGTGGCACATTCTTTGTACTGTCATTTTTATGAGGCATGGAGCTCCATGTATGTTCAGTAAGGCCAAAAAAAATAATAAGTCGGTCTCTGGTCAGTGCGCGCGTCAATTTTAATCATGCGCGTCAATCTTCTTTTTTTTTCCAAAATGTTCCGCTGTAGCTCCAACAGCGCCCTTTATTGCCGCACCTCCTCAATTTTTTGTACCAAAGAGCACCAAGGAATGGGAAATTGCACCAAGGCAAATGATCGAAAGCACCAAGGCAAATTATGCAGGACACCAATGTACATGAGGACACCAAAAAAGCAAAATAGTACCCCACCTTGTCTGTACAATCCAAGCTTGAAGAAAAAAAAAAGCTGCGTCACCGCGTCAATTCCGGAACTTTGGTCTGACCAGAGACTGAATATTTATTTTTTTTTGGCCTAAAAGTGGTGTTGCAGTACTCGGTACTCGTACTCGAGTACAACTCGAGTAGGTCTCCATAAAGAACTCGTCATTGTACTCGGAGGTCCAAGTACACGGATCCGTTTTCACAAATTTTGTACTTGAAGGTCCAAGTACTAATAGACTAGGGTACCTGTACTTGTTCTCAAGGGTGAAGCTGGTCAGATGTGACAGGTACTCGACAGCTTGGTACTCAGCAGTACTCTGTACTCAGATAAAAGTAAAACAAGGGTTGTGAAGTGAAGAGGACTAGGAGGATTAGTCCTACAAAATTCTGGGATTAGAGATAAACAGCTAAGAATATTCCGGTTTTGTTGATCAGGCCATTGCAGGTTTTTTCTTGTACAAGCTCAGTCCCATAGGCTGCCCTCAGGTCAATCTTGTGACAGCACAGAACAGTCGGTGACTGACTTTTCAGGATCAAGCTGCCCCTGAGATACAACTGTCGGGAACATATCAGTCACCAATTTTTTGCGACCTAAGTGTAACTTTAATGATATTAAGACGATCGGCATCAGTCGGTGCTCAAAAAAATTCAACAGTCGCAAGACTAGTGGAAAAAAAAAATCAAAATTCTGTGCCGCGACGGAACGTGTTCTCGACAGGCGGGAATCAATCACAATCGACCTGTGTGAAGTTACATTCAGATCTCATTTCATTGTGTAGCTAATCAGCATGCGGCAGAAATGGTCGAATTAATATTTTTGGAACATTGTTGCATTGTTCTTTATTGTTCTGTGTGTTTTGCAGCATTCAGATGGCATTCCTTCGAGACCAAAGAGTTCTGACATTCCAGGTAATATCTCAATCTCAAGAGTCACAATTTTCTGCCCTCTTTAATATCATGTTTTGCCTAGGGACTGCAAGTACCCGTAGCCGCCTGATTTGCATGAGCAACTGGTTGTGGTTTTATTTAATATTCATTTTCATATTCATATTGATAGTTATTAGACCAATTCGCAGCTGAAAGCTGAACTGCATGGTTATTTCATGAACTTCAATAGAAAACTAAACACAAGTTTGTAGTATAGCGGTGATGATTTATAATGGATAAAGCATGTATCAGGGGTGGTTATTCCTATATACCATTGATCTGAAGTAAAACATTGCTGAGTTGTGTCTCAGAGTTTTCTGCCATGTTGTGAATCCTCCTTCATCGAATGTTTACAACTGACGCACTTGACGATTGTAGAATGTGCGTTAGCTGCATACAAGCCTGACGACACCTCAGTGTGTAGGATCGATAAAATACACCCCCTTGTAGGATAAAAAAAAGTTGTAGAATCGGGAATGTGGGGGCTGGCAACCAGAAATAAAAGCCTTCTTTTACAGAGCATAGAGACACCAAAAGTCAGAATTGGTTGCAAGAAAAACTAGAGCATGAACGGTACATTTTTAATTTTTGGAGGTAGAAGCCCTGTAGATTTTTTTTTTCATGGACTTTGTGCCCCGCTGTTACATTATCCTTTGATTTTTGCTTCTAGCCACCATTCCATCAGATGATGAGGGGCCTGGTTTACCCATCAGTCCCACGGCCCCAGTCAATGGGGATGCAGAGCTGGTCCTACCAGGGACCATGGCAGATGCCGACCCCGATGAACCCAGGCCTGAATCAGCAGACAAGACCGAGAACATTGTCATCCCGGTAAGTTTTCTTTTTGTTGGTTATGGGTCATTCCGTGTCAACCACCCAATGGGTTAAACTTTGCCTCCTTTCAAATTGGTTTATATTTAGTGTATGGGGTAATTTAGGCTGAAACAGCTGAAATCTTAAGTTTTATCTGTTACGCGAGTTACCGATAAACATCTGATTGCCAAACCAACCAAATTCTATTTTGTTGGCCACTTTTTAGTAGTTTAGACATTTAAAGGTAGCGTCCATCACTTGTAATTTGTGCATTATGATCGTTGGAAGCAACAAAAGTGCTCAAAATCTAAAGAAAGGTGCTTAACAACTAACCTGATGAAGTTTCAGCTCAGTGAATGCTGCATATTCCAAGAAAACAATATGCTAGGATCTTGATTTCAAATCAGAAATTACGTCAGTGAGTTATTGGATAGCTGCAAATGATGGACTCTACCTTGAACTTTTAGGGATCTTCGGTGAGAAAAATCTACCTGAAATTCTTTGACTTTATAGAACAACATCACATAATTAGACACCCCTTTAAAGCTACAGTCCATCATTTGTAATTTGTGCATTTTGTTCGTTTGAAGCAACAAAAGAGTTCAAAATCTAATGAAGGGTACTGAACAACTAACCTGATGAAGTTTCAGCTCAGCTTCAGCTGTACATTCCGAGAAAAACAGCATACTAAGATCTAAATTTCAAATCAAAAGTTACTGAATCATGTTTTGAATTGTTTTGAATTGCAGCTATACGCGACGTCGCGCACTGATCCGACGAATTACAACAACCGCGCGCGTGTGCGTCGTTCCAATACTTGTGCGCGCTGCGCTGAAAAACAAAACGAACTACTAATTTAAATTTTCCTACTGTGCTTCTTAAGAATCACCGTTGGAAATGCCTTCTTTCGTGGATTACTTCAAAATGACAGCTTCCCAGAAAGAATAATTTCACAGGGAGTTTAGTTCCCTTACTATCTTTCAACTAAGTTTGTTTTTCAACAATAATTACGCCAGTTACTTTTCGGATGGCTGCAAATGATTGACTCTAGCTTTAAACATAATGAGAGTTACCGTGGAATTGCCCTTATGCGATTGTCTTGAGAAATGTGGGATCAATTCCAATGCTCAAAGTCCCGTGTACAGTACATGAGTTTCTTCCCCTGGTTGTTTTCACAGTCAGTCACCCAGCTGGACTCCCAGGGCGTGTCCCAGCACGGCGCCAGCTCAAGGAAGCATCAGTTTGCCAGCAGCCATAAGAGAGCCTTCCGTCCACCGCTGACGAAACGCAACTCATCAGGGACTGGCAGTGTAAGTCCATGCTCATTGTATGGTTATCTGCTGTCAGGTGGTCCCACTGATCTTCATGTCAAGAAATCTGCATCTGCTCTCTGACAGGCTTCCAAATATTCCTACTTCTCCTATTTTTTCCTTGTTCTTTAATCTTGCTCCTGTTTTTGCTATTTTTCTCCTGAAATTCCTACTTTCTCCTACTTTTTTTCCTACTTTTTTGTCCCACAACACCAAAAAATGAAATCTCCTTGATTATTATTCATAACAGTATTACACACTGTCATATGTAAATCACACAATGAAGGGCTTGGGTGCAGGAGTACTGCAACTGTACTTCCAAGAGCTTAGTTGAGGATGGAGCACAAGTGTTGTGAGTACAGAACATGCCAAATGAGGCTTATGATGCAGTGGACATGGGTGAGTAGCAACGAAAAGTACTCCTGAAAGCCAGCAATAGTCCTCCAAAGTCCTACTTAGTCCTTTTTTTTAAAATTTGATCCTACTTCTGTTCTACTTTTTCACCTGGGTCTGCCTGAAATAATTACGTACATGTCAGGCATGCAACTTTTCCTCGGATCTGCTGATTTCCTCGTTTTTTACTTCTCATGAATGCCATTACAAATTGAAAAACACTGTACAAAGTCTTGTGTGGTTTGGAATTTCCTCGTTTTTTCTAAATTCCCAGTTGCATGCCTGACACATATTTAACTATGAATTCAAATAGAATGAAATTGGAATGTCAACTTCTGCTTCAGACTTGTGTCTTTAGCTGGCCGTCCTGTTAGACGACATACTACAACTTCATATGAAGCAGTTCAGGTTTGTTTGTTCTCTCTTGCAGCCTGTGATGTCTCGCTCTCCCATCCGGGACGCCCTGACACAGTCAGTAGAGGAGAAGCTCAAGAGTCTGCTAGACAGCCCAAACCCAGGCGGAGGGGCCCGCAGGAATATGGTATGTGTGCATGCTAGCAGTGACAATACAATGGAATAAGAGATAACCAAAGTCACAAAGTATAAAAGATCAATCCAGCACTATTCATAGTTTTGGGTGGCATGGGTGGCTTGTGCGTAAAGCGCTTGCCTCTCACCAAGGTGACCATGGTTCGAATCCTGGCCGCGGATCACATGTGAGTAGAGTTGTGTGTTGGTTCTCTCCTCTGCCACAAGGGTTTTTCTCCGGGCCCTCTGGTTTTCCTCCCTCCGGAAAAATCAAACACTTTCGATCTCAGGCTGTGCTCCGTGGTCATATATGGGTCGATGTGGTCGGCAGCCATAGGCGCCTTTACGTGCCAGTGGCCCGACCACGTTGTAGCCGCGTCCTTCGCAATTTAGCATCCCAGCTGCGAGTAAGGAGGATTAGCCTCCCAAATTATTATTATTATTATTATTATTATTTCCTTAACTTCCTTTGTGAAAATCCCTCACATTTCCTCCTCTTATAACTGTACTAAGAACACTCTTGCCTTTCAATACCCATCAGATTGAGAGTGTAGCTACCTCAGTTACGTATAAAATCCTCAATTTTTAAGAAGAACCCTCAAAATACTTGAAAGCCAGAAACGGCCCCCAACCCCAACCCCATCCCCACCCCCAAAAAGGTTTGCAGAGAGGAAAATAGTGAACTATTAGTAAAACATTGGGGAAGAACTGAGATAAAAGTCTTGGGGATACTGCAACATCTCACCACATTAATTCCAATGTCCAACTTTGGTGTTGATCTTGCCTTGAAGCCTATTGATGATGGTGAACTGCTGGAGCCCCCGCCTCCAAGACGCCGCAGTTACCGTGGTGACGACGACGACGATGAAGGAAACGAGGGGAGTGTGACAATCGAAGAGAACAAGCTTCAAGCCATGCTAGAAGACCCTGACAACTTTGAGGATTACCACAAGGACTGGGACAGATATGTCTCAGATTATATTGTGAGTTTCTTAAGTCATTGTAATCACTCTTTCTACTGTCATTGTCAAGTCCATCACAAGTCTTTTAGTCCCAAGTCAAGTCACAAGCTATTCAAATGAATTTTGACAAAGGCATTGATTCCACTTTTACTTGTTCATTCATCTTTTACTTGTGACTCAACTTGTGAGTTGGCTTACGATTTTTTGCGACCGGCTTTTGTGATGAACATTTGATGTATTCAACTACAACACTGACCGTCACTGGAAATGCCAGCATCTTTAAAGGGAATGTACATCATTGGCTTTTGCTGTAATTTTCACAAATGAAGTATTTGAGGGGTTAGTATAATAGATCAAATATTGTTACACTGACATGTTTGAAGTTTTGTGTCCGAAAATGCTGGAAAAACCAAGAAAAACAAAAATGTTCAAGTGGTCTAGTTCCCTGACTCCACTAAAGATGAAATGGATCAGTTTATAGATGCCGGAAAATTGTAAGGTAAGGGAACCAGTCTAGCTGGCCTGCACACATTCATAAACATGTAACCAATGGCAAACAAAATTTGGACTGAAAAAAAATGGTAAATTTGGAGCAGTAGTTGAAAAAAAGGGGTGTTTTTCCAACGGTGGTCGGCCGACCACAGTTGGAAATGTATACAAAAATACCATTTTCTTGAAAATGGCTTTACACCAGGTGCCATAATTTTACATAAGGCTTTAGACTGTCATTTACCAACATCCTAGTAAGGTATTTCGTAAAAACTTGGTAGTTTTATTTTTCGATGTTTGCAAATGTTGTATATTCCCTTTAACTTCTGACTTTTCAAAAGGTTTTTTTTCCTTATGAAGGCATTATGCTACAATAACAACCAGTTTAAAAAAAAAAATCTTTTAACAATTGCGAAGCAGAATATTCGGAATTCAGAAATTGAATTGTTTTTCAATTTGCTCACTTTTGCCAGGATGATTGTTTGGAAGCTCATGACTATCGATGCTAAAATGTTAAAAAATTGCTTTGCCGAACCCAAATTTCTTGGCTCTGCTAACAGTTAGTAAAAAAAAACCTGCTTACTATAGCAAAAAATTCCGTGCTTACGGTAAGTGTATTCCACATGTGAGCGAGGAAGTTTGGCTTCTGCGCATGCGTATGCCCGCAACTAAGGATTCTGTGCTTACAGGGTTAGCACATAATTTTTCTGCTAGCGCGGTTAGCACAAAATGGTGATCGTAAGCGTGGAATTATGTGGTTAGCAGAGCCATGAAATTGGGACCTGGACACATACAAAATTGTGAGGCTTGATTTTCCATTTGTCAATAGATCTATTTAAGACATAATGTCACGCTTTGTTTACATGTGTGCTTTCCTATAAGAACCAGGTGGGGACAATTTATGTCTTAGATCTATTTGTGTTTAATTTTTTTCTTTCTTTGTCCAGCCGTCCCATTCAGCTGAGAAGACAGAAGGTCCCCGAGCCCAGCGACTCTTGGATCGCCAGTCCTCCCAGCCCAGCCCACCCCCGACGTCACAGCACAGGAGCCTGCCATTCTTCCACGCCCCTCCCTCCCAGCACATGGGGCCGGTGCAGAGCTCTCCACCCATGGCCAACCACTCTCCATACCTGAATGGGTAAGGATTTCGTTGGTCTGTCTTACAATATGGCATGCACATCCTGGCTACATTGTTTTAAGGGGTTATATCATCTGACCGGCACTTGAGCAATATTAGTACCGATTTTTGGAAGATGCCACTTTCGTGCAAGCGAGCAAAGTACAGAGTATCCAGAAGTTTGGGGTAACATTTATAGTTGTTCCTCAGATTTAATTGCTGATCTGAGTTTTTTCTTGTACCTATTCATTTGCATGTCTGTTAAATACAGTGTTTATTAATATTACCAATATCTCTTCTCTTTTCATCTTGAAAAGAAGAAATTCTTTTGACATTACATATATGCCCTAGTGAAAGATCTTCAACTTCTTATTTTTGTTGTATGGTAGAAGAGTCCAGTCACCAGCTCTTTTTTTTATGTGATTTAAAGCTACAGTCCATCATTTGCAGCTATCCAAAAAGTAACTGACGTAATTATTGTTGAAAAACATACGTGGTTGAAAGATAGTGAGGGAACTAAACTCCCTATGAAATTATTTTTTCTGGCATGCTGTCATTTTGAAGAAATCAATGAAAGAAGGCCTTTCCATCAATGCGTCTAAAGACGCATCGTTGGAAATGTCCGTCAGTAGTTCGTTTTTTTATTTGGCGACATGACACACATGTGTGCGCGGTTGCTATAATTCGTCGGATCAGTGCGCGACATCGCCTAGCTGCAATCGGCTCAGTGAGAACGTGTTTCGGATGCTGATTTCAGGCCCAATTTAAAACATGATTCAGCAATGTTTGATTTGAAATCAAGATCCTAGAATGTTTTTTTTCTCAAAATATATAGCTGAAGCTGAGCTGAAACTTCATCAGGTTAGTGGTTCAGCACCCTTTTTAGATTTATAGCGCTTTTGTTGCTTCAAACGAACAAAATGCACAAATTACAAATGATGGACTGTACCTTTAATCATCCATTTAAAAACATTTGCATGAATTACAATTTGTCCCATCTCCCAAATCCAAGTGTATAATCCCTTATTTTACCTAACAATAATAATCCTTATTTATGTCCAGTAGGTCCCATTCCATGTCCAGTAATGATCCACACAGCCAAAGCAGTATGTACAATGACAATGGAAGGAGGAATCATCATTATAACGGGGTAGGTAATAATAATAATAATACCAGAGTCTTATATAGCGCACGTATCTACCAACAATTAGGTACTCAAAGCGCTGGTAACGATGTCTATTTTTAAAGACAGGTAAATGATGTTAATGAGAAATGTGAGACCCATTATCTAGCACCTTTATAAAGGCTATACAAGGTGCTGCAGCGCATATTGCAGCCACTGCCAGAAACACCAGGGCAAACCCCTTCTCGTAGCGATTAGTGTTACTGGGTTCTTTAACATGCATTACACGACACACGGGGCCTACGGCTTTACGTCCCATCCGAAGGACGAAGCAATAATGGTAAAGTGCCTTGCTCAAAGAGCACAAGGACCATGTTCCCACGGTCAGGATCGAACCCACTTACCATGGCACACGAGTTGAACACCGTAACCATTGGACCACAGCCCCCCATAGGTAACAATGTGTATGAATTGAAGTATGAATAATATAAGTAATTCCGCGAGTGCGATTGGAACACGGAATAATGTAGTGCATCTGTGTTATGTGGGACACAGACGCACTACATTTTTCGTGTTCCACGAGCGCGAGCGTGAAAACAAATTTATCTTCAAGCAAACTTGACGCACAGTAAAGATGGAACATGCACGCTGTACACAAACTTTTCAGCGGTTATCCTATTGCACGTGCGTGTTGTATGGAATGGCGCTCGCATCTTAGAAAAGTGCATTACGCGGAGTGTGGGATGGAGGGAGGCCGTGCTACATGGTTATATATAGCACGGCTTGTTGCCATGGATCGACCAATCAGGATCAAGGATTCAAGTTTGCTTGAAGATAACACGTAATCACTATTTAAATCAATTTTGCAAAAAAAAAACCAGAAATGGCAAGCTCTTGAAAAATCTTTTTCATAAACAGTAGTTAGGTCATATTCAGCAAATGAATGTGCATACTGACCTTTTGATATAAGAAATTACATATAGTGTTTGATTTATTTTAAATCATTTTTACTTTTGTTTTTCAGATGCAGCAGTACTATCCAGGGGAGGAATCACCAAACCAACAACGGAAGCTGCCCAGCTACACGGATCACATCCAGAGACATCCTCCCAAGCAGCGCGCGCCAAACTCAAACAACCCCAGGAACATCTACATCCCAGAGGGGCCCAGATCCCAGAGCAGTCCCATGCGACAGCCTCAAGGCTACCCCCAGGATTGGCAACAGCCAAGGAGGCGTGAGGAACAGTATGAGCCCAGGCTGAACTACGGACCGTCTCGGCGGGACTACGACCATCGAGCGACTGATGAAGACCATCAAAGAGTCAGGCAGTACTTGAATAACATGCACGGCAGTGCTCCGTCCAACCCCAGAGGGATACCAATGGAAGAGCTTTCTAGAAGACATGACTACCGGTATCCACAAGGCAACAGAAAGCCAGAGCCGAACACTCCTTACATATACCTGGACCGTGTGCCCCCCGATTCCAGAACTCAGCAGACCTATCTTAGGAATGGAGGAGGTCTGGAAGGCTCTAGAGACTTTACATTCAGCCCCAGCGACTCGTCTTCCCGATCGAGCACCCCACCATTACCTCCACTCTCCCCGGACAACTCGGACATGGATTCCATGCCAAATTCGCCCTATCTGGGGAAGAAAATGCAGCGGTCCATCAGTGTGGGTGTCCTGCCCGCAGGAGTGCACATGCCGTCGCACAGACTCAACGAATCCGTCATGGGTATGAAGAAACGGAAGAACAGTTCCAACCGGAGTGGCGGCCCAGCTCACAAGACGTTTGAACCCAAGTCATCGTCAAGGAGGAGTGCGGGTAAAGGGCGTAGGAAGATGAGCAAAGGAGTGAAATCAAGCAGCAGCAGCAACATCATGATCAATTCAACGTCGTCCAACAAACGGAAATCCCCAAATATTAGAGGTACTTTTGGTTCCTGTGTTGGTGGACTATTCTAAGACAATTCAAAATTACACATTTCAATATTGGTTTGAGATTCTTGAAAAATGTGGTCCCTGCACACTTTTCCAAAATATTTTTCACAGAAATGCCCAGAAAATGGGGACAAATTTCCAGTTATGTACATAATGTGTTACTTCCAGTATTCATTGTCATTTTCACTCTCTGACATTGCAGGTATTTCCTGAAGCATTGTTGTGGAGGGAGGCCATTAGTTACTTTCAACTTTCCACCTCCACTCATATCATTCTCAAAACAAAATTTCCTGTAAATTTCCTTCATTGACCTTTCTCCATATGTCTCTCTTATTTATACCATCAACTTGCTTTCCAATCCAACAGCCTTGCCAGTTGCCCCTCTTCACAAAGTCCAAGAGCACACCGAGCACACGGACAGCGATCTCAGCTCCCACCATTCAGATCGCCGTAGCGACTCCGACGATGACAACGATGAAGACAACGACTCGGGCTCGGTGTCCCACCTGTCCTCTCTCAAGCCCACCATCAAGGTCTTGGATGCTCACCATCAGCAGCAGTCGGCGACGGAGTCCGTGGAGCCCCCCGATGCAGACAACATCCGGCAGCAGCTGGTGGCCCTGGAGAAGATGTACAAAGAGATCCTGGAGGTGATTGGGAATGACCGTAGAGAGCGGCTGCTAGAGAACCCAGGCGAAAGGCTGTCTGTCAGCTCCATGAGCACCACATCTGCCAAGACCCTGAACAAATCCAAAGGTAATAAGTATTTACAATTTCCCCCTCATATTATTTCATTGAAAGTCCTTTTCATATTAATGTTAAAGTCCATCTCACATGTTGCCCGTCTTGTAGTGGAGTCTGACAAGTGTAACATGGTTCAGAAAGAATAAAGTCTGAGTATCTAGACAGTGTGGCCTGAGTACTTTGGTTATGATCATGGTTGAGAACTGAGTGTTGCTGACATTTGCAGTCCTACTCCTTTGAAAATATCCAGTCAACATAAACTTGGTGGTTAGGCTTAGTTCCTACTCCACCACCTTATACTTCAATCCCTCCAGTATGTTTTCTTAACTTCACAGTAACTTAACTTCACAACTTCGCAATAACATGAAGGGCAAAACCTAATATTGAACTCCATTAAGACTCAGCCTGATATGAAACTAGCTCGGGATGGAGCCACGGTTGAAATTCATCATGCAAAGTTAGTTATTCACTCAGATTTTATTTTAACTTTATTAGTGATACATTCTAATGATTGAACTTTTTACAACTGTCCTTCTGTTGCGATCTTTTGTCGGCAGTCCCCTCTTCACACAAGCCCAGCAAGCGACGGGAGAAGGACATCAGGCTGGTCAACAAGCGTTTTGCCCGTGTGGAGTCCCACGTCGTCACCTTAGCCCGCAGCGTGGCCCACCTCTCCTCGGAGCTCAGGTCCCAGAGCGCAATGTTTCACGAGATTGAATCACTGCGCCATGAGATCAACCAGATTCGAGACATGCAGGTACTGAATGCCAGCGAGGTGCTGAACGGAGGCATGAAGTTCAGACCCATCGTGCCGCTGTGTTCCAGCCCACAGAAGATCAAAAAGTTGACCAAGTATGTAACTCTGTTTGGACTTCATGTATGTGGCTGCTACCCTGAATTTATCTTTTGTAAATTCCATCACTGCTAAAGGATTTTCATGCTGAAATGTATCAAAGAGTAGAGCTAATTCTTTAGGGCAATGGAGAATGGCACAATTACGTTTCAATGATTCTTAAGTGATGAAACGTGCTTTGTCTTTACTTTCCCGTGAAGTATGAAATGGCTTTTAGGCTGATAAATGAAAGATCTGATGTTATTTGTAGAGGTTGTCAGTAATGCCTTTTTGTATCAAGAGGAACTTGTAGCCCTACTTAGCTATTTTGTATACTCCCAAAGGAGCTGAGTTGGTAATCAGAATGCTTTATGGGCCTGACAAGCAGGGGTAGTAATGACGTACCTTAAATGCCATGTTTGGTTATGTTTGCGTCTTTCACTGACAGGATGTCATTTTTATTAACAGGACCCTGTTTTTTTTCGCTCTCTCTTTTTTTGTCAGATTCTTTGGTGAGGAACCACCCCTGTTAACTATGTTCCTAAAAGAACTGGGATATGAGGTAATTATCATTTTAAATATTTCTTTTTTGTTTTACAGTTATAACGTACTCATACTTGGAAGAGCATGCGTTGGTAGTAAGGTGTCTAGACTCATGATCAAAGGGTCAGGGGTTCATATCTAGCTGCTGGCTGGAGGCAAAAGGATGTTAAGGGAAAGCATGCGTTGGTAGTAAGGGGTCTAGACTCATGATCAAAGGGTCAGGGGTTCATATCTAGCTCCTGACTGGAGGCAGAAGGATGTTAAGGGAGAATATCAAGACTTGGTGACTGACCAGCTGTATGGTTATTGTGTAAATCGAGGACACACATGTGACACATCCTTGTGTAATTGAGGACAGGACTGAAATCAAGAAGGTCCTCAATTAAAAAATGAAATCGAGGACGTCCTTGAATAGAAAACGTGTACAAAACTAATGGGAGCGAATGCAAAAAAGTTAGAGTGTGAACATAAGAGGAACAACAGGAGATCCTTGATTTACCCCATAAACAAACCTGTGTGTATGGGTATGTGTGCACACAGTCGGTTTCATCAGGATAACTCGAGAATATCTTGGCGTAGCAACTTCAGACGTGGGGTTTCCAGCAGTCTGTTGATTTTTTACCCATACATCAAAGGTCAAGGTCATCATTATTCAAACAATAGAAATGGTTTCATCAGGATATCTCAAGAATTTTTTAGCATATCGACTTCAAACTAGGTATTTGGAGTCCTTCAGAAGCCTATTGGTTTTGGACCCCGTAGGTTAAATGTCAAGGTCATTATGGTTCAAGCAGTAGAAACAGTTTCCGCCAGATATCTCAAGTTTTATTGTCATATCAACTTCAAACTTGTAGGGTTGGTTTTGGGGTACCCTTGAGTTATGAATTGAAGCTTGTGTTCGCACTGCACACATACAGCAAAGCACAGTCATGAGATTTAATATTTGTTCAGCAGGGCATTTTGTGTTAATCAACACATCATTCTTTTTGATAACAAAGTATTGTTTCAATATTACTTTTCAGAAATATGTGTCATTGTTTGAGAGGGAAGGCATCGGTATGGTGGAGCTACCCTACCTGAGCGAGGAGAGACTGGAGAGTATTGGGGTGCCGACTGGGCCCCGGTTACGCATCCTACAAGAGGCACAGTTGATGGTTTGAAGTACGAAGTGTGACTGTAGATTAAACAAGGTGACACAGGGAATTGTCCCTGTATTGAAAAGAGATGACATGAGGCATCCTCTTAAACTTCCAAAAGAGCCTCAAGAAATTTGGTTGAGAGCATTGGTGTGCCGATTGGGCCTCGGTTACGCATCCTACAAGAGGCACAGTTGATGGTTTGAAGTACCTAGTGTGACTGTAGAACAAAACAAGATGGCACAGGGAATCGTCCCTGTATTGAAAAGAGATGACATGAGCCTCAAGAAAATTTGATTGAGCCACTCCGAGCAAGATGCGTGAGAGCATGGGGGCTACGCATCCTGTGACAGGTTTGAAGTAATCAGTTCGATGATACAATAAAAGAGATGGCAAATGGTGTCTCATACCTTTGACTTCCCACCTTTGACTTCCCACCTATGTCTATGACTTCAACATAAATCTCTGTATCTTAGCTAAAGACCTTTTGAACATGCATTTAAAATTTGTTGTGTCATGACTTTATTTATTAGCATTTAGTTTGTGATCTCATTATTTGGACCTTTTTTGTTCGAACAACTTCCAGTTTATTATATGGCACAAAATCACTTCCCAATATTTCTGTATATTTTGTTGTAAATATTTTGTACAAACTTGTTTGAGTTTTTAACTTGCCATTTTCACTATGTATCATGTTTTTTTTATGATAACATGTACTGAATGTTTTTAAATCTATTCTCAGTATTCTCGAGGTCAAGGTTCAAATCCCACTTGAATCAATTCTCTTTTTGAACTTAAACGTTGGTGGAAAGTGACACTTGTCTGCTTCCCTTTTTTATTTATTTGATTTTGTTTTTAGCCTGTAAAATACTCCTTTTAGTCATGAGTATCCTTATATCATTATGATCATTTTGTCATTAAAACTTAATTTCCAATCAAAGGAATTCTGATATAGTCGCAAATTCATATCTTGCAGTTTATGATTAAATTGTTCATGTTGTATATTCGAGAATCTATAAAAACTGGGGCAAAAAACGGAATACTGTTTGTATTAATGGTGAATTGTTTGGGGGTTTTTTCTTAAATTTAAATTTGAATTTGATTTTTGCTAGTCTCCGAGTACCTGACCGACTCACTCACCGACTGTCACTTGTGGATTCCCATGTACAGGGCAAGTCAAAATGATCTGGACCCAAATAAAAGAAAATATTTTTAAAATATGTTGCAATTATCAGAACAAATGCAAATGAGATATGTTATAGGCTGGTGTTTTGGACACATTTTGGGGAAAGTTTCATGTATATCCATTGTACCATTTTGAAGAAAAGCGCTAGTAAAGAACACATGCTAAAAAAAAAAACCACTCTAACCACTGTTCCATGGTTCAACAAGTTTATTGAAATCACGTACCGATGTGACTGTATTGTTTGAAATGCAGTCACATCAGTACGCGATTTCAACTGAGATGCTAGAAATTATCAATTTAATTTGAAAATTTATTTTTCGGGGTGCCACACCCAAAACACGTATATACCAACTTTTAAGATTTTTAAACCCTACCCCCCTCCCTTCTTATTCCAAATTCCTGTATTCAAGTAAGGCTTTTTATAGAATTACGCTATATTTTGAATCATGTCTTTCCTAAGAGCGACTGAGCAAACTATGTAATGAGTTTATACTGGTTTGAACCAATAAGAATTTTGTAAACAAGACTAGTTTTTATTCATATTCATAAAACTCATATTTTTGTATCCACTTTTGAATAATAAAATGGCACCAAGTACGTTGTACTGAAACAAAAATTAAAATGTTTTTTGTAGTTCACTTTATTTTGTTCTACCTAATGATGTGTGACATTAAAAAAAACAAGTACACGTTTGCAGGGCGGCAGAGACCAACATTGTATAATGCCCAGACTGAAAAAAATTTCCACACGGAAATGGGGGCATCAAATTTTGAGTAAAGCCGTTTTTTCAATATATATTATTGCATCAGATACCGCGGTATTGTTTCGAAAAATGGGTATAAAACGGAACAAAAGATTGTAAAGGTCTCCACAAGGCAATTTCTAAAGGTGAATAGGTCTCTACAAGGATTTCACGAAATAGATATTTGGATTGCACTAAAAAAAAAAAAAACCCGGAATTTCCAAGGCATGCTTATCCGTCGCAAATTATAGTATTTTATGTGAGGGATATTTGGTTGGCATTTCAACCCAGGAAAGTAAATCTGGTTAAAATAGGAGCATTTTGAGAATAGCCTTCGACCCTCACGATTTTGTACACGAGAACAGCGATGTCTCCTCAAGGATACAAATTTTAGTATAGGTTTGTAGGCCGAGTACGATCACATTTTTTCCCCTAAACTTAATTTGCTGACCGGTTCTACATGAATTACCGACAAACTTGTTATGAAGTAAAACAACTATAAGTGTTATAATGGGTTAAAATTGCGGAGGAGCTATTCCTTGTAGAACGGTCAATTCCCAGACGTTGATACGCCCACTCAAAATAGAGAAAAGACTAGAATCTCAACATTAAAATGGAGAAAATCTTAAACAGCGTCTAATAAAGCGTACGATGTAAACAGCGGAAGATATTGAAGTGACGTCAATGTGCTAATACGAATGTCGAATTGACTGCCGAGACTGGGATAAGGTCTCACGCGCATGCGACATTGCAGGTTGGCATTTTCGCGCGCCAGCGGTTTTCGTCGCTGGCGCCCCCGAGGGCTGGCAATGAATGCTGCATGTTTTATCCATCACCTCGAGATACGCTGTGCTCTGTCGATGACCTCCTGTGTGCATGCAAAGCGCGAAACGACGATGATTCACAGTGGGGTTAACAACACTCAAACACTGGCATGGAGTGTGGTGAGCGACCTGTGCGGGTGAAATCGGACAAACTGACGCCGTGTACATACACCGAGGAGTCTTGACTTGGGCATTGAACACGCGCGATAAGGCATCAGCATACAATTGGTGCCTCCATCACAGATATTGAAGACACATACGTTTTGCGCGTACACACTGTGCTATCTACGGTAGACGAGAGTGAATGATGCGGGCCAGTGCAGTGACGACTGCAATTTGTGTACGTGTGTTTCTTTGTATCGGCGTATCCACGTCCCACCCGTGTGGATATTAGGAAATATTCTCATTCATAATGAGCTCCTTATGACTGTGACTGAAGATTTCTAACACGGTGTCCTCCCAGTTGTCACTGCACGATATTGAAATGGTATGATTCTTACACCGTAAGGTTTGTTGACGGATATCAATGGATGCAGACTGGGGACTGTCAACGGGAGATGAGATGCGGTATTGGATAAACGGGTTAATGGTCTAACGTTATCTAACGGCCAAAGCCTGAGGCGAAGACAGGACTCTCGCGCTCCGGTGAACTCTGCTATCGCGATTATTGCACAGGCCTAGCTTCCCATGTGTGATGATGGAGAGGCCACTTGCAAACTGCATCCCTAACGTATAAGCACTGACATATGGAGAGTGCAATAGGGTATAGGCCTACATTGTAACTGGATTATAATATGGACGTGTACTCTCAGCTACGCGGAGTACTGTTGTGAAGGAACTTAGGATCTGAAGTTTGCTTAGGCCTACTATTGACGAGCTACAGTTCAGTTAATCTGAGGACGTGTTTTGACATCATGGCCGCATCATCGCTGCTTGAGAAGATAGGAGACTTTCTCGAGTGCCAGATCTGTCTAGAAACCTTCAAGCATCCGAAGGTCTTACAATGCCTTCACACCTTCTGCCGAAACTGTCTGGATCAGATGGCCCCGAACGGGACCGACACCGTGGTTTGTCCCACCTGCCGCGGCGAGACGGTTCTACCGGGGGAAGGGGTGGTGGACCTCAAGAACAACTTCGTTTTGGCCAATCTCTTGGAGTTGGTGACCTCTCTGCAGAAACCTTTAGTCGGTGAGATCACTGCCGATGGGAACTTCAACACTTCATTCCTCTGCTCCAACTGCGATGATGAGAACGCGGCTCACGCCACCTCGCGCTGTCTCAACTGCTGTGAGTTCCTGTGCGCCGAGTGTGTGGCTGCACACCGCCGGTTGAAGGCCCTCCGTCACCACGTCATGCGGGACATCCACGCCTGGCTAGCGGCCGGCCAGCAGATGGGTACAAGCCGAGACCCGAGCACCGAGCAGAATGGCTGCGATTCCAGTGCCGTCTACAAGTGCAACGAGCACACCAATGCCGAGGTGACGGCATACTGCGAGGCTTGCGACCTGCTGATCTGCGACACGTGCAGCCGGACCGAGCACGTGCGCTCCCCACACCGCCTGGCCACCATCCATGAAGCTGCTGAGAGACAAAGGGAGGAGATCAAGACCATCTTGTCTGACTGCAAGAGGAAGCTTGGGGTCTTCTCCACGGCCATCGAATGCACGGTACAGATTGCAAGGGATCTCCAACGTCGCACGGATCGTGCACAGAAGGATCTCCAGAACACGTCCAAAGAATACATCCGCCTGATTCAGGAGGAGCAAGCCCGCCTCATCACCGAGCTACACAAGAAGAAAGAAGACAAAGAAAGTGAGATGGCTGCCCACATCGACAGTCTTCAACGGGCTGTGGACATGATTCGCAACATGTGCTCCCTGGCAGACAACTCACTGATCAACGGTAGCCACGTGGACATTTTGCGCGCCAAAACGCAGCTGATAAACCGCCGACAGCAACTGGACCGTGTGAGTATCCGCAACATGCCCATGGATACGAGCTCGCTTCGTTTCGTTCCCAGCTCCGAGCCTAATGTGATAGAGAATAAACTTGGTCACATTGAGGATTAAAACAAAGGACGTGTTGTATTTCCATTCCATTCATAGGTCCTATGTCTGCACCTTGGCTTATAAAAACATAATTTTATTGACCGCATGTTTCAATCGCTCATTGACTTCAAAATATTACCCTTGCTTCTCCAGCAAATAGTCTCACATTAGTGCCGAATCTGAAAATGACGTCTTGGCTTTTCATTGAGTCATATTGACTCGGATTTTACCATATATGCTTCAATCTTCAAAGGTACCAGTATCGGTTTTTTAACGGATTGGACGACTGTGGCACATGCCGCACCGTTCTGTGCATTTTAAATCATTTTGCTCGTACTGCGTTTTCCTTCTTTAAAAACCGAATACGAGGTGCACTTGGGCAACCCAACCAAAATTCCAAAATTGACGAGAATACGACCTCTTAATTTGAAGTCATTCTGGAATTAAACAGTATTTTGAAAGTCAAGTTAAATCAGTGTTGGAATATGATTTTTATCAAATGTTGGAATTATTGATTTTTATCAAAATTATATAAGTGTCTATATTTCACGTACTTTCTGGTGATTTCGTATATATTTGCTCCATCTAGTAATACAGGCTTGGGATAGGAACTTGTCTTTTGACAGTCGTAAGATGCACAAAACATTTTTATATTGCAAAGAAAGGCATTATACAATTGGATAACACCCATCAGAAGATGGGTAAACAATGGTAAAGATTGTAGCAGAATTTCTAAGGCACCACACAGCAAATTGTAATACCGCGCATGCTTTGTGCAATTTCTGTGAAAGGTTTTATAACGTATTTCAAAAGTGCTAACACATTAAAACCTGTTGTACTTTTGTGAATTTATAATATTCGTTCTATATTTCGTTTTGGCTTTTATTTGTCTTGACATTCCAAAATGAGCATTTAAGCAGCATCAGATATGATTGAGATAAGGGTGGACACAACCCGAGAGCGTTGTTTGGATGTGGTAATGTAAACTCTTTGGTATTTACCCGAATTCATCCACTTAAATACATGTACGGCCTTCTGGCGTGTCCGCCATAACTCAAAATGATTGTACAGGGTGAGTCAAAAAGAAAGTGACCGAATTTAAAAAAATTGGCTTACTCAATTTCATACAAAAAAGCAGGCATAAAGTACATGTTATTGACTAGTAGTAGTAACTGTGAAAATTTCACGTAATTTGCAAACCCGAATCCCAAGTTACGTCTATTTTAATATTAAGACCAAAACATTAAGCTCTCCACCACTGATCATTTACCATTCTACGAACTGATGGATACCCATTATATACAATGAAACATGGACGTTTTCCCACCTCGATTAATGGAGGAGAACTTGCAAAGGAAAACATACCAAAGTCGCCATTAATATTTCAGGGGAAAAATAGATGACTTGTTCCTGATCCTCATATTCAAAACACAAATTCTGACGGTAAAAATACTGGTCAGTCTTGATTTAAATGATTAAAATCTCATTGTATTTGAATGCTTGTGTGTAATCTGTAACTCCTCCTCGGCACAATAGCTTCCAATGGCATTCCATGGACAGGAAGTTCTTTTAGTAAAACCAGATGAGTGGAAGAACATGCTCGTTTAAGATATACTTTATTGGTGTTTGAAATTTCTTACTTTAAAAAAAATCGTTAATTCGGGTCACTTTCTTTTTGACTCGCCTCCGTAAAGGGTAGAATTATAGGGAAAGTCAAGCAACAAGAAAGAGTCGTTTGAAAACACTGAGATTACACTAAAAACATCGTCCTTTGCTTTCGTTTCAACGAGTGACACGTTTTTGAAAACTCTAAAAAAAAAAAAAAATGGAGAAAAACACATAACAGTGGCCTTTGTATTATAAGCCTAGATATTTTCATGTGGAGACAAAAGTTTATTTACGATGAGTGTTTTAGTTGTGTGTATTTGACCAATTAATTTGTCGGTGTATCTTCTTCGAAGTAATTATAATAATGATTCAGGCAGCTGTTCATAAACTTGTTTTCCAAAAATCAGTAAATTGTGTAAAGTAGAATAATTGCTATTTATTTTCATTTTAATTATTTAATTCAGCTTTAAACCGAGTTCGCGAGATGAAATGTAATCACATTAAAAATAAACATGTAAGGAGTCTCTGTAATATTATATGCACCTTGGTGTCGAAGATACAAGTCACATATTCGTCAAAAACTTAAACGTAACTTCACTTTCCCATTCAAAAATCTCTGGCTGTTTTGTGATTTTTCAAGTGTTCATCATTATGCAAGTAATATTGTACAAAGTTGTCAATTGCAATAAAACGAAAGCCGCCCAATATGTGTAGCAGTACAACACGGCATTACGTTGTTGTTGTTGTCGTTGTTGTCGTTGTTGTCGTTATTATCGTTGTTGTCGTTGTTGTTGTTGTTGAATGTTTGCGCATGTGTGACTCTATACCTGTGGTAAAACCACGTGAAGGCAACTTCCTTTTGTGAATTTTCGCTGGTCCCCGTCTGACGAGGGCTGAATGAGCTGAATCTGGCCCATTGTGCACACAGCTGCATGGAAGGACTTCCAGTAAATAGCCAGTCTGAATCATTAATTGAAAGAATTTCGTGAACTATGTGACGAGCTTCATTATAGGCGTGGCTTGTCTGGTACCAACAGTTACTTGTGAAAACTCAACCGTTTGAACTGATTGGTTCATGACAAAGCTACGCAAATGTTGAGTTTCCAGACCATGACCACATGAACTCACGAAACAGTTTCACTGCCACACGTTGCCGCCAATTGCAATTCTTGATATTTTCTCTCTAGGGACGAACAGCAACCCTTACAGCTCCATCGTGTTTTAGAGACGCTGGAAGCCATGATGTCTGTGGTTATTTTGGTCTGAATCAGAACCCTTTGCCAAACTTGAGTGTCGGATCCAGGCAAGCCTCATGAGATGGGGTTGAGGGGGGGGGGGGGTAACCCATCAACCTCGGGTTGTTCAAAGAAGTCCCTATTAACACCGGCAGATCTAGACATTTTCCGGAGAAAAAAAGAAGACAATCCGATATTTGAGAGTATTGAGGGGGGAGGGAGACGGGAGGTCGTGGGCGTTATTTGGCGGCCCAAGGGGCCTAAAACAATCTGACAGTGGTCCCTAAAAGACGCTCCGAATGCCAGGTGAAAAAAATCTAGCTTTAAAAGCAAAATGTCAGGAGGATATGCCCCTCATATCCGCCACAACAGCGTGACGGGTCACGCATATCCGGTCGACACCTCACCCTTAATACTTTGAACCGAGTACTAATTAATTTAGGTCAGCCCTTTTATTGTGTCATGGCAAAATCTCAAAATGAGCGCGGACAAAAATCATCGCAATTCCGAAAACAACTTCGAATTCCACGGGGGTCAAAATCTTACGGGCCCCTAGGCCAACAAGCCGAACTCTAACCTTTAAAAATTGACATAGTCCTCTGGCAATAGACCTAACTACTAATGGTGATATCGTCTTTTTTAGCGCTCATATCCCCATTCTCCCGAACCCATCATCCGCCCCGCCCGACTTAAAGACATCTTGTGCGCACGAGACACACTGTCCAGACCGGGCGACGACACGAAATGACCGGCGGAAACACTTTACCGTCCCCCGTGCGCCACTGCACTCGGAGCATGCAGAGTATACAACTACATGACGGGGGGGGGGGGAGTGGATTTTGAGTTCAGTGTCCCCCAGAGTATGGCAGCATGCAATGACATGGCAGTGTTTATAATTATTTTTAAAAGTGATTAGGCACAACTTTATTCAGCCAGTGTTAGTTTCAGTGCTGCGCCGTCATCATCAACATCAACATTGCAGTCATGAAATACATGATTATGCAAACAGATCATCGGCGGTTAATTATGCAAAACAAGACTGCGTCTTGACCTCCAGGTTCTGACCATTCAGCGGGCACCTTCTAACGGGTCTTCGGTAAACCTGCTGTACGTTGTATTACACAAAAATGGCAGCCAAATTGACCAATCAACAGCTTAGTCCACAATTTCTGAAGTCGACTCCCCCTTTGGCTGGCGCGCGGGGTCGCATAAAATCTGCCGGCTCACATAATAATATCTGACGTTGGTTACGTCGGAGAGAGCTCCCAATCCGTTAGACAACGGGTGATACTCAGACTACCAGCCCAGCCACCCCACCCCCCCCCCCCGACACATACACCACAAATTATAACCAAAACACCAAACTGGACCCCCCCCCCCAAAAAAAAAGGTAAAAAGGTGAAGTTTTAATAATTCCAACATGTGTGTATGAGAGTTTCGAACACATTTGAGACTTCTTCTGCATCGACAGTGGCTGCGGGACATTTCAAGCCCGTGGCTCGCTTGAGGGACTCCGGCTCATTATAGTTCTCTGCTCTGCTTCAGGTCCACAATAATTGTTGACAATGGAACCGAATTTTAAGGTCCCATCTTTAGTTTGGACATGTAAAATGATCATGGAAGCAGGGATGAGTCGAAGCTGCAACGAAGCCGAGGTATATAAAAACGGTCAATCGTAAGGAAATTGGGGGCGCTCTTTAAAATAACTAGAGCGATTACCCGTGTACGTGTACAATGTACGTCCGTGTACTTGTACGCGTACGCATACGTGCATGGGAGGCGTTGAACCGTGACACACACACACACGTAACGAATTCAAAAGAACTTCCAGGAAGTTATTAAACACCCATTGCCGAGCTTGTCAGCTGTACATGTGGTGGTGATTCATACAGACAGCTGAACAAATTGTCCTAATCAACACTAAAGTTACGCTTCTAATTAGACTTCAGAAGATGCAGGTATGTGCTTTTGTTCCACTGCACCGTTCTAGGATGAGGTTTGACTGACTGTGGAGTAGAGGTAAATTGCTTCCTAATTCCTTTTCTTGCCAATTTAATTCAGGTAGGGGGCTTTCTACTTTCTGATTTGATCATTGATTCTTCGAAATCCTGTGACTTTATTTCATGTGAAAGCTGGTAAGTTTAAAGCCATAGAATCATGAGAACCATAGAGCCTAGTCTAGAACTGTCTAGCTAGTTATAATAACTTTGTCTCGTAACATTGTGAATTTGATGTTTTTGGCACAAGTGCTGGTGTACGTGTGGAGAGTGATTTTGTAAGAGAAAAGAGTTATAGCAATTAAATTACTATTAAACAGTTTATTTGTTGTTCAACCTAAATTTACATTTACTATACTATTTTATTTCCAACGAACATGGACATGGTGGAAGAATATGGCATGTTTGATAATAAATCCCTTTTTTTGTAGTGGCTGTCATTATGGCAGTCGTAATGTGATTTTCAACTGGTAACGTTCATGTTGTTACAGTATTGCAAAATTATCATTGCAAATCTATTATTATCACAACTACCCGTCCAACCAGAACACTTCGTTGGCTCGATTGGTTACACCACATATGTTCCTTCCTCCATGGTTACACGTTCGACTACTGTGCCAGGGATCCGGGTTCGAAACCGCTGCCGTGCAGCTCAATTAAAAAAAATAGATAGTGGATATTTTGCCGGAGGTAATGACGGCAAACTAACGATTACTAAAGGTTTGCCGGCGGCAATCCATATCAACAGAGGGCACTGTACTCTTTAAAATAGGGATGTAATGGTGTAATGGTTTTAAGCAAAGGCTCTAGTATCGGGTAGACCCGTGAACGTGGCGTAGTTTACAAGCCACGTTCACGGGTCTAGTATCGGGATGACTCGCGTTCGATTCCGACCGCACCACATTTTAAAGTTGTTTTTTTTCTCATCCCCAAATAAATAAGAATATTCTTCTTTTATTATTTTAACATGTCTCAAACATTTTTTGCAGAGTATTACATTTTCTTTTTCAGATTTGTGGCTCTGGAGGATTTTTTTTTAAAGGGAAATAAAGTCCGAAATTATAAAATGGTCTGAATCCCATCTTGTGAATACGAGGTAACAACGATAATTTTGGCATGGAGCCAGACTAAAACTTGTCACCGGAAAATGTTTAAGTACAAAAAAACAGTAACTGCGCATGTTCAGTGCATATCCGGCAAACTAACGTTTACTAAAGGTTTGCCGTCTCCCGCAAAATAACACTGCCAAAAAAATAAGGTTTTTAAAATATGTTTTCTTTACTTTCATGTTTTTAATTAAATCGTTCTTTTTTGAGTACTCAGTAGATTACTATTTCATCTTTGTAAATCGTAATGCGTGGCTTGGAAGGATTGCATTTCCTCTTATATGATGAACTGAAATGGTTTCTAAGTCTATCTGTATTACTGCTCATGTAGTCAGAGGATTAATTCAGACCCAAAATCGCAAATTTTGAGCAGTTTACAACACTTTCAAACATGGGTAGACATGGTCAATGGTCGTTCAGTGTCTGATGTCTGCAAGGCCAAGTAAAAAAATAAACCAGTTTCTCGTCCCCGCCTGCTTCATTTTTTTCCAGCTCGCCTCCTTTTTTCCTTTTTTTTTTAATGATACATTCACAATTTTGCAAAGTACATGGCTTACACTGTCAATATATTTTCTTGTTATTTGTTTCCAACAAAATTCTGTGTAGAAGGGTAACAGCACCTTTGGACACAATTTCAGCAAAAGAGTTGAGAAAATGGAGGAATCCATCCACAATAATGGAAAATCTGCCATCTTGGAAATAAGAAAAAAAATAAAACGTGACCGCCTCCTTCATTTTTCCAAAAGATCCTGGACGAGACACTATTTTATAGTTTTACTCAGGCTGATATCACTATAATTCTGCATTCATATGCTGGTCTAACACCTGACTGGTAGACTTTTCAAATTCTACCATTCTATGATGAACGCACAGATTATTATTAAGGGAATAACAGTGTGAGGAGCCGGTCTTCACTGCGTGATAATGACCGGGTGTGGGGGTGACCGCTGTTAATGGACCGAGACAAAGTCGAGGTCCATTAACAACGGTCACCCCCAAACCCGGTCATTATCACGCAGTGAAGACCGGATCCTCACACTGTTATTCCCATTAATAAATACCTTTTTAACGAAATAAACAGTTAAAATGCTCCAATTTTGTGACTTTTTTTCCGGCAATATTACCAGACTTTTTTGTGTTCATGTTCATGGGCCATATTTTAGCTGATGCGTGGTACCCTGTCTCTTCAATAAGCGTTGTTATATACACCACAGCCGGGCCCAGGCTGCACTGGACAATTGCAACGTCTTCATTGCGTACGCGTACGACTTCTGCTGCCGTAGCCAAACAAATTACAACAATGTTTTCATATTTTTACCTTACGGAGGAAGCTGAAATTTCGTGTACACATTCCTTGTGTCCAGAATTACAAAGATGCTTGGTTTAGGAAAGGTAAATATGTCGATGGGCGAAGTATTTACAGAAAATAAATCGTAGATCTACGCTTTCGTCGTAACATCCTCAGTATAGTGCACTGCCGCTGTACGATGTCGTTTCAAAACTTCCTTACGCGCGCGCACCCCATCGCGACTGTATTGCGTACACGCGCGTCAGTCAGGCGCGGTTCTACGGGGGGGGGGGGGGGGGGGGGGGGGGGGGGGGGGGTCTGTAGCCCCCAAAAATTTTGTCTAGCCCCCCCCAAAATAAATTCCTTAAAAAAAAAATTGCATTAGCAAAAAGAAGGATTGTGATGCGAACGGTCTTCTTCTAAAGAAGAAATAGCCGTGTCAAGGGTGCATTAGTTAATATATTGTGAATGATTTTAGGATTTTATTGGCGCTCCCCATTGAAAATATGGCATGAGCCCCCCCCCCCCCCCCCATTGAAAATATGGCATGAGCCCCCCCCCCCCCCCCCCCCCCCCCCCCCCCCCCCCCCCACCTATTGATTAGCCCCCCAAAGTGTCTGGGAAAAATAACCGATCAACATTTCAGCACGCCTTCCTGAAAAAAATTTGGGATCCACCGTGCTAGCCCCCCCAAAAAAAATATTGGTTCTAGAACCGCGCCTGGCATCAGTCTCACACGAAGGTGGTTGAGCGCATGTGCAGTGCAGTGTATTGTTACAAGCTGCCGTATGACAGTTGTAAATTTGGCCAATCATTGCCTTCCATGGGGACCATGGGGCTGGATCAATGCTGGTTCAGGGAACATTTATTCACTTGTTCTTTGAAGCCGGTCATTATCACCGTTAATGCCCGGCCACGTGATCGAGTCTCGACCAATCAGAAACCATCAACTCTCCAAGGTATTTATTATTATTATTTTATTTCTGGTAATGAAACCAAGGATTCCTCAAAAGTGCCCTAGGCACTGTAGCTACCAAGCCTGAAGAAACCTGTAGAGAGAAGACAATGAGAAGAAGTTACAGTTTTAGAGGTGGGAGGAAAAGCCCAGGGGAATATTCTGAGGAAAACCCACGGAATCAGGCAGGGACTGAAAACCCAATCCACATTCCACACGTTGGCCCAGGTGGGATTCGAACCCGGGTCACAGCGGTGGAAGGCGAGGAAAGTACCGCCACGCCAACCAGACTCCCAATTGTAGGCCTATACTGCAGTGAAACACTTCCAACAGGAGCTCTCCTGCCCCATCAAATGTGTCCCATATACTCTATATTTAGAATTAGAGCCACACATATTCGTCAAACCGATGCATGCCAAATTTCCCTGAAAAGTAGTGTTGCCAGAATTTGAAATCTATACTTCATGTTAGCTATGTTACCCTGCGTTATTTGTGTTCATTGAGCCCTTAGGCAAAAAAAAAAAGGTCTCCGGTTTCTGGTATGCGCGCGCGTCGCCGTAGCCATGCGCGTCGGCAAAATGAAAAAGGTTTTTTTTTCAATAAAAGATGATGTCTCAAAACCGCCAAACTCACTGGTTTGACTGGAATCCTGCTGCTGCACAATTTTAACGTGTTTTTAGATGGGGTTATGATCGAGAATAAGCTTTATGTGGCCTCTCTGGACTCCCATATATTTGCACTAAGTTTAGTCGGGCACCATTTGCAGTCATCAGCCGACATTTGAAGCAAAAAAGTCAGGTAAAAAAAAAAAAAAGGCGCGTCGCCGCACCACTTTTTGGACAAGCTCCATACCAGAAACCGGAGACTTTTTTTTTTTGGCCTTATTCAGCACTGTTTTTATTTTGAGTCACAAGCACAAGTTGCCTCCGACTTTTATTGTATTATACAGCAAGGGTTAAACAAAAAGTGAAAGCACAAACGGGACATTTATTTCGACAATAATATGAGGCATTTTTGATATTTTCAATATCATTCCTCAATATCGAAAATTTTGATATTTCGATATAATTAACAAATTGCTATCGGCGATATCGATATCAAAATAATACCGAATAATCGAGCAATATCAGTATATCGACAGTTAAGCCCTCATGCTCGATATCATCGGCACTGCTCCTGAATGTCGTTGGCACTACCTCAACCCAATACGGTGATTGTTGGAGGATTTTGAAGGATTGAGGCAATGGTCACCCCTCCCCTGAACAAATTCAAGAAAAAAAGGATCATTATGGAGGATTGAGGCTGAATTCACTTTTTACATGGTAGCAATTGGAGGATTTTTCAGGATAAAGGATGGCTCCTAGCCAAAAGGGCCTAGCTGGTTATTAAGCAGGGAACAGTAGGTTTCCAATATTGTAGTTGGCTTTTTTTACCAGTACTAATGTTAAAAATGATTAGGCTGATGTAAAGGGGCGGGGGGTAGGAGGGACAGCCACCCCAATCCTCTTTCTAATTTGCTGTTGCAACAAAAAAACAAAATTGTCACCTTCGTCCACTGCACCAGTCTATACCAGCATTAACTTATTTGTATAACGAGATAATAACATATTTACATAATTATCTGTACACAGGTTAAAAGAAATAGGCTGGCTGTCATGTAGAGGAAGATCAAAGTTTAGTTTTTGTCGACAGCATTTATGTACATGTTGCAACCACAATGTGCTGATAAAGGGACATTTCATCCTGGAATGCGCCCAATTGGGCTTCAAAAAGCAAATCAGAAAGAGTATTTAAAATAAGGATATAACCATCCAAACTACCATCTTTTTAAAACTGGGTGTTTTTGTGTTATTCTTGCAAGAACCATGCTAGAACAAATTTTGGGGTCAAAATTTTGACTCGAAAATTGAGCTGTTGAGTGAATCTTGCCGCACAGTGCACCGCATTCTGTGGACGTGCGAGAAACAAGGTTTGTGTATTGGTGCTGTGTGTATTACATGTATGTATCGTACATTGAATGGACAAGGGTGGAAATACGTATGCGTATGCCACAAAATGTAAACAACCATTTTTTTTTTTGTCTGTCTTTTGTCGGGAACGGCATTAGGTTGTTTCCTTTGAACCAGACCTTCGAAATACGATAAGTAAACAATCCAAAACATAATATTTTTCGGGGATTTCAGGCCGTAAATAGCTAGCGGTACATAACATTGTTCTACTGCACGTACGGTATTAGTGGAACAAACCCACCAAAAACACCGACACAGGAGCGCAAAGTCATAAACTCTTAACCTGTGTGGCAAGTATCATGCCCAAAGTGGCAACACTAGAAACAGACTCAGGAAAAATGGGAAACGGGGATCCTTCTGAGAAAATGCATAACTTTTTTGCAGAACCTGAAAAATTGTGGGCTCCACTTACAATAATTTGTGCCCAGTGTGCACCGCAACAAGTTCATGTAGACACACATAATCTCCAAAATTGGTTTAAGAATAAAGTTTGCTTAACCAGTTTGTGTCAGATGACGTGTTAACACGATCTGGCAGTTTTTATACACAGGCATGGCTGACGGGTTAAAATGTCAAGCGTGCCTGGATTCGCCGGGTGACGTCTAAACACGCTAATCCCTCGTTTGTTTTGTACACAGTACACACACAAAGTCTGTGAAGTCTGTGGAGGCGGACCGTGTGTTGACTTTGAACTTGGTCGCTGTGCACGGCCGATTGTTGTACGATTTACGCTCCGTGGGCACACCCCAGAGTGTTGAAAAATATGAGGTTTCGGCAAGAAATATCATACAAATACTGTTGACATGACTCTTGCGAATCAGCATTTGTGGTGTTTGGCTGTATGTCAGAAGTTGGCTGCCATATTTTGCCTCTTTTGAAAATCAAAATTTTTGGAAAAAAAATAATCCCATCCCGAAGTGGTTAACGAGGCTTTCTTTTCAAATTCAAATTATATCAATTGTTGTGCCAAAAATATGATCAGTTGACATCCTGGAGTATGTGTACAATTTCTTCAGTGTAAAACAAGAGGGCTCCCTGGACAGGACTGCTAAATACATGTGTACTGACAGTATAGTGAATTTAAAAGGAACTGAATCTTTAACTTCAAATTAGTAGACTTTTGGTTCAATGTGTTTAGTTAACCAAACAGGGATGTGGTCGCAAAGTCACCGACTTTCATTTTACATAGTGTAGAGTACTATTGTGTTCTTGGGACTATGCACTCGATCAACTCAATATTGGCATTTCCTAGTCACTCAGTTCATATTTTACGCTAACACACTGTACACTGTATGTGGCTACCTGCATATTATTCACATGGAATGCAGTTTTGCTGCATATGCCCTCCCAGCTGCATGCCATCCCAGTTCCCACAGTGTAGTCTGGCGCTGACCTCTGCATACAGTAAATTTAGACCACTTGCTCATAAAGTTCTGCACAAAATCTCAGGATTTTTAGAAGCCGAGCTGTGCTATTATGCTGTTTCATTGTTGAGTCACATTGTATGTGTACTTGTTAAACAACTTTTAATAAGTGCTTCAAAATGTACCTGTATTCATTGTTTGCTTTATGTTCTCTTTTGTTTATTTATTTTATTTGATATTTCTTTTTTCCAGGTGTGATCCACAGTAATGCTTGACTGTCATTCCTTCATTGCTCAAGGTTTTTGGAGCTAATATTTTTTCATGATGGCTCTATTGGCACCTAGTGATAATGGATGTATGCCAGCCGGCCGACAGAGGAGAAACAGCTACTTTGAGGTAAGTCATATTTTTGTCAAGTTCTCGTATCTTTAGGCGCGGGATTGTTTTCACGAACCTCGATGCCAGATGGGTTCAGGCCGTCATCTGCGGGTAGCACACCCTGACATTTCTGGCCTCGCTCGCTGGGAGCGGGTCGACGACAGTTATTTCCGGCCTCGCTTGTTGCGTGTTTTTCCGTCATCCGTTCCTAAAACCGCAAAACCTTTGCATATATACACGTCATCTGATGTGAACTGGTTAAAGATCAGTCACTTTTATGTGGCAAACATTGACCAATTTTCAAGATTTTATTCATTTGAAACAATTTACAACATCATATTTAAAGGGGAGTTTCAGCTGTAAAAAAAAAATAAAAGTTTAAAGCTGCTCCGCCCCTCTGCTAAAAGCCAGAGTGCTCAGAATGGAAAATTGGGTCAATGAGGGCAGCAAACAGAAAAGGCCTGTTTGCGTACGTCGTGGTTCGGCTCTCACACTCCCCCCAAAAATCATAGGTTTTTGGTCTTTTTTGGTTTTCCACAGCATTGAACGTATGCATGGATGCTTCAGGGAGAAAATGTTTGTAAAAACTCTGTCTCTCACCTACTTTGTTAAATATGTTTGAAATATTTGAAACCATTTAAAAGACAGGCGGCATTAATTGTTTACATAAATTTGATTTAGACATTTACAAAAATGGCCGATCGAATTGCAACTTACCCACGAAGTTTATTTTTTAACCAATCAAACTGCATGGAAACAGGAAATAATGTCTTAATGGTACTTTCCGTCTGTATTGCGAGAGTCCACGAAAATCAGGCCCACTCGCACTGTGCGGGGATTCCCAAACACAGTTAATGCACTGTGAATCTAACACCTCATGTGTTGCATTTTTAGTGATGTGTTCAGAACAAAGTGTCCCAATTCATTGATTTAATTTTTTAAAATGGGTGGGGGGGGGGGGGGGGGTGGGGGGGGGGTAATACCCGAAGATATCAGAAATTGTGACAGGTGAATTTTATTTTTGTAACCAACATGTATGTATACATGTATGTAGGTTATTGTTTTTGAGCTACGATTCTATAAATTTGGCTGTTATGTTGCGTTCCGTCGATGTCCGCTGTTTTTTTGTCAGCGCGGGAAAAATCATGTGACTGAACTGGACATACTGTACATCATATTCCTTCAGGCTTCCTTGATTTTAAAGGGAAGATACAACATTTGCAAACATCAAAAAACGAAATGACCAAATTATCACGAAATACCTACTATATTATTAGAGAATGATAGTCCAAAGCATCCTGTAAAATCGTGGCTCTTGATGTGCTAAAACTTTCAAGAAAACTTGTATTTTTCCAACGCTGGTCGGCCGACCAGTGTTGGAGAAAACTGGCTTTTTTCAAAAACTGCTTCTAAGTTTTCATATTTAGTTATTTCGCATTTTCTTTGCAAATAATTACACACCTGTGAAGGAGTACAAGCCTGCTAGACTGATTCTCTGACCTTACAATTCCCCAAAGTCTAAAATTGCTCCGTTTCATCTTAAGTGGGGTCAGGGAGCCAGACTACAAGAACATGATTGGTTTTCTTGGTTTTTCCAGCATCTACATTGTATAAGCCCAAAACGTGAAACAAGTCAGTTTAACAATATTTTCTATAACATACTAATACTTCAAATCCATTTAAGTCGGAAAATTGCAGGAAAAGCAAATGTTGTCTTCAGCCTTTATGTTGAACATGGGCGATTATAAATATATCAAATTTTCTCAATATTGAAATTCCGATATATCGATCATTGAAAAAAATCTGATATTGATGAAACGTATGTTTGCCACAACGTGACTGATCTTTAAGAGTGCAAGTACGTAGATGCTTCAGAGAGATCTGTATGATAGATGTTATTTCACTAACTGGTGAATAATCATACCTTAACATTTTGAAGGATCTTGCATCTATCTACAAATCTTTTGTAAATTTAATAACAGTGAGCATCAAAAAAAAAACTGGTTTCTTTCAGAAACTGCTAGAAAGTGAACTACATGTAGCAGAATCACTTTTCGATGTCTAATTCAAAATGTCGAAATCAATCAAAATTTACTGAGCATATTATTTTTTGTTTGAACAAACACAATAAATGGTTGGAAATTAAATATAATGTCTGACGTATGACCAATAGTTTCACTCTCTTCAGATGTACATGTATACTTGTCTGATGAAAGTTCAAATGCAGACAAGTGAAAACAAAATTGAAAGGAACATCCTGTCGTTCTCACGCAATAAGTTAACAATAGTAAGAATTCATTATTACAAATCAAGTTACATGTATTGATATTTTTTTGTATAAGGGATGCAAAGTTTCTTTAAAGGGCCCATGCAATGTAATTATTGTAATGTAATCCTTGAAAATGCACCTTTGTGTCCCATTTAACCTAATTTTCAATTTTCGTTTTGCCATTTTAAAGGATATATTTGTGCCTTTCTCATTTGTTATTCTAATGCCAATTTCCATATTCATGAGCAAAACTGTGATTCATTCTGGGCACAAACCTCAATATTACAGCTATTTCAGCACAGAAAGTTGCTAGAATTTTGGATATTTTGCTGTCATGAACTTTCTTTTCTTTGGTGATTTGTTGTTGTGTCAGTACCTGACAGTAAGCCAGTGAGCAAACCTTTCTCACAAATGTTTTCAATGAGCAAATTTGAGTTGACAATTCAAACAGAAACCCGTTAACTGAAAAGTTTCTTCCTGAAATGACATCACAGCAACAGCCCCTCCGTTGTCCTGAAAAGCGTGGGAAAATTCTAAATTATTAAAAAAGTATACTTTTCAATACAATTGACCAAAAAGGGATGTTAAATAGTTTTCATACATTTAAGAGGAGTAGAAAGTTGCACGAAACGTGTTCCTAAGAAAAATTGCATTTACCCTTTAAATATGTTTCTCAGAAACTTTGGAAAATTTTGGGATCAAACATATGCATGAAAAACCATTGAACTTTGACTCCAGCATCTGATAATCTTTGAACATGTACTTCGTTTTCTTTCCACTGCAGGCCCTGTCCAGTGTCTCAAGTGATCTGAATTTTGTGGCCTCGGATCTCAAGAAAGCCCCGGCCCCATTCAAGGCCAGTTCCCCCAAGTCCCCCCTGGCCGTGACTGCTAGTTTGCCAATAGCTGCAGGTCTGCTAGATAACAGGTTGCAGCAGTCATACATGTAAGTCCAAGTACATTTCATTTGTAAGGGCTGAGTGACACAGATAACAGAATGCACTGCAAGTTAAGGAACCCTCGGGCAGAAGAGGCTACATTTTTACAACAGTTTATGGCAGTTTCTTGAACTGCATGGAATTAAATTATGCAGCCTCTTTTGTTTTGGATTTTGTCCGGAACCAGGAGTACATGTACAGGGTTCCTTATTGGGTAGAAAACGCAATAGACCCCATAAGGAAGTCTTTAGGAATCTATCTACCCCACAAGGGAAACGCTATGGAGTTTGAGATTTCAATAGGAACAAAAAAAAGAAAAAAGAAGGTCTTAGCTGTTAACGTACATGTAGTAAGTATTCATACCGGTACATTGCTTGTCAGTAAATGTCTGTTAACCCTTTCAGAACTTTTCAGATTGTTGAAATCATATTTTCAATCATGTCGAAAAAAATATCCATATCAGTATCGCATCAGGCCAATAAAAAATATTGGATCAGCTTTTAGGAGCTGTATTGGGTTAAAGGGAAAATACAACATTTGCAAACATCAAAAAATAAAACTACCAAATCATTTTGAAATACCTTGCTGGACTGTTAGTGAATGACAGTGTAAAGCATCCTGTAAAATCATGGCACCTGGTATACTGCCATTTTCAAGAAAAGTGGTATTTTTGTATCAATTTCCAACGCTGATCGGCCGATCAGCGTTGGAAACAACTGGCTTTTTTTTCAAATACTGGCCCCAATTGACCATCGCACTTGTTTGCAATCGATTACAAACCTATGAACGGGTACGAGCCAGCTTGAGACTGGTTTCCTGACCTTACAATTCCCCAATGCATGTAAACTGCTCTGTTTCTTCTTATATGGAGTCAGGGAACCAGACTACAGGAAAATGATCGTTTTTCTTGGTTTTTATAGCATTTTCGAACCCAAAACCTCAAAAAAGTCAGTGTAACTATATTTGCTATATATTTCCAACCCCCCAATTCCATCCATTTCTGAAAATTACAGCAAAAGTAAATGATGTATATTCCCTTTAAACACTATTTCCGACACAGCCTCGACATACCTTGTGAGGCGTTCTGGAAAAAAAAACATAAAAAAATACCGGTCTCCCATCTACCCCATTCTCACAGACCACCAGCGGACCGATACCAACATCTGAGGATATCCGGGAACTTCTCCCCGGCTACCAACAACAATGCATCCACCTTGTCTACCACGCCTAGCCCACACTATGCCCAGGTCCCTTCTTATAGAAAGAGGGATTCATCAAGTCTCCCTCGATCATTTGAGGTTTGTCTTTGTTTTTTTCTCACCATTCCATTTATTTGTGTTCTGAGATGGAAAGCTGGTAAACAAAAAGGGTTTTGAAACAGCGATTTTTTCGTCTCTTACTTTGACGTCAGGAGATTTGTGGTCCCTGGCTTGGGACTCTTGGTCCTTTGAGGGTCTGTGGTCTGCTCCAAGAGGCAAACTTTACAGTTTCTTTAAAGGCATATAGGAGCACTTGCTTGTCATGCCTTTTGTTGGTTTCACTGCTCAAAATCCAAAGAAGAATGTTCCGAACCTAACCTGTTGAACTTTCAGCTCAGTGGATATTACACTTTTCGAGAAAACAGTGAAAAACCATGCACAACCTTTTGAACACAAAACACGATTACATTATATTACACTGTATTTCCAATAATCAGTCAATTGACTGAGTGTTGTAAATCACCTACATTTCTTGATGTCCTCTAAATGACAGCAAGCCAGACAGACTAATTTCACAGGGGGTTTATAAGAGAACCAGAACCAGAGGTGCCAACTCTCCGGGATTTTACGGAAGTCTCCCAGAAGATCAAACTCCCGACATCCCGACACATCTAAAATATCTCCTAGATGTCCAATTTTCTTTTTTTCATCAAAAAATCAAATTTTGCTTTTGCTCAGCTTGTACTTGTAGCAACCGAATTCTGTGCGAAATAACCTCATACGTGAAACATGGTTACCTTGCAGCAGCAACGCGAGCAAGGAACGGGGACGAGGTGTCAGTCAGCATACACATTGGTCTGGCTTCACTCGTTTCATGTCGTGTTACAGTGTACATGTAGTTAATAAGTCCAGTCTCCGAGTGTTATGACCAAAGCACTTTTTACGAACGTTTGTAAACTTCGTGTTCATGACTGAGTTGCGTCGGTCGTGTAAACAAATTAACAAAACCCGGCCTTGACATTGGTTTATTTGTTCAGTCAGAGTATGTTTCCAAACAATGTAACGTGACTGCGGGACTTGTGCGGCTGTTTAGGAGGTTGTTATACTGTTATTTACTATGGAACAGTTGCCCAGTTTCCGGACACATAACGCAATTGTTCTTCGTTAGTTTCATGAGACGAATGGGCTTTTCTGTACCTGACCGACAAGGGAATCATGGCTTCCAGACCACAGTAAATCATGGGCATTGGGTTTGAGCAGTGTCCCATCTCTACTTCCCCTACCCCCCCCCCCCCCAAAAAAATCGCACATAAAAAGTGTGACGCTAAAAGCCAGTAGTGTACCAAAGTGCAAAAAATGACCTAAAAGCTGTTATCCATACACTGTACGTCTGCAAATAGTGTCCTCTAGTATTTATAAGTCATTAACATTAAGGGGTGACTCATGTTCCAGGGATTGGGGTTCAAGTTCACGTGCTGACCATATGTTGTGTCCTTGGGCAAGCCACTTAAGGGGAATAAACGACATTTGCAAACATCGAAAAATAAAACTACCAAGTTTTTACGAAATACCTTACTAGGATGTTGGTAAATGACAGTCTAAAGCATCCTGTAAAATTATGGCACCTGGTGTGAAGTCATTATCGAGAAAATGGTATTTTTGTATTCATTTCCAACGGTGGTCGGCCGACCACCGTTGGAAAAACCTAACTATTTTTCAACTACTGCTCCAAATTTGCAATTTTTTTCAGTCCAAATTTGTTTGCTATTGGTTACATGTTCATGAACGGGTGCAGGCCAGCTAGACTGGTTCCCTTACCTTACAATTTTCCGACATCTATAAATTGATCCATTTTATCTTTAGTGGAGTCAGGGAACCAGACTACCTTAACATTTTTGTTTTTCTTGGTTTTTCAAGCATTTTCGAACACAAAACTTCAAACATGTCAGTTAAACAATATTTGATCTATTATACTAACCCCTCAAATAGTTCATTTCTGAAAATCACAGCAAAAGCCAATGATGTACATTCCCTTTAACCCATCTTGCCCTCCCATCCAAGGAGTACAGGGAACAGGATTAGAGGGGGATTACCTGTGATAGACTGGCATCCCATCCGGGGTGGGGGGGAAGTACATGTAAAAAAGTCCCAGTCATATATTATGTCAAGGAAACTGGATATGAAAGTGGAAGTTTATTGACAGGATGCTCAAATGTTTTGCTATAAGGAGTGGAAATAAATCCAAAACTCAGCTGCAAGACTAGTCACCCTCTCGAAGCCCCATCAACCCATATCACCTATTCTCCGTAATCTGCACTGGCTCCCAGTCAAGAGGAGGATAATCTACAAAACCCTTCTCCTAACATACCAATGTCTCCATCGTCTCGCCCCTACTTACCTCCAGCAATTAATCCATAAATATGAACCCCGTAGAAATCTTCGATCAAGCTCACAATCCCTGCTCGCCTGCTCCTCAACATCGACAAGGTCATACGGTCAGCGAGCGTTTTCATCTGCAGCCCCAACCCTCTGGAACAAACTACCCAATCACATCAAGGAAGCCCCAACCCTGGACGTTTTCAAAGCTAATCTTAAAACCCATCTGTTCACTGCAAATGAAATATAATGTTAGTGTTTTCCTCTGTTAATTGTTCAGCGCATTGGGACCCCGTGTAAAATGCGCTTTATAAGAATGGTTTATTATTATTATTATTATTATGTGTAGTAATAAATTACAATTAAGTGACATTTAAATTACTTCAAAACAGGCAGAGCTACATGTAACCTTTTAATACCTGTCTGTGGTTCTATGTATTGAAAAAACATCCGATTAAAAACACCTTTTTCTCGCGGGGAAGTTCCCAAACTGATTTGTGTCAAGTGTCAGGAAGCTGTGGCTGTGACCTATGAGATGGAAAGAAAAATACATTAACTGAAAGTGAATGGGCAGAGTATAGAACAATGTAAACGCATACCGGAATCTATATCTTTACAAGCGTACGAAAGTGCATGCCAGGTGTGTACCGGGATCTATGTTTAAAGGAACAATAACAAGAGTTTCTCAGTAAAGTTTACATGTACATTACAAAACTCTAGTGGTTAAGGCAGCACAACCTCTGCAGAATCAATTGAACAATGCTTCTGGATTCATCAGGAAGTAGTCTGCACATATTCATGGTTTTAAATTATTAGTCTACAAGTGGACGAAAAAAATGAAACATTGTGAAGTGCCAGTGGCGAACGGTTGGAAACATTTCCGCGCAGAGATGTAGACGTCTGCTTGTTTTGCTATCAAATTATGGAAATTGTAAAGTTCAGCGTACTGGAGTCGTCAAGGCTACATGAGGATCAGTACCTTGGTGATTGGTGGATCTCAACAGCGTGGTTTCATTCGTCAACAATTTCATGGCTTTTTGAGTGTTTCTGTAGTGATGTTCTGCAAATACTGTTTATGAGTGGTTAGTCTATTGCCTTGGGTTGAGCGTTTCAGGTTTCACTCGATGCATCTACATTTGTATGTAGGTGATCATGACAAAACTGTTACATGCATCGACTCTACCTGTTTCTGACCAGGAATTGCTTGCAACTAGCACAGTTTATTTTCTTGATCACTGCAATTGTGACGTTGTGATCACAATGCACCTCACGGAGTGATGAATACTTTAACCAACTCTGGTAATGTTTGACAGAGAATCGGTTCAAGTGCCGTACATGTACTGATAGTGAATGGAAGGTGTGATGCCAGCGTTGCATTGGATGGTATGAATGATATGGGTGGCATGGTTTACAGTGGGACAGTTTGGACCATATCTTTGAAATTGTTTCAAATGATGAACTGGAGACTACATGTACTTGTGATTTGAAATTGGTGTGTGTAAACTCCACAGTTTTGAAGAGCTTCATTCCTGTTTGATTGATGTACAACCCCTTCATCCACCACGACAATGCACCGATATGTTTAAGTCTAATTAGATGTGCCAGCTCCTACATTACAGGTCTCTGACAGAAGATTGAGCTTTTGCCACACTTATTTCCAGTATTTCCGGCTATGCCTTTGTTCTCCCTTGGGGAAGCTTGATCAGACAAACGTAAATGGGAGATGGAAGAAAATCTGGACCTGAAGTCAGAACCAAAGGCTGACCCTAATTTACCCGAAAGCCACTCATACGTCAGTCTAATTCATGCTCTTCTGAAGGATGACCGACAAGCGTACGTGAACATGCAGAGTCTGGTGTCCATCAGCGAGGAAGACATCGAAGACTCGGCCCTGAGCTTGTTATCCCACGGTAGACGATCCAAACGCCGCAAGAACAAAATGCCGTGCATCCACTGCTCCAGTGTCCCTTGCTCTTGCACTATTGGTGAACTCCAAGAGAACCTGAAAAACGCCTCCGAAAAATGCCAGTTTCTGGAGATGCAGAACAAGGCTTTGTGGGTGGAAGTGGTGGCCCTGAGGAACTGGAAGAGTCATTACTCATCTTACAAATCTCAAAGGTCCAAAGGAACGAAGGTAAGGGAAAGATGGAATTTCAGATGTGGGACCAGACCTTATAAAATGGTCATTATGCACCAATCCAAGCATGCGATCACCGTGTCATAAGGCCATTGTTCAGAAGAATCGTTATTGAGCAGTTGTTTTGTATAGTTGCTGGCACAGGAATTCTGCCTTTATACTTCCGAGTGATCCGTGATTGTGTGTGCTTCTAGTAGATTGGTCTATTCCACTAGTGATTAGAATGAGAAGGATTCCAACCAGGGCCCGTTCACTAGAGGTAGCAAAGCACAACTTTGCTTTAGCGTTAGTTAGAAGTCTGTGAGTTGTAAAGGCTTACATGTAGCATGAGTGAGCGAAAGTTAACTTTGTGATTCCAATAATCAGTGGATCTTTCCTTACTGTTGAACCTAACCTTTTAAGCCCTTATGGCTAGGAACAATCCTCAATCCTCCAAAATCTTGAACTAACGCGTATGTTCAAATGAAGGATACCCACTGCCTCAGTCCTTTAAAATCCTCCAACATCCCTGCCTCTCAAAATGCTTGAGCCTCAATCCTCCAAACTCCTCCTCCTCTTCAAACACCATTCATCCTCAATCCTCCAA